GCACCAACTATTGGGCGATCAGCGCACACCGCGGTAGATCTTTCCTGGACCTCGAAGAACCATCGCGGCACCGAATACTGCTCATTCGCGATGCACGAGTTCGCATGTACACGGGTCGAACGATTCCCGCGCAGGCAGTCGTCATTTTGCTGTGAGTACCGGCACCCGTCATACCCATCGTGCTCCGTTAGTGTCGCAACCCGGATCACCTATAAGACCGGATGCAGGTCGCGCTCATGCCCACGACATCCACAAATGCCGCACCGCGGGCACGGTGTGCCTACTTCAGCTCGGTATGCAAATGCATTTTTTTTCGACCGATGCGGATGCCTTCTACACCACGCTGGGACACCTCTGTCTAGGAGGCCCAACGGTCGCTCTGCCTAGCAAAAACGACGTGCGTTCACGAACGGTTCACCCACCTCGACGTGAGAATGCACGAACGCACAATTTGAGATTCTTCCGGAAGCCTCGCCCTGTGAACTCTTCCGAGTCTTTTCATCGATGCGCCCGCTGTACGAGCGATCAGCGCAGCACACCGCGATAGGCCCTTTCTGGGCCTTGAAGAACCATTGCAGTGCCCAAAGTATGGCACAGTCCTGACTCGACATTCGCGCACACATGATTCGGCGGCGGACGCGCAGCGTGCCGTACGGCTTGTGAGTGTCTGAAATCGCGGTGCCCATATTATTCGATGCCAGCACCACAGTCCGAACTCGCGGACGAGAGGAAATACAGGTCGCGCTCGTGCACACGACATCCACGAACGCCGCGCCGCGACCGTGGTATGCTTAATTGGGCTCGGTACGTGATTGCTGCCGAGCATGCGAGCGATCGAGGCGAATGTCCCTCCCCATGCCGCAACGCGTCCGTCCATCAGCCTTGCCGGTCGCCTCTTCTACTAGACGCGAAGCGCGTACACGAAACGGGGGGCATTCAACTTGATGTGAGGGGCCGTGTACGGATCGATGTTCCTCCAGGAAGCCTGGCCCTGTGCGTGATCTTCTTTCGATGACGTGCTGACTGTCGAATGATCAACGCAGCGCACCGCGATAGGTCTCTTCTGGACCGCGAACAACCGTCGCGATAAGCGGAGATGACCTGGTCATGGTTCGCATGCGGGCTGTGAGCGCCAGAATCCGCGGTGCCCATTGTCCTCTGCTAGTGTTGCAGCCCGGACTCGCCTACGAGACCCGAGAATGGACGCAGGTCGCGTCCGTGCGCATGACGTCCGCGAACGCCGCACCGACGCGCTCCCTAGTGTGCGCGACGTGCGCGAACGAACGGGCACTCACCTCGACGAGACGCCGCGATGGATAGGATTCTCCCGGGAGCCTGGCCCCGTGCGCTCTTCTGTTCGACAACGTACCGAACGTCAAACGATACGCATTGCGCACCGCGATGGTCGTTTCTGGGCCTCCAAGAACCGTCGCGGCACCGGGAGACGACTCGACTTTGGATTCGCGAGGTTCGCGTGCACACGGCGCGCATGCGGGTATCACACGGCTATGAGCGCCGGAACCCATCGTGCTTCGCTAGCGTCGCAGCCCAGACTCGGTTTTGAGAGTAGAGGTAGGTCGCGTCTGTGCGCATGACGTCCACGGACGCTGCGGGCATGGTGTGCTCGCTGGCTACGGCATGCGGTTGCGGTGTGCTAAAAGCCAAGGCGTATGCCGTGGCGCGTCCGTTCATAAGCCCTGGTTGGTGTACTCTGAGCGAATAAAGTGAGAATGAGAACGAACGGAACACTCACCTCGCTGCGAGACGTTGCATACGACCACTCGCTGGCACGCCCACTCCGATCCACTCGAGTCTCCGGGAAAGGGCTGGCCTGTGCGCTGTTATCCTCGGTGATAGCGCTGACCGTCGAGCGACCGACTCGGGGCACCGCGGATGGTCATTTGTGGACCGCGAAGAACGCCAGCCCCGGATCTGCAGCTTGAAGTACGCGCACGATTTCGGCAGCGTGCGTACAGTTATCGTTCGGCTGCGAGCCCTGTAGCCCGTGATATATTCCATCGCCGGTTTCCGGTGCAGCGTCGGGGAGAGCGTCCGACGATGGCTAAGGAGACGGCGTCGATGAGGGCCGCGGGCGCTGAAGCCGGCTAAAGGGTGTGATTATGGTGTTGCGGTGAGAGACAGGCGAAAGGAGGAACGGCGCGGAGGAATCGGGTGAGGGTGAATGTCTGCCGCGGACGTGCAAGCGCGGGCAGATCCATGTGTTCAGCGTACGCGGAGGTTAGAGGTAAGAAACGACGTACGAAGACTGCCATCTCCAATAATCCACACGCTCCGCTGTCCTATGCATGCTCCGTCCTCAGCCCGTGATGTCTTGCATCGTCCAATTCCGCTGCAGTGCGGGGAAGAGCGTCCGACCATGAATAAACAGGCGACGTCCACGAGCACCGGGGGCACAGTGAGCTCAGGGCTAAAGGGTGCGATTGTGACGTCGTGATGAGAGGCAGGCGCGGGGGAGTTGGGTGAGGATGGATGTCTGCTACAGGTCTGCGCGCGCGTGCGTTGAGCACACACGGATGTGAAGCGACGTACGAAATCCGCCACTGTGCTCTCCGACATGTACATCCCCCGCATCTCGCTGTCTCATGCACAGCCCAGCCTGCGAGTGACCGACCGCGTTGTACAGCAAGAGGCCGTGAGGAACATTGACTAGGACTGGCTTCGCAGTCAGACAGGCTATAGGCATAATGAGTAAAAGAAAGACGCAACGCACCGAGCTCTCTGAACGTCCGAGCTTGAAGCGAGAGGGCGGGCAGCGCGAACGCGAGCGAGGCGGGGAGTGCGCGCATGGACGACAGGTGAGGTTGGGAGACGCCCGTGGGACCCTCGACGGAGAGGGTGGAGAGGATACTGGAGGACTGGGTGTGGAGTGGCGATCCGTCTGCCACTCTCTCGCCTGCAGTCGCTGCAAAGGTAGAGGTCGGTGTGAACCTTCTCCCCCGGGCGATCCGGCCAAGGTCGAGAAGCCCACGGCGAACACAGACAACACGGACGTCACCGAGTCGGTTACAGTCTCTGCAGATGTCTCTGCGCCGGACACTAGGGCTGCATCGGACGTGCAGACGGAGGTGGAGAAAGTGGATGTTGCAGCCGCGCCTGACGATGCAAGCGCTGTCTCGAGTAGTGTGGACGCTACTAGTACATGAATTGATGGTATCCTTATTGCATACATATCTGTCTTGTCGTTGCCGGACTGTGTGAGATGAACTTTCTGCGCAGCAAAGTATAATTAATGATCCTCGCGATCCGTCCGTCTGTCGTGTCTGAGCTGGCGTGATCAACTGAAGCGATTCCTATCTCTCTTCCATTCGCTTTCTTCCTCAACTCCCACCAGCCCGTCGCGCACATCGCTCGCAGCGGTGCGTAGGTATGGCCGACTCGCAAGAATACCCTCCTCTTCACACCGACGTTCGCCATGCACGTCGCCAGGGCATGGCGGCACCGCCCATCCATCGCTACCATACTCAAGACAATGCTGGCCACTTTGCAGAGCCCCAGCAACCCGAAAACCGTGAGCTGCATCTGCATTCTCTTAGCGTGGCGACGATTGCCTGACTGTCCTTCTGGCGCGATGGCCTGTATCCTCCGTTCTAGCGAACACTCTCATGCGCCATCAAAACTATTCCGTGCCTTCGCTTCCTTCGCAGTCCCAACTGAACGGAGAAAACGAGGATATTCCCTCAGTGCCGCCGCCGGCGTACGAGGAGACAGACGTGCTGGGTGCGCTCAACAACATGCGGATAAGCGACCCGACCGGGCGGATGGTCATGAACCACGGAGACCCCATCCCACGCGCAGGTACGTCAATGTCCGCACGCTCTGCCACGTCCATGTCTCCGCACCCTGCCGCGTCCATGTCCCCCCACCGCATGGCGACCATGCCCAACATGACAACCGCACACGAGCAAGTGATGAGGCGCATGCCTCCCGGTCGCCCGACCGACCCGACGCGTCCGACAGGCGCGGCCGACGTGAGCTCCGTGCACTCGGTGGGCAGCGGGGGAAGTGGGAGCGCGTGGAATAGCATTTACAGCGAGTACGAGTCTATGGCTTACGACGGGTCGGTGGAGACGGACGGGACGAGCCTGCACTCGCATGACGACTCGTCGTTCCAGCATCCTCCAAACGGGTATATGATGCAGGATGGACAGGGAGGCTATGCGCCTCCGCGCGGATATCCATCACAGCAGGGTTGGGAAAATCAGCACCCAGGGTATGCCACGCAGGGCGCTCCTCCCGGACAGAATTACAATAGCATGTACGCAGCGGCCTCCAACCTCCTTGGGATGGGCCCGCCGCCAGGTGGTGCACTCCCTCCTGGGGCGTATGTCCGCGGGCCTCCTCCACGTCAAGCATCCATGAACTATGCTGGCGGCCCTCCTCCTCAACAGGCTCCTGGGCGATATCCACCTGGACCTCCCCCGCCACAAGGCCTTGGTCAGTATTACCCTGAACCCCCTCCACAACAAGGTCCTGGACAGTACCCTCCAGGGCCTCCACCTCAGGGATATGGCCAATATCCACCATCACAAGCTCCTAGTCAGTATGGTTTGGGACCATCGCTACCTCTAGCCCCTGGTCAGTACGCTGCAGGACCTTCCCCGTCTCAGGCACCTGGCCCATATCCTCCCGATGCTCCTCAGTCCCAAATGCCAGGCCAATTCCCTCCTGGTGCGCCTCCAGCTGAATTGCCTGATCAGTACCCACCGGCTGGGTCTCCTCAAGAAGGACCTGCTCAGTACCTTCCCGAAGCTCCCACGCAATCGTCCGATCAATATTCACAGTTGCCACCACAGCAGTATTACTCTAACAACGGACCTCCTCAGATACCCCCTAATATGCCAGGCTCATACCTTGGCGCAGGTCCATACCAGTCTGGCACTCCCTCTATCTATTCCGGATCTTCGCAGGCGTCGCTTGGACGGGCGCCGTCCATTGCTCCTTCATCCATGTCGACCGAAGAAGAGGTCGAGTTCCGGGCCCGCCCGTCGCTGCAACGGTCAGGCACGACAGCGTCCTTCGCTCCTCGCACACAGAAGTCCAAGGCGATCGATCTCAGCGCGCCTCCGTTCACGAAGGAGTACATTGACGAGTACCGCCACAGAATCAAGGACGATCCAGATCCAGAAGCGCACTTCTTGTACGCGAAGTACCTGATCGAGGCTGCGAAGAAGTTCGGCAAGGACGCGAAGGATCAGAAAAGCGTCAAGAGATATCGTGATACGCTCATTGCAGAGTCCTTGAAAGTGATGCGACGTCTGGCTACTCAGGGCAACGGTTACGACGAGGCCCAATTCTTCTTAGCCAACTGCCATGGCACCGGTATGCTCGGGCTGCCAGTCGACCACGAACGGGCGTACCACCTGTACCTGCAGGCGGCGAAGCAGAACCATGCGGCCGCATGCTACCGTGTCGCAGTGTGCAACGAGATCGGTGCTGGTACGAGGAAAGAGCCGCGGCGGGCTCTCGCGTTCTACCGCAAGGCCGCCTCGCTGGGTGACACGGCCGCGATGTACAAGCTCGGCTGCATCCTCTTGCGCGGATCGCTCGGGGAGCAGGAGAATCCGCGCGACGCGGTGAATTGGCTGAAGCGCGCGGCAGAGCAGGCGGACGAGGAGAACCCGCATGCGCTGCATGAGCTCGCGATGCTGTTTGAGTCGCCGAACAATAAAGTGGTGCCGTACGACCCGGCGTATGCGAAGGAGCTGTATACGCGCGCGGGGCACCTCGGGTACACTCATTCGCAGTACAAGCTCGGGCAGTGCTATGAATATGGCAGCCTGACGTGCCCCGTCGACCCGCGGCGGTCGATCGCTTGGTATACGAAGGCGGCGGAGAAGGGTCACTCGGAGGCGGAGCTGGCGCTGAGCGGGTGGTACCTCACGGGTAGCGAGGGGGTGCTGAAGCAGAGCGACTCGGAGGCGTACTTGTGGGCACGGAGGGCGGCGAATAAGGGCCTGAGCAAGGCCGAGTATGCTGTTGGGTACTATGCCGAGGTGGGAATTGGCATCAAGCAGGACATCGAGTTTTCGAAGCGGTGGTACATGCGAGCAGCTGGTATGCACTTTTCTTCATATATGCGTCTGACGCGTAACTCACAATTTTTAAATGGTGCCCAGCTCAAAACAACAAACGAGCCATGCAACGCTTGACGGAGATGAAGCGCACCGGCAACAAGCGGATGAATACGGCACGGCCGACCCGCCAGGAGGCCAAGGATGAGTGTGTAATCGTCTGAGGAATTTCTGCTGCCTTTCGTCTTCGTATATTCGAGTGAGACTGCGTGTGCCGTCGCCGGATTTGTGTCCCCTCTCGTGTTTTCGTTCGCTCCCCGTTGTCCGTTCTGTTATCTCCCGCCCCACACTGTATTGATCTTATCTAATCTCGATACTTGTACTGCTCTTAATTGCCACCCACTCGCATCGCAATGTCGGAAGAAAGTGAAGTGAGCAACGCCTCTTTTCCTTCTCAGCTGCGTCCGTGCCATGTCTTGACCGATGGAAGCAGACGTCCTTGCTTGAGCATCTCGACCTCCAGCAGCTGACCTGCCTGAACGAGGAGGGCGAGCACACGCTCAAGTCCATCGTCTCTTCGAAGACAAAGAACTCGTCCAGCTCGTACCTCCTCAGCGACGTGGACGAGCAGCTCTTCTTGAACGTCACAGTGCGTCCTCTCATACACGGAACACGCGCATATAGCAGCGCTCATTAAGTGCGCCCCGGTACAGTTCAACCAGCCCGTACGCATACGCTCGATCGTCATTCAGACGTCGAATGTGGCGCAGGCGCCGCGCAAGATCAAGCTCTTCCTCAACAGACTGACGATTGGGTTCGACGACGTGGAGGATAGCGAGCCTGCGCAGGAGTTTGAGCTGACGGGGGAGCAGGTGACGGAAGGCAGGCGCGTTCCTTTGCGATACGTTCGCTTTCAGGCCGTGAACAGCCTCCACGTACGTCCCTTCCTCGGGATCGTCTCTTCATATCTGTGAGTTGACTTCGACATACGCGCGATGTAGATTTTCGTCGAGTCGAATCAAGCCGACGAGGATCAGACGCGGATTGACGCGATCGATGTCTATGGGTTCCCTGTTACGTGCGTACTCTTTCGACGTTTTTTCTCCATGGTATCAAAGTAGCTTATACACTGTTCTTAGAGGAACTAGAGACTTGAGTGGTCTCAAGAAAGTAGAAGAATGATCGTATAGCAGGCCTCTTTCATGGACTATTGTCGTGCACTTATCAAAGCAAGTGTATTTGTACAGCATCAAGCTGAGGTCTCCAGCTTTGTGACACAATAAACTGCTCAAAACTCTACGCTGTGCACATCGGAACAAATTTTTTCATTTCAGGTCACGCAAACTTGGCGCCAGGGTATTGTCTCTATATTCTTCGCCTATTTACAACTCTTCTTTTTGCTTCTTTCACGTAGCATACATCGCGCGATAGTATCTTCTTCAATATTTGCTAGCCCTACCATGTACTGATTGCTATTTCTCACTCAACTCTGCAACACCGGGGAGGGTCTCCAAACAGATATCCATCAGACTCAAAAGAGAGCACAACGTCATAGCTTCACACGTACCTTGCCCTCAAGCAGCTCGAGACTAGCGCCTCCGCCGGTACTGACATGGCTGATTTTATCCTCGGCACCGTACTGGGCAACGACCGTTGCAGTATCTCCACCGCCGACAATGACGGTCGCGCCCTTCTGTGCGGCCTCGATCGTCGCGTCGAGCAACGCCTTCGAGCCCTCTGCGAACGCCGGGAACTCGAACACGCCGGGGGGACTGCAGACAGCGCATCTCAGCAAACAGCAGCAGGTGCATAGAAAATTCAGACTGACCCGTTCCAAAGAATGGTCTTCGCCTCCAAGACGGTCGTTCTGAAGAGCGCACGACTGTTCGGGCCCGCGTCAAGGCCGATCCAGCCGTCGGGAATGCCGCTCGCGTCGTCTGCGACGCCGGTCTTTGCGTCCTTATCAAACTTGTCTCCGGTGATATAGTCTACGGGAAGGACGACCTTGACCTTGCGCGTCTTGGCCTTCTCAATAAGTGCGGCGACCTTCTCTGCACCGGCCTCGTCGAAGAGCGAATTACCGATCTATGAGTCCCGTTAAGTACCAGCGCACAGAGATCTGAGATGAAGGCACGCACCGATACTTTCTCCAGCTTCTTCTTGAAAGTGAAGGCCATACCACCACAGATGATGAGAGAGTCGACCTATTGCGACTGAGTTACGCTCTCATTCATTGTTACCTTACTGCTTACCTTATCGAGCATGTTCTCAATCAACTGGATCTTATCAGAGACCTTTGCCCCGCCAAGGATAGCCAAGAAGGGGCGCTCAGGGTGCTCAAGTGCCTTTGCGAAGTAGTCGAGCTCCTTCTTCATGAGGAAGCCCGCAGCACGCTGCGACAACTTCACACCGACCATACTCGAGTGTGGGCGGTGGGCAGTTCCGAATGCGTCATTCACGTACACGTCGCCGAGACGCGTGAGGCCCTCACGGAACTCATTCACCTTGGCCGGGGCGGCCTTGGTCTTCTTGCCCTCCTTGTCCTTTGCAGAGCCCTCCTCTTCGATGTGGAACCGCAAATTCTCGAGGAGGATGATCGAACCCGGTGCGGCGTCGTTCACGGCCTTCTCGACCGCGGGACCGACGGACTCGTGCACGAAGATGACAGGCTTGCCGATCTGCTTCTCGAGCTCCTTAGACACGGGCTCGAGGGAGTACTTGGCGATCACCTGGCCATTCGGGCGGCCGAGATGGGACATCAGGATGACCTTGGATGCTCCTGCAGGCACATCAGACCTGCATTATCATCAGGAGAGCGCATTACATACCGTTGTCCAGTGCATACTTGATCGTCGGGAGAGCTGCGACGATACGCTGCGATACTGTCAGATGACGTGCCCGCAGCAGGAGAGGGGCAAACATACGGCTGGGTTGGTGACCTTGCCATCCTGCATCGGGACGTTGAAGTCGACGCGTATGAGGACGCGCTTACCCTTGAGGTCGAGGTCGGTGATGGAGAGCTTGTTGGAGATGGACATGATGGGCGATGGCGAGGAGAGAGAGGGCGATGAGGGGAGGGAGAGCAGAGCAGCGGAGTTATATAGACTATCGATGTTATGAGATCACGCTGACGACGACATCTGCCCGCGATCTCAGCTCGGCGTAGGCGCGTCGCGACTTGCTTCGTGCCTCGACGCTCGACCGCTGAGATGCTCGAACGTGCTTCGTGCTTCCTCCTTGCCGCACATTCATCATGGAGGCACCTGCTGACGCTACGAACAACAACTCCCTGGGCCTCGACCTCGATGCACTCAAAATAAACGATGAGCCGGAACATCCTAGCTCGAGCGAGCCAGCCGAGGAGGAACAGGCGCCACCATCTGCGGAACACGAAGAGGCTCTCAAAGTGGCCGAAGAAACCTATGAGGCAGAGGCTCCGGAACAGCAGGCCCCCACGTCGCCCACGACTGAGGGCAAGAGAGGCGAGGGTAGGAAGAAGCCATATGTCAATCCTGATCGTGTCAAGACTGGTGGCGCTCAGCGAGTATGTGCTTTGACGGTGGTCTGAGTATTGGATTGATGAACTGATGAAGTGATAAGGAGAAAATGAGTGAAGATGAGCTGGCACAAAAGATGGTCCGGATAAAGGAACAGAATGAGAAGATCAAACAGAGGCGGATGGTACATCTATCAAGATATTTACCCTTATCTTCTCATTATAAACGATACATTAGGATGTCCAAAAAGATGAGGAAGCCTTTCGCAAAACGCAGGAGGCCGAGCGTATCAAGGCCACCAAGACGAAGAAGGTGCAGGAAAACATTGATCGCACCCGCGAGCAGAACGCTCGCAGAAAGTTGGAGAAGGTGCATTCTTTTGCAAAGGCAAAGTTCGCCAACAAACTAACTTTCTGATCAGATACAAAGCAGAGAATGGGATTCCGGCAAGCAAGGCCGTGAATGGAACAAGACCCGGAGTCCCGACCAAGAAATGAACGGTGCACCCCGTGCATCCATTGGCATCCGCGGTGGATTCCGCGGAGGCTCTGGCCGTGGTCGTGGGCATGGGCACGGTGGAGTTCCCCCTGCATTCCAGGCAGAGGCTGCCGAGCAGGCGACTACACCGCCCGCTGCAGAGACTACTGCCGCCTCATGATTCTTGGCGAACGATGCTATTGCTATAAACTGAATTCCCTATGGCATCCTGCAGAACGTATACCAAGTTGCTCCTGCCGATGCTATCATACCGCAACCTCTCGTGTTTATGGACTTGATGCGAGGGATTTTCATGTCAGTGTTGCTCCTTATTTACGTCGTGTTCTGTGCTTTGACATCATTTCTTGCTATCAGTTGCTGTCTGTCCTCCGCGTTCGTGTACAGCGCTTCTCTGCTATTGTAAAAGTATTCGCTCTGAACAGAATCTATGCGTGCCGGTTAAAATTATGTACAGAGGAGTTGCCATCAGCCACTTATTTGCCATTACGTGATTGGCTGCCACAAACTAAGATCAACGATGTATTTGTCTGTGTTGTCCAAAAGCTTCGTTCCTGACCCAGTTTTGGCAACTGTTACAAAAACTTCAGTGTGGCTGAAGCCGTTGCTACTCACTTCCAATTTACATTATGGGCCGGGGAGTGCTACTCACGTCCAATCTGCCTCAGCTGCAGAACTTGATCAAGAGAGACCCTGCTGCATATAAAGAAGAGTTCTTGCAGCAATGGAACCACTACAACAGCATCCGGCAAATATTCCAGATCAATCCCGATGAACAGGCTCAGCATTTCAGGGAGCTAGTTACATTCATTGCCCAGGTTCGTCATCTGAGGCTTGAGGCGTGTGTCCGGCTGAGATATAGGGATAGGTAGCACTGTGCTATCCCAAGGAGACGGCGGAGTTCCCATCGCACTTGTCGACCATGCTGCTCGAGAACTATGGCACGCTCTCCTTAGACATGCGCAAGTCTCTCGTCCAGAATCTGGTTATGTTGCGGAACAAGGATGTCGTTACGTCCATTATGTATGCATTTCTCCGCGTGCCATTCTCTTTCCAGCTCATTTCGCGCATATAGCCTGCTCAAAACTCTCTTCCCTCTCCTCCCGCGGACGACCTCCTCATCCCTCCGTGCCTTTATCAGGCGCACCATTCTCTCCGACATCCGCACCGCCAATCTTCGCACGAAGAACCACAAGCTCAATCGTGCCGTGCAGGCGATGCTGTTCGGGATGATCGAGCGTGGGATGGACCAGGAGGTCGTCGGCGACAAGGGGAAGCTCCGTGCGGCTGCAGGCGCCTCTGCTCATGGTACGCCGCAGAATGGCGGAGAGGCGATGTGGGCTATCGTGCTGACGAAGGAGCTGTGGAGGAAGGGTATTTGGTGAGTAACCCGTCTTGAGGTGTGTACGTGGTTGTTGAGCTGATGCGATTAGGAATGATACCAAGACGGTGTCGATACTTGCATTGGGATGTTTTCATCCTGTCGTGAAGGTTCAGAGTGCTTCGTTGCACTTCTTCCTGGGTAGTGACGAGGAGAAGGAGGATAGCGATGACGAATCAGAAGATGTATGCGCCGTTTCTGCTGCTGACGGTTTCACGTTGACGCTGATCGATTCTCTAGGAGCCTGATGTAAAGGCACTACAACATCGCAGAGAGGTGAACAAAAAGACGAGGAGCGGTGACAAGAAGATTCGAAAGACAATCAAATCTATCAAATCTGTACGTCGTTCCTACGGACATCCAACAACGAATTCACCCTATTGTTTCTATAGAATCGAAAGAAGAAGGCGGAATCATCCACGCCTAATTTCCCTGCTATCCAACTGCTGAACGACCCTCAGACATTCGGTGAGAAGCTGTATGATAATCTCAATCGTTATGACAAGCGCTTCTCGCTCGACCACAAAATTCTCATGATGCAGCTCCTCTCGCGCGTCATGGGTTCTCACAAGCTCTGCGTGCTCGGCTTCTACACCTACATCATGAAGTACCTCACCTACCACCAGCTGCGCATTCCAGCGATCCTGGTCGCGCTCGCGCAGTCCGTGCATGACCTCACGCCGCCCGATGCGCTTACGCCCGTCGTGCGCAAGCTCGCGCAGGAATTCGTGCATCCCGGCGTGGGCAGTGAGGTCATCGCGGCGGGCCTGAATGCCATTCGCGAGGTGTGCAGGAGACAACCGTGGGCGATGGAGGAGGATCTGCTGGGCGATTTGGTGGAGTATCGGAAGAGCAGGGATAAGGCGGTTACGGCCGCTGCGAGGGGGCTGTTGCAACTGTTTCGTGATGTCAATCCTGGGATGCTCAAGCGGAGACAGCGGGGTAAGGAGGCCAGTATGGGCATAGCGGGCGGGATCCAGCCGCTGCCTTTCGGCCACAGTACTGATGCAGCGGTGGATATCGAGGGTCTTGTAGTGAGTGTTTTGTTCGTCCTGCAAGAATCAATGGCGCTAGATGGGGCTCTTAGCTGTTGGAAGATCACCTGGAGAAGCTGCGGGAAGAAGACGGTGCAGCCTCGGGAGATGAAGAAGAGGATGATGAGGCTGCTTGGAAAGGCTGGGATATTGAGTCGGACTCTTCGGAAGATTCCGATGATTCAGGAGGATGGATAGCCGTTGAGTCGGATGGAGAAGATAATTTGGACGTTAGCGATAGTGAAGATGAAGGAGACCAGAAGAAAGAGAAGGATAGGGGCGACGCTCAGGGCGATAAGCAAGTTGAGACGCCAGCGCCTGTGGACGACAGCACAGCTGCCCGTGTCTCGTCGTTAGCGACGACGAAGGTAACGTATACCTTTAATCGATGTTCACCCTCGAACTCAACATCGTCTTCGCAGATCCTCACACCGGCCGACTTTGCCCTGCTCAACGACCTGCGTCTACAGGCGGCCTCTAAAGCTGTCGAGCGTGGCGGAGGCTCTACTACCAAGCGGAAACTGGCAACCCTAGAGGCCAATAAAAAAGCCCTCGCTCAATCCGGCAACCCAGAGAACACCTTCATCTCAGAAGATGACATCGTCGGTCCGCGCAAGAAGGCAAAGGCAGATTATGCTGAGCGCATAGCGTCGATCGAAAAAGGCAGAGAGGGTCGCGAGAAGTTCGGCTCGCTCAAGGGCAAGAAGAACAAGGCTGCGCCGAGCAGCTCGACGAACAGAGAGAAGGCGAGGAACAAGCCGATCATGATGATACTCGCGAGTGGCGCAGTCAAGAATAAAAAGAAGGCCTCGTTGAGGGAGAAGCAGCAGAAGCTGAGGGCGCATATCGAGCGAGCGAAGAAGGCGCATCATTGATGGGTAGAGGCTTGCACTTGATCCGTATGTGCTGTGATTGTGCAGTCTTGTCTGCCAGAAGTGGCTCTGCCTACGATGGGTTTGCTTGTCCATTGCATCATGGGCTCAAAACTTTCAGTCGCCAGCGTCACAGACACGGTCCGGGACTAAAGCGGTACTCAGTTTCGAATTGCGATTTCATTGCACAGTTGTTTGGAAAAACACACTTTCTCGTAAGGAGCATGTAACGGAACCGTCATTGTTCATCGCAGGGTCGTTTTCAACCTTCTCCATTATGGCTGGTTTAACACCCGCTGACGGACGGCATATATAACAAACACAAAGGCACAGAGATTCGCTCCACGAAAGTGTATGATAGATCAACGTTAACTTCAAGGACCCGTCCCCAAAACTCCTTATCATCGAAGTCTATCTGGACGTTCCTCTCGACATCTGGATGGTGTCTTGCCGTAGCGTAGAGACTTTGCTCTTAGGAGAAGAAGGCGAAGTGAATCATCCTCGGACCTCTTAATGCATATAGATCTGTGCTGCCAGCCAGCGGCACTAGTGACTGATCGACAAATCGGCTCTTGGCTCCATAAGCGCTCGCGGAGTTTAACGGTTCTTGTGGCTGAGCGCTGTTGGACTTGTCAACTCGCACCGACTGCAGCTCGAGCTTCAATCATCACCTTATCAACCGAATTCTGTATAGATGTAGTAGGTTTTTTTAAGCACAGTAACCAGTGCTTGTCAGTTAGTATGAATGAACTGCCCGAAGTGTTACAAGACCATGGAGCTACTTTCCACTGTTATAGCCCGGCGATCTGTGCCAAATCAAATGAACTTATCGCACATTCAATCACGAATGGACTAGCACGGTGAAAATTTGCAATCATGTGCCCGAAGCTGATGCGTAACTGAATTCTATCCTGCTATTGGATCACGCGCAGGTACTCATTGCATACTTAATAGATCTCTGAAGGTAGCCTATCGCACTTCTATTCCGCGGTACCTCCACAATGAATTGCAGAACGATTGTGGTAGTGTCACCTCATCTGGACCCTGTGATGCTATCGCTAGTCAGCAGGTCAGTCCCTTACCTTAGAAGTGCGAGAAGGTGGATCGACAGATTGTGATTTGTATGGATGCTTTCAAGACTTCCACAGTTGCACTTCGTCTTCTGCCGCTCGCTACGATAGAATTCGCTCAGTCGGCACCGCCGGTGGAGGGTTTGCCTATCTGCTACTCGCAGTGTCTATAAAGGCAACATGGACGCAGCACTCCATCCTCGCGCCGGACAAGACACAATGCCAGTCGATTTCTCATCTGCTGCATCTATCGCGACCATCATCCTTATTTTCTCGCTGCAGCTGCTATGCAGTCGTATGTTCTACGCCACTCGTCACGTTAAGTTGCCTCCTGGTCCGCGTCCCTTACCTCTGCTTGGGAACATCCTCCGGTTACCCCACGACTTTCAGGAGAAAACGTTCGCCCAGTGGGGTGCACAATACGGTAGATGTGTTAAAATCGTGAACGCACATACAACCAGTACTGATCTCGCGTCATGCCCAAGGTGACCTCGTCTACGCATGGTTCTTCCGCACCCCTGCCTTGGTGATAAATTCTCTGGAGGCAGCGCAGGATCTGATGGAAAGGAGGAGTGCAAATTACTCTGACAGGCCGCGTTTCGTCTACATGGGCGAGCTGTCAGCTCAGTGAAAAGGGGTGCTATTCGGCGTGCTGATAAATACAACAGGATGGGCTGGAAAGCCATCTTCACACTTATGTCTACGGATACGCACTTTCGGAGGCATCGAAAGTGGATGCAGAATGCATTTCAAGATAAGGCAGCGCTGTTTCGTTATCGGCCTGTGCAGCAAAGGGAGGTATTCGTCCTACTAGCAGGGTTGTTGGCCGCCCCGGAGCGTTATTCCGCTCAGTTCAGAAGGTACCGCATGTTCCGTGCTTCACCGGGATGGCAGACTACTGACTTTGAGCCCGAGGTTCGCCGCCGCCACCATTGTAGAAATAGCGTACGGGCACACCGTCAAAAGTGATGATGACGAATACGTCCGCATGGCGGAGAGGGCATTGATAGAAGTGACGACTCATGGGAGTCCTGGAGGGACATTACTTGATCTCTTACCTGCCTGTGAGTGATTATGTTTGATGTTTGGAGAACGTTCGTCAGAATGATCGTGCCGACAGTGAAATACTGGCCCTCTCGGCTTCCAGGAGGCTCTATGAAGCGGCGAGCCATCAATGCTAGCAAACTGGTGAGCGAGATGCTAGATGCTCCGTTCGCAATGGTTAAACAAGCGATGGTAATCATTCTGATGTGGTGGGAAAGCTAAAAGTTGATCTGACCAATCACCTCAGGCTTCTGGGACTGCCTCACCATCCTTCGCATCAAATCTCCTCCAGGAAGTATCCAGTGAGAGGCCGCTCACGAAACAGGACGACGAAGACATCAAAGGGGTCACCGGTGTTCTATATGGAGGTTGGTATCCCCCTGAAGCCTCATACATCGCAGGTTCTGAGCTGTTCCTTGACAGCTGCTGTTGATACGGTAGTTGTTTCCGTTGTTGTTGTGTTCCCCACAAAACTCAATGCTTCTATCTAGACGGCTGCATCGCTGGAAGTGTTTCTGCTCGCGATGGTTCTGAACCCCGCCGTATACAAAAAGGCCCAGGCAGAAATTGACCGAATTGTTGGGAAAGAGCGTCTTCCAGAATTCGATGACCGTCCCTCGCTTCCCTATATAGAATGCCTGATCAAGGAAACGTACCGGTGCGTAAGTTTACATCCTCACGGACTCTGCTTGCTGAACGGACTTCGTTGTCAGTTGGCACACTGTCGTTCCTTTAGGTGAGCGGCTTCATTTGGTGCTGCCGATATGCAAGCTTAATCCACATAGGTCTACCGCACAAGTCGATCTCCAGGGACAGTTATCGTGGATACGATATCATGGCAGGGTCCACGATCATTCCAAACATCTGGTAAGTGGACGTCGACAATTGTACTAGCGAAGCATTGCCTTATGACTCAGGGCAATCTCGCGGGATCCGACAATGTATCCTGAGCCGGATACCTTCCGCCCTGAACGTTTCGAGGAGGACGGTGTCGTCAATCCGTGGAAGTTCGTATTTGGCTTTGGACGCCGGTAAGTCTCCCATTGCTAAGGCAAGTGATGCAAAAGAAATAGCAGTAGTAACTGATAGAATATGGCTCAGCATTTGTCCTGGCCGATACATCGCGGACAGAAGCGTATGGCTTGCCATTGCAAACATCGTAGCGGCATTCGATATCATCAAGGTTCAAGACAATAAAGGACTGGATGTCGTTCCTCGGCGAGCCTTCACGTCCGGATTCACAAGGTATCGTGTAACCGAGTACATCATCGCCTTGATGGGCATTGATGCTCCGACAGCCATCCTGTTGATTTTCAATGCACCATCAAACCAAGGACCGACAAAGTTCGCTCTCTGATCGCCCAAATGAGCGAGGGGCTCAGCGTTTGAAAATCGTCTTCTAGCCCGGCCCCCTTTCTTTTCGGCTTCTCAGCCCAGGGTGCGAACAAGCATTTCTCGATGTAAAAGAGTTCACTTCGAGAAGCCGAATGGTTTGCGACCTCCAAATGTTATCTGTTCTTCCGCTGACACTATTCCCGACATTGTTCCGGTTCTTTGCCTGTAAGACTAGCAGTCGTCTCTTCGCTAGGGAGGATACTCGTGGCAGCTGTGATGAAGTATTCTGTAACTCACTCGTGAAGTCGTTTCTCCAATGGGATTTCATCAGGTCCTGATTCCTTCATTGATGATATATGAACAACTCGGCGAAGTTTGAAAAAGGTGAATGCATGCCGTTTGGCCGCATGTCTTCTGATACGAAGACTTGGTAAAGCTTCGTACTCGCAGTGATGCTGCTCTCGGCCAGAAGAGGCTGGTGTCCCATCTGTCCTCATCCGACACGCTCTTTTTGTCCAGGTCATCTCACTCGCACTTTATGGAAACCAGACGCTTTATCGTACGTACTGCATCAGCCGGTGACACGATATACTAAGATCTTGCACAGATGAACGGCATATGGAAACGCATTTCTATTGACTCAAAGATACCCGGTCGCCGATGCCATACTCTAGCCCGAATGCAGAACGCGTGCATGAACTTGTCGTTATCTACATACCGAGCGGGTGAAGTTTTACAGGCTCCGCACTGCCGAGCGGACGAACGCTACGTCCTTCGTTTCTATTGTGTCCTTCTTGTGCGCAAGTAGAATGAACGTACATTGTTCGGGAATCGGATCTGAGGTGAAACATATCTCCTCTGAATGCAATACGTCCCAGAGCATATCCGACGTAGTCGACGTGAGCATGGTACCGTGATAATGGGCGGCGTTGTCCACAACCTTGCATACCGAACCCGAGATGAATCTTACGAGCGCGAGTGTAAGTCTTCACTAGTGATCATCCAGAGAAGAAGCCACCCAGACGAGAGTTGCATTGAACTTGACCTTGCTCACTCAAACGTCATTCCTGTCGGTCACGTCGGAATCGATGCTCAACGAACGGACAGCATGGAGGACCACTTGTGCTGTTGCATGTCTGTCGAACGAGGTAGCAAAGACGATGGCCACCAATGCGGCGTCACGTATTCGCTCAACGGCGCTACTTTTGAGTTTAATCTCAGATCGGCTGTCTCCGATCTCACTGTCTCTCTACAGCCACCATGTCACTGAACCCGACACCTCCCAGAACCGCACCAGAACACGGTGTCCTGCAAGGTCCTCAGCAGGCTTCTAAACGACCCAGCGATGAGATACTGTCGTCTTCGTCGTCCAAACGCTTCAAGCCGGGTTTTGAGGCTGCCTTAGCTGCGGCGCGCTTTGTCGATGAGGAAACCATCCCATCATTAAAGGAAACATTTAGGCTGCTAAAGGAACTGGGGCATAACACATTTCTCCTCGAAGGTACTGTAATCACCTGGCAAATGGCGGCGCATTTTGCCCTCTATGGAGCTGATGCGTGGACGGAGGCACACAAGGAGCTTCTCAACACCCGCCTTGACGTGCCCGACGACGTGCCGGATGTAGTTCGTGAGTAGTGTTTCCACTTTTAATATAACAGCCTGCAAACTCGTAAACCTTCGCAGGGCAAACTTTGCGCGCTGCCAATGATGAGTATGCGAAATTTAGTGATCTGTGCAAGCAATTCCTATATTGCTCCCCTTCTCTGCCATTTTCAGCGCCTGTACCCGTCGAATTAAATAGAGACCCACTGGCGGCAGAGCTGTACCAGTGTCTGCAGGTCAAAGTGAAAGTGCGAGGACGTTGGACGCGCGAGGACGTTGAGCGAAATGGTGCTTCATTCGTGAGCAATGAGGATGCGTCACATGAGATTTTACAATTGGCGCAGAAGTTATGTCAAGCGCGAACCTATACTGCGGTATGATTTTCTCCGTCGCTGGAAGTGTATCTTAATGACCATATCTCATTTCCAATAGAACGACAGTCATGACGACTTCTAATGTGCAGTCAGGATTGCTGCCCTCAGTTATGCAAATGAGGCACAGGCACCCTATACGCTGACCAGTTCAAATCCAATAGTCAAGGATAATCAAGAGCTTTTGGAACTGTGCAATGTCGTTCACTGTTTCATTCCAGTCATGGCAAGCATTGCCGCTCGCCGCTCATCGTCCTTCAAAGCCAGCGTCTTCAAAAGATACTTCTTATATCCGCCTTTCTTTTATAAAAGGGAAGGTGGTGAGAAATTCCAGTAAAATTCTGAACCTGATAGTAGAACTTCCCGTCTTACTCTTTCTAGAGAGTTGCCTTCAAGATTGTCCTTGCTTGTTACCGTCGGGGCCGACCCCTCCTCTAGGAAGTACAAGTATACTCTAAAAAGTGACTTCAGCATCGTTTCCAGCAAGCTCGACTTCCCGTTGGTAATCGCGGAGGTAGCATCCCACGAAGGCGACCGCTATCGTATGCTGCTGCAAGCGACCGCCTTTGCACGCGCAGGCGTTCACCTTCTCAAAGCTGACTCCCAGACACGATTCTTCGTAGTTGCCATCTACCTCACAGCGGAACTCGTCGCGGAACGATACGTAGTCATGCAAACGGGTCCGGATCACTGTGGACAGGTGAGAGACGATTAACGATAACGTCGCCATCAATCTTTGAAGTGACATTTATTCGTATTCAGGTTCACATCTCATCGAAATCCTTCGATCTCAGGATGAACAATGATGCAATAACATTCTTGCACGAGATGTACAACCTTGTGTCAGAAATCGAATCCGTTGAGGACGCCCTCGATTTCTCTAAGAGGGATTCTCTGCAAGCAGTCCGCGAATATGTTGCTGAGGCGATCACTTCATCTTTGCATATCGGCCGAGGCCGGAAACGCTCCGCAGCATCCAACGATGGACAGCTAGAAGACATTCAAGATATAAACGATCGAAACGTTTTCGACGACGACGACGTTTTGACCGTACTTCACAGTATGAAATACCAAATCGCATTTTTCGATTTTGACGTGCGTCCACGTTTGACTCAAATCGATTGCCTGCGCTGACGATGCTTTGCAGAACCCACACATCGCTTTCGTCGTCAGCTCTGATAACGCACTACCATCGGCGTGCTTGAAGTTCGTTAAGAGCGGCGGAACGGAGGTCAAAATTATGCAATATCTTGCAGGCATAGACTCACAGGCCAACCATACTGTGCGGCCCATCCGCGTTTGGCCAGTTGCCAAGGGCACAATGATCATGACGCCAGCGGCCGGTGGTGCGCTCTGCGATATGGATGACCTTGATACATACCTGTGGCCGGTAGCAAGACAGCTGTTTGAAGCCGTGGAATTCATGCACGATCATGGTGTCGCCCACATGGACATCAAACCAGACAACATCCGGATTCCGTTGGGATACGGCCGCCTAACGATAATCGATTTCGGGTTGTCTGTCCGTGTCAAGGGGCCAAGAGATATGCTGGAGGGGTATAGGGGAACGCCGGAATACAGCGCTCCAGAAGTCGACAGTACCAGATACAGTCCAATCCGGGCCGACTTGTGGTCGGTCGGGCAAGTCGTGTACGAGCTGTGCATGGAATGTGAACCGTCACCGCTTCGCGACACGTTGCTCGTCATCTGCGAACTGTTGCAAGACCCAGAACCCGAGAAGCGGCCGATGATGAAAGAGGTGCTTCAGCGGATGGCAGAAGAGGAGGCAGGTAGAAGAGTGCAAAATACTCATATCAGGTATTGTCCATCTCATCTCCTCGATGCCTGCTAAAAGCTCTTTCAGCCCGTCACATACGTCGCCTGTGCTTGTGGACGCGTGAGAAACCGCAAATGGATTGGTGGTTCCGTATGCGCAGAGTGTCCATTGGGAACATAGGAACGTGGCCAAGCATGGGATCCAGCGGTCTTTGGCCACTCGGAAAGAGTAATGCGAAAACCGCGAAGATCGGTTGAAGCTCAAATCACGTTGGCATGTAAGATAGTTAGCTTCACTGGCGTCCTTTGTTCTAAACGATGACGCAGCGTCGATTCTGCGTACGTTATACTAGTTTGATTTGCCTGATAAGTTGAATGCTGGCGTTTCGTTCCAGACATTTGTCCCGTTTAAAGACCTGCCATTCACTCTGATCCAGACGTGCTCTGCTACTGACGTCCTCTCTTTAATGGTTCGTAGGAGGTCTTACGATCAATCTGCGTGCTATATTGCGGGTTGTCCGCAAATTCCTTTTCTTGATCCGGAAGGCGAAGTGAAGAATATCATACGCATCACGTCAGATGTGGATCTTTCGAGCTCGTTGCCAAGTTCTCAACATACCTTTCTGCGTATACACTCGGTAAAGCAGTTCTAGATACGTTTGTGGGCCTGCTACCTGCTTGATGCGCTCACTGACGTTTTTGTTCAGCATGGCTCGTAAATGAGCCGCTTCACTGAACCATGATTGTACATCCCGGTTCGTCCAAATCTTGACTAAGCACTGATCGACCTCATTTCTCCAGGATTATCGGCAGATGTTTGTGTAACGTTACCTATATCAATATAACATCCCGGTCAGCAGGCACATACATTGCGAACCCGCGATCGAGTGTATCGAGGCCTGAATACTGTGTGGCTCGTCTCTAGACCTCTATCAAGCACTATGTGTACGACGGGATGGAACTCCCGTGGTGAACCGGTTCTGCCAACTGTCGACGATGTGTCGTTGCAAGCTAGCTGATATAAAAGTTCCGGTGTGATAACATGATCCGCTTCCTAGGGCGCTTCAATACGACAACCCATAACTAAAAGTCAATTCCATCGCGGTGGACAGTGACGTCTGCTTACGGATGGAGTGATGCCATGGTATTTTCTCCAAATTTCGAAGCGGTGGGTAGAGCTGATGGTTGCATGTATATCTCTCTATTCTTCCGGAATGATCATCGCACGCATTATGACCATTATGACCATTACTTCGTCGAATTGAGGCCTCAGAATCGCGCGCTCTGTTATCACCTCCAGTTCCAGTATAAGGTGATAGGGCCGGTGCCGGCAGAGCCCAGCGGTTGAGCACGATCACACGATTCAAGAAACCTTTCTAGACAGATGAGCGCACGGAAAACATAAGGGAGGAGATCACGAGACATGACGCGGACGAGCATGTCCCAGCGATCACTTGAGAGACGAGACATTAATGGAGAGACCGCGACTTTAGGCGGAGAGCCTTGTGAGCTTCAGGACGATAAGAACCTGTATAATGACGCGGATGTAGCGGGAATATCTTGTATTTGTCTTCCCAAGTTGCCTTACGGCAAATCCAGCAACATGCCTTCATACCTGATCACAGGCGCCAGCAGAGGCATAGGTTTGGCCCTCGCACAGGAGCTGGTAAGCATCGCATGCCGCCCAATCCCAGTTGAGACGACCATCCTCGCAGCTGGCCGACTCTGCCGACAATTTCGTGGTCGCCACGGCTCGTCGCCCAGAGGCATCAGAAGGTCTAAGAGAGCTTGCAGGGCAGTACCCTCCCACTCGTCTCGCTCGCGTGCAGCTTGACGTGACCGACGAAGTCAGCCTCGATAGGGCCGTCGAGGAGGCGACTGCGCTCCTCCCTGAGGGCTTGGACTACCTCATAAGCAACGCGGCGACGGATGTCACGGCTCACATACCGTTCGAAGACCTGTGAGTCCGTCCCGAAAACCCTTGCGGAGCGTCGCTGAGCAGCGTTTTAGCGATCTGAAGCTATTTGATGAGGAGTTCAAGGTGAACGTGCGCGCTCCGCTACAGGTCGTGCGCAAGTTCCTCCCCTTGATCCGCAAGGCGAAGATCAGGAAGATCGTACACATCACGTCTGACCTTGGGTCGCTCGAAATTGCACCAAAGTGGCCCGGCATGGGTCCCACTTACTCGCTCACCAAGGCAGCTCTGAACATGTGCGTCTATATATATATATCTATGCGGTAGGTACGACTGCCGCTCACTTATAGCGCTTCGTGCGCACGCTCAGGCTGGCTCGCAAGTGGGCCGTCCCGCTCAGCGAGGAAGGCATCACCACCGTACTGATCCACCCCGGTGCGTCTAGGAAATTTTTCGCCCACTAGCCGACGCGCACGTTGATTGACGTTCACTTCACTGGCGATGTGCCTCTCTAGGGTTCGTCGCGTCGGGTATGAGTGGTAGCTTGGCGGATACCTATCTGAGCGAGCATGGCATATATGTCAAGAAGATCACGCCGCGCGAGTCTGCGTATGGCTGCGTGAAGGTGTTTCAAGCGGCACGTCTGGAGAGTGCGGTCAGGTTCAGTGCTTACGATGGGAGGGAGGTTCCTTGGTGAAGCATCTTGTCTGAATCCCAATGAGGCATGTAATTTAGCTTTGTTGATGTTGTCACGGATCGCAGGGTTGAAGAGTCGGCTGCTTGGGTATCGATGCCCTCCTTCTTGGTGAATAGATGCAATGTCTTGCTCGAGAGAAGTGAAGGAGAAATGTCGGTTACGACCAGTCTGTGAATGGAACCCGGCTTCACACTCACTCGCCGACGATTCATTCAGAGTCTGTACACCGAAGGTATCATCGCACTGATGGCGCTAAACTCACCTTGGAACAGTACATCGACAAGTTCGCACGCGTACAGGTTAACACCGCTTCCTTCAGACACGTCAGACATGGGATCTTTCGAGCTCGTTGTCAAGTTCTCGACATACATTTCTGCTTATACAATCGGCAAAGCAATTTCAGATACGTGTGTGGCCTGCTATCTGCTTAATACGCTGATTCGTACGCTCACTGATGCTCTTGGCCTTGTTCAGCATGGCTCGTAAATGGGCCGCTTCATTGAACGATAATCGTGCATTTCGATCTCAGATGTCTATTACTGCATCAGTACAACCTCCCAGCTGCAGGGCGCTTTTCTAATATACTCAAAGTTCACGTCCATCGTGGTGGATAGCGACGTCTGCTTACGGAGTGCAGTAACGTTATGGTATTTATTGAGTTCCAGAAGCCGTGATTGGGTTCATTCTGTGCTGATTGTTACGTGTATCTCTCTCTATTCTTCCGGAATGACCATCGCAGGCATTATGACCATGCCACCTTCCATTCCTTCGTCCAATTCTGGAGAATGGCCCTGTTATCGCCTCCTGTGCCGGTATTTATCGCGTCCGTCTTCCCAAGTCGCCTTGCTGCAGACCCAGCAACATGCCTTCATACTTGATCACAGGCACTAGCAGGGGCATAGGCCTGGCCATCGCCCAAGAGCTGGTAAGCGTCGCCCTCCTCCTCCAAGTTCCAATCGGTACTAAACGTCGACCTCCCTCACCGAATCATGTACCACCTTCGAAGCTGGCCGGCTCTGCCGACAATTTCGTGATCGCCACGGCTCGTCGTCCGAACGCGTCGGATGGTCTGAGAGAGCTTGCGGAGCAGTACCCTCCGACTCGTCTGTCTCGCATCCAGCTGGACGTGACCGACGAAGTCAGCATCGATAGGGCGGTCGAAGAGGCGATTGCGCTCCTCCCTGAGGGCCTTGACTACCTCATAAGCAACGCGGCGACGGCTTTCACGGCTTACGTGCCGTTCGAAGACGTGTGAGTCCAAGCCCGTTGCGAAAAGCCATGTGGAGCGTCGCTGAGCAGCTTCAATCTATCCTGCCCTGCCCTACGCTATCCGATTAGCGACCTGAAGCTGTTTGACGAGGAGTTCAAAGTCAACCTACGCGGTCCGCTACAGCTTGTGCGCAAGTTCCTGCCCTTGATACGAAAGGCGAAGATCAAGAAGATCGTGCACATCGCGTCCGACCTCGGGTCGCTCGAAATTGCACCAAAGTGGCCCGGCATGGGTCCCACCTATTCAGTCACCAAAGCTGCTCTGAACATGTGCGTGTGTATCTGTCTGTCTGTCGATCTACGTGGGAGGTACGGCTGCTGTTCGCTTATCGCGCTCGTACGCATGCTCAGGCTGGCTCGCAAGTGGGCTGTCCCGCTCAGCGAGGAAGGCATCACCACCGTCCTGCTCCACCCCGGTACGTCCACGACTTCTTCTCCCACCGGCCAACGCGCACGTTGACGTTCACTTCACTGGTGATGTGCGCCGCTAGGGTTCGTCGAGACGGATCTGGGCAACAGCGACGCGGACGCCTACCTGAGCGAGCATGGTATATATCTCAATAAGATCACACCGCGCGAGTCTGCGCATGGGTGCGTGAAGGTCTTTCAAGCTGCGCGTTTGGAGAGTGCGGTCAGGTTCAGTGCCTATGATGGGAGAGAACTGCCTTGGTGAAGTGAAGCGTGTAGTTTGGTCGGTGTTGTCCGGGATCGCAGGACTGAAGAGTCAGCTGCTTGGGTACCGATGCTCTACTTGATGGATACTTACAACGTCTTGCTCAAAAGAGGTGAAACATCGTCACTTGCGCATCGGCACAGCACATCGATAGGCTTACACACGTACACTTGATCCGTCGACCGAAAAAATTACAGCATCCTGGGATTCATTCTAGTAACTTCGCCGGGAGCTCCCGTCATCACCAAGGGAATTCGGTACCGTCGTTGTTGTAGTACTTGATGTCGCCCGTAAGCGGGGCGTCATCGATGACCTTGAGAGTCTTCTCGATGGCCTCATCAGGCGTAATCTTGACAGCAGGGATCTTGCGTTCTGCGAAGTACGCGTCGTTCTTGTTGCCCATATCGGTGCCGGCCCAGCCTGTGTATCCCGTCAATTTGCGATCGTGTGCGATCTCTAGTGACAAAGGGAGACGTACCCGGGTGCAAGAGGACGGTGGCGATGCCTTCGCTGGCGAGTGGCACAGCCCACAAGCGAACCGTGCTAACCAACGCATCAGCACGATACGAACAGACGACCCACGGACCGGAACGAATCGACTCACGTGTTCAGGGCTGCCTTTGACACGCTGTACACGGGCTGCAGGTCGGACCAGTTCGTAGCCAACGTGATGGATCCGAGGATGGAGGTGAAGAAGACGATCTTCTTCGCCTTGCCCTTGCGGATCAGAGGCAGGAAGGTGCGGGTGACGTGGATCGGCGCGATGGCGTTGACGCGGAGCTCTTCCTCATACAGTTTCAGATCGCTGATTATCATATGATGGGGTCTAAGCGCGCTTCCCGGTGGAAAGTGCAAGCGGGTTAGTGTACGAACATTTTATCGAAGGGGATGTAGTCTTGGTAGGAGACTCCGGCGTTGTTGATCAGGTAGTCCAGGCCGTTGGGCAGGAGAGGCGCAACTTTGGCCGCGAGGGCGTCGTAGCTGGCGAAATCGAGCACGTCCAATCGGAACAGCACGAGACGGTCTTTGGAGTACTCTTTAGCGAGGCTCTGCAGCCCTTGCGACGCCTCGGGCTTGCGCGCGGTTGCGATGACGAAGGTGTCCGGCTTCTTGAGCTGCACAAGCATACGATGAATATTCGTTCCTCCTACCCTGGATCAAAAGACAGGGCTGCTCACCAGTTGTCGGACCAGAACCAAGCCGAGTCCTCTTCCGGCACCGGTGATCAGGTAAGATGGCATCTTGTATGTATCGATGTACTACAGTGGTGGGCGTTGTCAGAGTTCGGATGCGTTCTCGCCCCTTGCAAGCTCGCTCTTTATCGTGGCTCGGGGGTTCGGCCATGGGGGTTATTCAGCAGGACGTCTCTCCCACCCGAATGACGTCGGACTGAAGGGCTGTTACCAGACGTGGTGCAGACGCATGAGCTGTCAACCAAAATGCGCCTACCACGTCGACGATGGCGAGGTTTGATACAACTAGTAAGCTGATAGTTCCATAAAAGGAGCGAAAAGTCGCATGTCTACGCCACCGACTTGGATCTGAAACGTAACCAGCTGATGAAAAGTGAAAGCATTGCGAGTCGACGAACGGCAATGATGCCATGCTTGCATAGTCGCCGTCAATGACTAACGCACCGAAGCTGTCTTTGTAATGCCCGAGGTCCTCAGCAAGCACCTTGGAGACAGCATCGGAGATCTCTACGTCTCCTTTCAACGGGGAGGAGTGTTTCGGAGACGCGACAAGACGGTAAGATACCTCTTTGAAGACCACTTCTCCCATGCTTCCGATCAACACGTCGTGATCAGCGACTGATTAGCCTCAACTCGGATTCTCTGAGGCAGAATAGGCAGACTCTAGCAAAGCTCACGAAGCAGCCCGAGGCATTCGGCCATGGCGTTTCGCGCCACGCGGTGGCGTACAGGCATTGCGCAACTTGCTCCTTCGTATTATGAGCTCGAAGACGAATCACAGAGATGGGTGGCTCATTGTGCGCAACGTTCGTGCCGTAGGACTTGGCCAGGTCGTACACTAAGCTCCTGTAGTCAAGAGCTGACCAGCGCCAATTACCCATTACAAGCAGCAGACATAGCGATAAACTTCGCAGATTTTCCCCGTGGTATGCAGCTCATCAAATATCCAATGTGCAGGATAGTGGAGAAGACAACAGAGGACGTTCAAGTGGTCGAATTTACTCGGAAACGTCCGAAACGCGTGTGTGGCTGAGTGGTCACGTGCGGTCGCGGCGGCTGCGGACACGGGCGCGTTCACTTTTTCGCGTACTCATTCATCTGTTGCCTGGGCAGCGAGGGTCCCTTCTCGTCCTACTTGCCGGAAATTTTCGGTTTCATAATACAATCTGCAGTCAATATGCGCTCCATAGGCGATTTATAGGCGGCTTGGCTACCAATGCAGCTATGGGGCTGTTTATCGAAACATTCTTCGGCGCATACATCTGTTGGCAGCATCTTGATTAACAGATAAAGATGAAAGACGACTTTAAACATATACCCTCTTGTCTAATCTGGGTTTGAGACTCCTTTTCTGAGCTACTGCGATGGCCGTTGACAACCCACTCTTTGGATCTTCGCCTGCGCATGGCAGTTCATCGTTATCTGAGCGGTGGTCACGAATTAACGTCTTCCGTCATCGGCCTTTCCGGCTGAAACAACTCGTTCTGCTTATTGCAACTTTCACCATCTGCTGTTCGTACGCGTTCTTCTCTAGGCATGAAAGTGGCGATCAGCTCCACAGCTGGTCTGCTGAAGACGACTACGTACCCCCAATGCCGGCTGCACATGTGCTGAAGCACGGTCACGGCGGGCTTAGATCCCCCGCTTCGCATGCTCGGCCCATGCAAATTTCCGATGGAAATCCACTCGATAATCCCGCCGTATCAGCTACTGCGGAGCCTATCGTATTCTCCTTCATAATGTTCTCGGAGGACTCGGCCAATGAAGGTGCCATACTGATAAAGGTGTGCATGTCCGTTGCACCGAGATGTCGTGTTCGTGTTCTTACCTGCAGCCAGTCCATCCTAATGTACACATCTAAACCTGTCGAATTTCACATCATTTGCGACGAGCCAGCAAAGGCGTACCTCGAGGGCCGTTTACGACTCGTTAAACAACCCACACACGACATCACCGTCCGATTTTATCTCCTCTCGTGGTCCGCCATGCTCGCACGGATAGAACGAGAAGGCACCATCACGTCCGACCACTCCGCCGGCACGCGTAAGTGATCGCATTCCCCTTCGCTCTTGGGTGGGATGGGATGTGGAGAAACACACACTCACACGAACGCCTACAGCGGGGCTCATGAAACTCTTCATCCACGAGATCCTCCCCGCCTCCGTCCCCCGCGTGATCTACATCGACACCGACGCACTCTTCATCTCCGACCCCGCTCTCCTCTGGGACGTCTTTTCCCACCTCAAGCCGCGCACCGCCCTCGCGATCCCCACCCACCCGGACCAGCACGCCCCGCAATGGAACCACGCAAACCGCATCTGCTCCTGCATCATGCTGCTCGACCTCGCGCGCCTCCGCGCGCTCCGCCTCATGCGCTCGTCCGCCGACCCCGACCCCGCGCCGCCTGCGCTCGGTCCGCAGGCGTTCGAGGCGATGTACGGCGGGCCGGGGGAGGACGGGCACTTTCGGGACGTCAAGCTGGGCGACCAGGGGTATTGGTGGGCGATCGTGAGTCATCGGCCGGATGTCGTGGAGCATTTGCCACTTGCGTGGGAGGTCTCGAGCTGCTTGATGGATATGTACGCGACGGGCCTCGGAGAGGACGACATGTCAGAGGAGCGGCAGCTCGCGATGCAGGTTCACATTGAGGACACGCCGGAAGACGGGCGTGCGGTGCTTCCGAAGATGTTGCATTTGTACGTCGCCAATTTCCTTTTTCTAACCGCTGTCGGAGGTCTACGTTGTGCTCAAATGAGGTTCTTTTTCAGTAACTGCTTGGATGGCACGCCGCATTATTATGAGTGGGAGGGCTGGGCGGACCCCACGAACCGCCTCACGCAGCGGTGGTGGCCGGCAGTGCAGTACCACGTTGGCTTCAAGTGGATATGGCTGAACGCTCACCGCCCGATGGGCACGCTCAAGATCGAGACGGTGGAAACGGTCGTGTTTGCTGACGAGCGAGCCTCGCGGCAAGCAGAGTCATGATTGAATGTGAATCATGTCCGTGGGTCACCTTAATGTAATCAGGTAATATTCTATTATACAATGAGCCATTACAGGGATCTGACGGGAGCCGTATCGTGCAACGAGGCATGTAGAAACGACATTCAGAATTTCTTCTTGAACTCGGCATCGATATCCTGCCTTCTGCAGAGCGAGACTGCGAATTTATCCGCCCCAATCTGCAATGTCAATCCAGTACTCGAACCCTTATTCTTTAGGACTGATGAACACAACAGACCGCGACTGAGGGTGTTCCGTGCTTGGCTGACGATCCTCTGAAGGTGCAAAGGCTTTGGCCAGTATGCGATGCTGATGAGCCAGGCTAGCGATGAAGATCGCTACACACTGTCCATGGGCATCCTCAAAGCAAGTGGCCCGTAAAAAGCAGACAGTGAGTGTCCCAGCATTTCAACCTGACAGCAAGTGCGTGTCGAAGCCTGAGAGACTCACCGATTGCTAGCAAACATTCGTAGAACCCGAGTATCAACAGGATGGATTAGTCGACAAGGCGAAGTGCAACAATCACGGTTGCTAATATGCGTGTTTAAAAGGGACAAATGGTGGCTGGGAGTGGCAAAACTCGCGCGGCCGGGTTATCGATGTCGGGAATGAGATCGGACCCGATGGTCGAACACGCCCAATCTTTCACCAAAGTGCACAAAGAATCTCTTTTGCTCCAAATGCATCGATCCGAGGGAATGTCCTAAAAGACGTCTCTGCTATATCTTTTTTTTTTCAAACCTAGTAAAATCACTCGATGAGTTAATGTACATCACGATACATGCAAAGTAGTGTCAGCAGACAAACAGCAGCGAAAAAGGGAGAGAAAATATCAGAGCTTCTTTTTGAGATGATCATCAGTCACGACCATCCGGCAAAGTGCCACCTTTAGCTTGTCTGCCCATAGTTCACTGTCAACCCAGCACTCTAAATTCCGTCTTTCCGGGACGACGAACACAACAGACCAAGGACGGTCCGTGGTCGGTTGACGATCCTCGGGAAAACGGGATGCTAGGTCCTCAAGGGCCCTGGTCGGTATGCGGTGCTGGCGAGCAAGAGTGGCGATCAGGATCGTTGTAGAGAATTCCCTGGGAGTTTCGGGTACAATGCCATATTCATCGTCATATCCACCGTCATATCTTGAAGACAAGCAGACGAAGAACGCATTGAAGGCCGGAGAATTTGGTAGCCATAAAATCTCTCCGCTATCGGGACTCATACTGGTGAATGCATCGAAGCGGCGCGCAAACTCGAGCACGTATTGCATCATTGTCGTCGCCGACCCAGCAATGACACCTTCTCCAAAGGAGTATCTGATCTTATCTCGTTCTTGGATTTTCCGTCCTTCGATCCACGTATTGCCCGAATGGCACAAAAATCGCTCGAACAGAACTGCGGCCGCTAGATCTGGAGATTGTCCACCATCGTGCAACAGGTCGTATAGCTTAGTAGGGATAGAGGATCCGTTAGGACGTTGGATGTGCAAGTCCATTATGAGTCTGCCGATGTGAGGACTGATGACATCGTAAATCTCTTGCCGACGATCAGAATCATGGGGCCTGAGAAGGAAGACCTCGTCGAAATCCTGGTGGTCCATCAGCTGTGGTACGTTTATCGGATATGCAGATCGAACGATTTCACAGAGCGCGAGTACTCTCTTGTTCCTGTCCTCCATGTCCTCATCAAGCAGTGGTCCTTCTGCAAACTGATAGCAGACACGAGGAACGGGTCCAAATTTGGTGAAAATGTCGAACAGAACAGCTTCCGACAGTTGGCGCCGCTGCAAGGTATTACTGGAGGCAATCACGTACAATCAGTGAGAAAGGAACAACCGTGCGACGACGAGGCAGACCAACCCAATAAAGATCTCCACCCACGACCAGGGCTTCATAACAAACCGTTTCATGTTTCTCATCCTCATCCACGGCCGCTCGCCTGTTCTTGGAGGTACCGCTGCGATAAGAAAGAAAGGAGACCGCTGCGAAAGGAGGTTCTTCGCTGGCTCCTCTAGCTCGCCGCTGACGTCGACCAGGGCGAATGCGTCTGAGAACTGTTCAAGCTGAGCAGCCCGCGAGACTGCTTCCAGCCTGTCCGTCGGTAAACGGAAGACGCCTTTGCCGTGGAACAGATAGACACAGTCCGGTTGATGCTGGTACAAAATGGGTTCGCCTTGTAGGATTCGCATGACGAGAACGTATTGCAAGAACAATGACTTGCCTATCAGTCGAGTTATTAGCGGAGCACTGTACGTAGGTATTGAACGTAGCGTACCAATACCAGGATGGCCTGTGATGAGCACCCCGCCTGACGGGTGGCTCGCGTAGCGCAGATCGACGTGCTGCAACGCCTCTTCATATTCCTCTCTAACAAGCATTGCTTGTGGCTTAACCGAAAGTTCCGGAAGTGTCAATACTCGTAACGGTGGATTATTGATGTCGTGTATGAAATCAGACCCAAGGTCGATCCGACCGGCCTCTCGGAAAAGAGATCTGCATCCATAGAATCCCCCTTGCCCCAGAGACATTGGTGGAGCCTCACAAAGCCCGTTTCGTGGTCCTCCAACGGACCAACTAACATTGGTGCCCTGGAAATGTGCATATCGAGCTGACAGAGTCGTTATAGTGTGTGTAGTCGTTATAGTGTGTGGATGATGGGGAACTGATAAGAGCAGCAGCAATCGGTGTCGGCTTTATATGCTGCTTCGCGTGCATAGCATGTGATCACAACGTGCTGATGAGCACGAAAGAACCTTGCAGCCTCATATGTGCGCCAAGTTCCTGCACCATATTCCAGCATCACATCAAAAGTAGCATGCTGCACAATTTTCAATGTTTACCTACTGTGGCGGCAAAAGGGCTGCCTCCTCTGCATATGTGTCTGTCAGGCAATGCCCAATGCTTGCCGTCGACATGCTACAAGGATGCATTACTTCCACTCACAATGCGATATATACCTACGCTCCATGGTCGAAAGCGATCAAGCGTTCGGGTCGGCGAAGTACTCCCGCTTCGAAATGGAGAGCGGGACCTCGCCAGGCTGCGACTTGCTGTGCGGCTTTGGCCGATGCATATCGACTGCCTCGATCGGCAAAGTGTGCCTTGGAGATATTAGTGGGGGCTGTACAAATGTCAAACCTAAGTAGTATCACTTGGTGAGTTGATGTACATCACAATGTATGCAAAGTACTGTCAGCAGACAAACAGCAGCGAAAAAGGGGAGAGAAAATATTAGAGTTTCTTCTTGAGACGATCATCAGTCACGACCATCCGGCAAAGTACCACCTCCAGCTTGTCTGCCCATAGTTCACTGTCAACCCAGCACTCTAACTTCTGTCCTTCCGGGACGATGAACACAATAGACCAAGGACAGTCCGTGGTTGGCTGACGATCCTCGGGAAAACGGGACGCTAGGGCTTCAAGGGCCCTGGTCGGTATGCGGTGCCGGCGAGCAAAAGTGGCGATCAGGATCACTGCGGATAGTCCGCCAAGATGTTTGTGGGGAGTCCGATACCCTTCCCTTGAACGGAAGAAGACCGAGAATGCATCGAAGGCCGGAGAATTTGGTAGCCATAAAATCTCTCCGCTGTCGGCACTCAGGCTGGTGAATGCATCGTAGCGGCGCGGAAGTTTGTCCACGTATTGCATTATCGTCGTCGCCGACCCAGCAACGACGTTTTCGTCAAAGGAGTATCTGATCTTGCGATATACTTGGATTTTCCGTCCTTCGATGCACCGGGTCGGCGAACTGCACAAGAAATGCTCGAAAAGAACTGCGGCCGCTAGATTGGGAGACTGTCCGCCATCGTGCAACAGGTCGTATAGCTTAGAGGTCTGGGCTCCATGGAGCTGTATGTGCATGTCCAGTATGAGTCTGCCGATGTGACGACTGATAACATCATAAACCTCTTGTCGACGATCAGAGTCATGCGGCCTGAGAAGGAAGACCTTGTCGAAATCCGGGTGGGCCGCCAGCGCCAGTACGTTTGTCGGCGAGTTCCACCCGGATGGAATGCTTTTACAGAGTGCGACTACCCTCTTGTTCCAGTCCTCCATGTCCTCGTCAAGGAATCGACCTTCTGCAAACTGATAGCAGACACGAGGGACGGGTCCAAATTTGGTAAAAACGTCGAACAAAACAGATTCGGACAGCTCGCGCCGCTGCAAGGTATTGCTGGATGCAGTGACATATAATCAGTGAGAAAGGAACAACGCGAGGGCGAAGCAGACCAACCCAATAACGATTTCTGGCCACGACCAAGCATTCATAACAAACTGCTTCATCTTTCTGATCCTCATCCACGGCCGCTCGCCTGTTCTTGGAAGTACCGCTGCGACGAGAAAGAAAGGAGACCACTGTGAAAGAAGGTTCTTCGCTGGCTCCTCTAACTCGTCGCCGACGTCGACGAGGGCGAAAGCGTCTGAGAATTGTTCAAGGTGAGCAGCCCGCGACACTGCTTCCAACCTGTCCGTCGGTAGACGGAAGACACCTTTGGCGTGGAACAGGAACATGGAGTCCGGTTGATGCTGGTATAAGGTGGGCTCGCCTCGTAGGATTCTCATGACGAGAATGTATCGCAAGAAGATTGACTTGCCTATCAGTCGCAGATTTAGCTGCAACACTTTACAGAGGTACTGAACGTAGCGCACCGATACCAGGATGGCCTGTGATGAGCACCCCGCCTGACGGATTACTCGAGTAGCGCAGATCGAAGTACCGCAACGCCTCTTCATATTCCTCTCTAACAAGCATCGCTTGTGGCTGAATCGAAAGTTCCGGAAGTGTCAACACTCGTAAAGGTGGATTATTCATGTCGTGTATGAAATCAGACCCAACGGTCGATACGACTGGCCTCTCGGAAAAGAGTTCTGCGTCCATAGAACCACCCTTGCCCCAGAGACATTGGTGGAGCTTCACAAAGCCCGTCTCGTGGTCCTCCAGCGGACCAACTAACACTAATGCCCTGGAAATGTGCATATCGAGCTGAGAGCGTCGTTGTAGTCTGTGGATGATGGGGAAATGATAAGAGCTGCAGCACTCGTTTAAATGCCGCTTCGCGTGTATAGCATGTGATCGCAACGTGGTGAGCGTGTCTGCACCATGCTCCTGCTCCATATTCTAGCATCACATCAAAAATAGCATGCTGCACGGTTTGTAATGTTTACCTACGGTGACGGCGAAAGGGCTGCCTCCTACACATATGGGGTCTATCAGGTAATCTTCTTGATACAAGAGACAATGAACCCTCATTAGCCGGTGTGCGGCGTGCCCAATACCTGCCGTCGATATGCTACAAGGATGCATTACTTCTACTCACGATGCGGTATATACCTATGGCCCATGTTCGAAAGCGATCAAGCGTTCGGATCGGCGAAGTACTCCCGCTTCGAAGTGGATAGCGGGACCTCGCCAGGCTGCGACTTGCTGTGCGGCTTTGGCCGATGCGTGTCGACTGCCTCGATCGGCAAAGTGTACCTTGAAGATATTAGAGGGGACTGGACAAGATGGACATAGCGTGTATGCATACCTCTCCTCGTCACAACCATATGCCTTTGGTGTGAGCTTTATAACGGTGTGTAACGGGATCTTGATGTACGGTAAGTCGTCTTGTGGGAAATCGTGGAAGTATGCGTATCTGGGAGCAGTTAAACATGTGAGTCTTACAAGGGAGACGAATCAGGCTCACAGACAACGCAGAATCGCCTGGATGACAGTCAGTTAGACACGAGAAGCACTATCATTTCGGACGGTGCGACGTACTTGGTGACCTATAATCAGAATGTTCTCCTGCCTCTCGAGCTCCATGATGATAGGCTCGAGACGCACAACAACGTCTCGATATGATTCACCGCCTGCGAGAGTGGTGTTATAAACGTAGGCGAAGCCAAGCGCACGACACAAACCTCGATACCGATAATTGAACTTATCCTCATCCCGGTTTGCAAAGTCCTCCGGGTACGCTTGCTGTTCAAGGGAGCAGTGAGCATAATGGCTAGCGCTCCAATTCCTGCGAGATCATACTTCAATCTCTTCGTATGTCATGGCATCGCAGACACCCGCGTCAAGCTCGTCCAGCGATTTCCACGTCAACTTGTTGTATGGCAGGTACAGTGCTGTTTGAATTGTGCGTTGCAGCGTAGAAGTCCAAACCTACATAAACAGTCAATGCCAGATGGTTAAGGGAGAGTTGAATGCACGGACAGTCAATGGAGCATCGCCGATGTTGTCGGTGATCAATGCCGGGAGCGCTTTTGCGTACGCCAATCCTCGTTCCGACAGCAGTGCATCGCCGCCGATCTTGCCTTCGACGTTGAATTGGCTCTCGCCATGCTGCGTGACAATCGTGAGCGAGTCAAGAAGGCAACTGAAGGATTGTGGTATTACTCTTGACATGAATATACTTCGCGGCTTCAGGTGCAAGTTCATCAGGTAGAACGCAATGCGACTCTGCAAATATCCGCGGATATGGTTCATTACCACTTGATTTCCGACATTGATGATGCGCAGGTACGATAAATGCGGCTCCGTGATCGTCTCGTAGACCCGTTCATAAGCCTTGATGCGTCGCAAAAAGTCCGCCTTCGCCTCCTCGGGAGACATATCCTTGTAGTCCGGATCACCTGAGCTGACTTTGAGAGCAACGTTGGCCGCGATGACGGCAGGGTCATCGCAGACGGACTCGAGGAAGATCGTGACGAAGCCTTTCTCCTTCGCTACCCGTTCCTGGATCTTTGCCCTGTGGGAGCATGAGTCACGGGATCATGTAGGTGGGTTCACCGCTGTACCTCCGACTACGCGTGCTGTTCGTTGCATCTTCACTCGAGGTATGCATCAGCACAAATACGTGATACCAAGGTGACTTACCATGAATCCCAACGTTTCCGCCATCCTTCAACCACTGGATGAGCATCTCCAAACTATCTTCCGCAAGACTGTCACGGAGCTTGGTTGCTTCCTCATTCTGGTGGCTGAAGTATTCCGCGCTATGGTTCTCTCGCATGCCACTACTGTTACGGATGTCAGTCGACGTTTACTCCCTGTCTTGCCAACTCACGTCTTAGCTTTCTGTCTGGCACGTGAACGGCGAAGTTGCCCGACATTAAAGACCTGAAGTTGCTTCGGACCATTGCCAAAGGACGAGCTAGGTACCATTTACCTTGACATCATACTCTAACCACTATCCTGCACGTTAAACATCATGCAAGATGACAGCGAGCGAGACAGACCTTGAGGTAACGCATGAGCTTGTTGCTGAGATAGGACTTTCCGCGGGCAGGCAGTCCAACCTGTCACATGTCGTTCAATAATTCAATGCGCTAAGATGAACTCCCACGACTACAGACCGTGGCTACAACAATCTTCGCTTCGGAGTAGTCGGGTTTCGCCACTGACAGGTATTGAGACATACATTTGAAGCTGAAGCACGGGCTCTCTCACCTTTGTTCCCAATACCGACTACAGACATCGGTGGAGTTGCAGCCTGAGACGACATTCTGCTTGAACCAGCAGTCGACTGGTCAAACTGCTTAAGCCTAAAGCTCATCGCGATAAATTGATGTAACATGAACTATTTTGAGCACTCACATGGGACCTCCAGCAACGAACATTGCTGGAGGAGCACCTGGCGCGTAGACCTGAAGGTGATCAATCGTGTGCACGCCCACACCATTGCTCGTGTGCATCTCCAGAGCGCCGTCGACGTGAGCGAGATCTCGAGGAGAGAGGGGGGGAGAAGACGGCGAAGATGGCGGTTGAGACTCTGACATCCCGATAAGACTTGTCGCAGATATATGTGTGATTTGGATGGGTTTGGGAAGGAGAGCACAATGCAGCACACACGTTGCTTGGGATGGGCGCGCTCGGCGCTAATCTGAGATGAGATAAACGCTCGGTTGGGACTTGGAAGCGAGATGTTCAGCAATTCCATCAATCTCTGCGACCATCACCTTCGAGACACCTGCGACGACTAGTCTGCATATATCACGGAACGTCTATGTCAGTAGGGCCGCTCGAATCTCACGAGATGCAGCTCATGCAGCTTCACGAATGCCTGTGAAGAAACGGAAGCTCGCTGGACGCGGAGATCTTCTCTGAGAGCGTCGTTGAGTTGTCTATCAAAACGGATGATATCGATGACATGCAGCAATGTGCCTCTGCGAGTCCTTACGCTTCTGAGCTCATCGAACAGCGATCAGTCTTCGTTCGGGATGACTTTGCTGAGTTCGTACGCTTCTTCCATTAATGTCACACTGGCACACCGTGGACCGGTACCAGTTACCCCGAGATCGGTAAGTGACACGAATACCTAGAATGCACTGAAATGAGCCAATTGTTGACTTGCCATTCATCAGACAAGTCGGTGTTAATGCGGTACCTGCTTGTGCCGCCTCTCACCCAGGCGAAGCCCACTCTCCACCAAGAACAAGCCGATCGTATAATATCTTGTTCTAATACTAAGAAGTCTTTCGTTTTCTTGTCGATAGAGCACAAGAAGTCTGGCAGAGTGCTCGCGATGAGCAACTCCTTTATGCTTTCGCGCTTGAGCCGATACGAGCGAGAAGTTGAAGACGCCGGCAGAATGTCGGCCAGCCATGATCACCTTTCTTTGTTATCTAGGCTACATCGTCGGAGTTGGAAGATCAGCCGTGGATGAAGTACAAACACGCTCCTGCCTTTGCCACGCGCCCGAGGACATGGGCAGCAGAGAAGTTCATTGATTAGGAGTCGCGTATACGCCATGAAGTGTGTTTCACGCTCTAACATCTTCCATTACAGGAAGACCTTACAGCCAAGTACGCTCTCCGAGTCATTGTTGTTGAGGGTCTTTCTTAGGTTTGGTCCATCTCCTCGCGTTTGCTGCTCCAAATTCTGCCACGACGACTCGTCGGAATACACCTTATAGTGGCAGGCTTGAAGAGTTTGCGTCTACAATACTTCGCGCCATACTCAGAAAAAGCCTTCGGGTCTGCGCTAACTTCTTCCTGCTCCGGCGTCACGAATCTCACCGCGAGCTTGTGGTGTACGATGTCGTGAGCTGGTATGTTTTCCACTTGTACTTGATGAGGTACAATGGAGATCTCGAAAAACTTGATCTGCCGCTTTGGTACAAGCAGGTTTGTCGCCCAATTCCGCAGCTTCTATCCTCTTTCAACACCTTCCAGCTGCTGAACCAGGCTATGGCCAATGCTAAAGCTTCACTCAGCTGAGACCAGCATAGTCCCAGGGATGATATTACTTCTTTGTCCCTGAGGGTGAAGCGGTAATGTTTGCAGGGATCATTGCTGGGTTTATAAGTCGGCGCGGATCTGTGAGGACTTGCAATAGTTGGTGTACTCTTCGCCCTCCCTGCATCCAAGCTAGCAATCGCGCCTTCCAAGCAGCCAATCGCGAGCAAACCCTGGTATATCGTGTACATGATCCCCGACGCAGACGGCCAAGGATATATATGCTGGGTGCTTCGGGAGGATCTGAAGTGGGAGGAGAAGGTGCAGACCCTATTTTGCAAGATGAAGATGGATACGGGGAGGTTTTGAATATATTGTCTTTTTTGTGAGATGCACACTCACTGTATCCTGCATCCATCCACTTTTTCCTCGATTTCCGCAGAATTCATTTTGTCGGTATATGTAATTGCTCATATATTTTCCGCTGTAGGTGTGCACGGGTGGCAATCTGTTAGAATAGGGACTTGGCCGGCTTTCTGTTCTCAGTTTCGATCTCATTTCCTGCCTCCGCAAGGATCATCATGAGATGCAGGTTCGCCTTCGTTATGCTCACGTCCGACATGGTGTGACGAGATTCACACCGTAGTTGTCACTGCAGACATAAAGCAATTTGCGCATGTGGCAAATGCTTAGCAAATGTCGACAGGTTTTTTGCCTTTGTGATCTCAATTTGCTACAGTTCCTTCCCACATTCCATATTAAGTATTTGCATAATAATATGTTAGAGGCAGAAATTTAAAATCATATATTTAAGAAATGACACCATTTTCAAACTCACCAAATACATTTAGAATTTGAGCGCTGTTGAATGTAATCATACATTTTGAATTTCAAACTATGACATGTATAAAATATCCAGTAGCAGATGAAGGTGTAATTACGGTGAATGACTTTCATTCTAGTAATCTTGGCTAGAATGACTTCAGTAGGGAAGTAGAATGTAGGCATAATCACCTTCATCTGCTACTGGATATTTTATACATGTCATAGTTTGAAATTCAAAATGTATGATTACATTCAACAGCACTCAAATTCTAAATGTATTTGGTGAGTTTGAAAATGGTGTCATTTCTTAAATATATGATATTAAATTTCTGCCTCCAACATATTATATGCAAATACTTAATACGGAATGTGGGAAGGAACCGTAGCAAATTGAGATCACAAAGGCAAAAAACCTGTCGACATTTGCTAAGCATTTGCCACATGCGCAAATCGCTTCATGTCTGCAGTGTGTACCGCTGCTCCGCAAAGTGAGAAGATACGTGCGTGCCGGTTGGCGCGCTCATGTGACCGCGACAGACCAGCGACGGGCGCCTCCTGATTTTCGCATCAAGTCCGCGCCTCAGCCTACTGTCTCCCACATATGTCACCTCAACAATAACAATAATGGCCGCCCCCCTCGCGTCCCTGCGCTCCTTCATCGTCCCGCAAGGCTTCCAATTCACCTCCTCGACGCGCATCACCGTGCAGCGCGACTGGTCCGATGCGAGTGCGAACTGCAGCCTGCACCTGATGCAGCTGTTGCCTCCGGATGTGTATGCCGACTGGTACGAGCTTGCGCAGCGCGCGGGCTACTCGTTCGAGCTGAGAGGCAGCGACGACCTGGAGAAGCCGGTGAATGCGGTGGACTCGGAGCCGGGCGTCTTGTTGCTGGATGTTGCTCTTCCGCGGGACGCAGCGCTGGAGGCATTCGAGCTCGCCGTCGACGTCCCTCTGCATGCTAGGTATGGAGCGCCCGTCTCCGCTTCGCAGGCCGGTTACCACACCATTCACATACCGCAGCCCGTCGGCTTCTGGGCGTGCGAGACCGTTGGTAAGTAACCACCCCCAACGATCACTTCAATCTGACGTTCGAACTATTTAGGGGGCCCTCATCCTCTCCCCCAACCGTTACAGTCTTATATATCCCCTGAGCGCTTTAACTCTCTCAGCATCTCTTTAATACCTCTGGCATCATCCGGTGCCCCCCTCGATGTCACCATACCTGTGGGCAGGCTAGATGATCTGGCCTTCGTCGACATTGGTACTACAGTCGTCATGCTGCTCATGTTTGCCTATCTGGTGTACGTGTCCCTTAGAACTGCCCACCGCCTTTACCCTCGTGCAACGAAATCAGATTGAACATATTTAGTAAAGAATGCGGAAGTGAGTACACCGTTATGACATAAGGCTCTACTGTAGTGCTGATAGATGGAAAAAAACGATGTGCGAATGATGCAAGCAGGACCTTGAGATATATGTACAGTCCACTAAAAGCAATAGGAAAGCGGCGCGCGGGACGCATGAGAGACCATCCATCCAGATTCCAAAACTATCGTGCACAGAGGGTAATCACGTCACTACGCACCGCCGCTGCTTCACGAGGGTTGTCCACTTGCCCCTCATGCTCTCCTTCAGTGCGAGAGTGAAAACCTCCTGCACACCCGTTCCCAGCTTTGCAGAGCATTCGATGTATTTTGCGCCTATCTCGCGCGCGACGCTCGCACCCTGGTCTGTCGTCACGGGTGTCAGTCCTTGAGCGCTCAGCATCCGCTTCGTCTGCTCGTCCCGCCTCAGGTCGATCTTCGTTCCGACCAAGATTATGGGCACTCCTTCACAGAAGTGTGCGACTTCTGGGTACCACTGCGGCGGGAGGGTCGCAGATTAGGTGGGTTCGACGCCGAGTGGCATGGAGACGGAAAAAGACGTACTTTATCTTGCACGTTTAGCAGACTGACGGGAAAGTCGATGGAGAAAACGATGAGGATGACGTTGCTCTCTGGGTAGCTCAGCGGTCGCAGCCGGTCGTACTCCTCCTGCCCCGCTGTATCCCAGAGCGCGAGCTCGACGAGCTTGCCGTCGAACTGCACCATTGTCACGTAGTTCTCGAACACGGTTGGTATATACGCCTATGCGTACGCATGAGTGGCACGTCCTAACGCGTGAGCAGCAGCGAAATCAAGCGATCTACCTCGGGGAAGCGGTTCTCTGCGTAGACGATCAGCAGACATGTCTTGCCACAGCCACCTTTTGTGCGATCGCTGCTTCAGCGCGGGACACGGAGACGTGAGATTGCAGTGCAGCGTACCATCACCTACAACTACGAGTTTGCGCTTCACGTCCGGTCGGCGCGGGGGCGTGTCTGGTCGTGACGGCGAGGCCATGGTGGGCGCTGCAGCAAGGATCGCAGCGTAAATGTGAGCGTGAGCGTGACGCTGTGACTGGGCGGACCCACAAGGCGTGAATCACGGAGTGGCGGGGTATGATAACCGCTGTCGACGACGGTGACGAGGGATTGACGGGGGGACGCGAGGGCAGTGCGGACGGAGAGTCTGGACGGACAGGCGTCGAGTAGCAGTTGGTGGTCACAGAGAGGGAGGGCGTGTTGCGTTCACGTGCTCGCGCCGGCAGGACGCCACACGTGCGCTAGACGCCCATTACACCAGCCAGTCAGAGTCAACGCTGGACGCCTGTTAATTTGAGTTGCGATATTAAACTGCGCTGTTGCCTCCGCTCGTCGCAACGCCGTGATGCTGTGTCGGCGGCCACCTGGGGCTGCACGTAAGCGCGTGGGTAAATCCATGCCTCTTTATATTTCAATAGCGGTATAGTGTCACAGTGAAATCTAGTCGTGGATGCAACTAAGGCGTGCCAGGTACGGTACGGAAAATGTCTTGCGGGGCAGGTGAGCGGATGCGAACAACGACACAGCACAAATACAGTGAATACGAGGGGAGCCGTAGCCACACAGGGAGAAGCAAAATCTAAATGGGAAGGACGATCATTGGTTCGCGCACTGCACGCGCGGTGGGCCATCCTCGTCCTCATCCATCGGCTCCGCCCCGGACGCGCGAGCGCGTTGTCGCACGTCTGCATCCGCGAGCTCGACCTCCTCGACTATGTAGCTCTTCGGGAACTTGTCCAGCGGCGGGCGCGGCGGGAGCGCGCGCTCGAGCATCGGGATCGACTCGGGCTCGATCCGCTCGGGGAACTTGACCGCAAAGTGGATGAAGAGGTCGCCTGGCTCGTGATGCCGGTACGAGGGCATCCCTTGGCCAGCGATCACCTTGACGTCCTCTGCGGAGAGTCAACAAAATAAATTTGCTAAAATCTGACAGCGAAAACTTACCAGGCTTGATGACCTCACCAGGCCGGATGTTAACGATGAGCGCACGGTCGTCTAGGTGTTTGATGGCGAAATGGCCGCCCCCCAACGCTGACAGCAGGTCAATCTCCTGATCAATAATCAGGTCGTCGTCCTGCCGCCTGAACCGCTCGTGAGGCTTCTCCTCAATGACAATGATGACATCTCCTGGCGTCACACCGGGCGCCTGGTCGCTCTCTCCGCGGAAGTTGATTTGCTGGCCGCCCTTCATACCTTTGTCAATGTGGACCTCGAGCATCTTCTTTTCCGTAATGACTTTCTTGCCGTTACACGTCTTGCAACGATCCTTGGCGTTGATGATCTCACCCGTACCGCCACAGGCGTCGCACGCGCTCTGGATCTGCTGGATCATCGGGCCCATCTGGCGCAGGGTGACCTTCACACCCTGGCCGTGGCAGCTCGAACACGTCTGCACGGCACCCTCCTTGCCACCCTTGCCACTGCATTTGGTGCAGATGATGTTACGGGTAAGAGCGAGCTTGGTTGTCTTGCCCTTGTAAAGGTCCTCGAGCGTGACATGCACGCGGTGGACGAGGTCTTTTGTCTTGCGCGGCCCACCGCCGCGTGAAGGACCACCGCCTCCACCGAAGAAACCGCCTCCACCGAATAGTTGGCTGAAGAGGTCCTGGAAGTGCGTAAGGACGTGTGCGGTGTATGTGATCGAATGAGCGGAAATGCACCTGAGGATCCATGCCGCCCATACCACCAGACTCTGACAAACCAGCCTCTCCTCGTGCATCATAAATGGATCGCTTTTCTGAGTCCGACAGGACTTCGTATCTGGTAGTAAGCAATGAACACCAAGACCCACTTACACCGTGCAGAAGCAACTTACGCATGTGTAACCTCTTTGAACAGCTCCGGGTCACCGCCCTTATCTGGATGCAATCGTAGCGCTCTTTGCGTGCAATTAGCGCTGTAGACGAGTCGTTCTAGAGAAAACAAGCTCACTTTTTGCGGTACGCCTTCTTGAGGTCGGATTCCGACGCATCTGGAGAAACCTCGAGGAGATCGTAGTATTTCCTGTAAGATGTGGCGTGCGACGTGCCCGTCTCCCAGTTAGTCACGGTCCAGTCTGCCAGCGAAGAGCCTATGACACGGGGTGCATGTACTCACGTTTCTTTCACCATGGCCGCGAAGGATGTGTCGCCGACGTTGAAAGACGGGAGGAGGACGGTGCAATGTGCGAGGGAGACGGTGCCAGGAAGCGGAGAGGCGAAGGAAATAAGGCGAACGCGTACGGAATGCGATGGAAAAGGATGGAATTTGCTCGAACCCTCGGCCTCCTTGAGGTGATAGACGCCCGCAAAATGTCCAGCGCTTGTTCACCGCCCGCCTTTGTATGGGTACACCACCTACTCGTACTACTACTACTACACAGCTTTGATATATGTGATATATGTACAGGTTCGATACACCCTTCAGAACCCCTTGCTCACATCCGGATATACGTCGAAGCGCCGCTGTGTCGTTACCGGAATGCCCCCGCGCGCCTCTTCGAACGTCTTAGGGTCTGCGGTTCTCTCTGAGTTACCACGGAGGGAGCAAAAAGGCCGAAACAAACGCACCGATGCGTGCATAGACGATGTCTTCGTCGTGTTCTGTCTCTGCAATGACCTGGCCCCTGTGGAGGGAAATCGAGGTCAGCGGAGACCGCCCAAGTCAGGAAGAGGTGAGGCTTACATCGGGTCGACGACCAGCGAGTGACCCCACTGAATACGATTCGATCGATGAGGCGCTAACTAATGAATGAGGTACGGTTCTCACAGCATGGTATCCCGCGGTCATATCTCTTGCCGGGCTACACATCGCAAAATAGACCTGGTTGTCGACGGCACTAGAGACGAGGAGATGTCACTCATACGATCTCGGATCTTTCTCCTGTAGTACACCTACCGTGCACGTTGAAGTAGCTCCCAGTGCAGAGGTCCTGTGGTAAGGTTGAACGCGCCGGGATAAATGAGGACCTGGCAGCCTCGCCGTGCGCTGATCATCGCAAGCTCCGGGAAGCGCACGTCATAGCATATTCCAAGCCCGATGCGTGCAAAGGGCGTGTCAAAGGCATTAATGGTCGTCCCGCCCGTAAGCGTCTCGCTTTCCTTCAATTCACATTACCGGTCAGCATAATGAGAGAGGTTTCCGGATTAAGGAGGGAGATTCGACGCACTTTGAAGGTGATCTTTCCTGGAATATCAATGTCGAACAGATGGACCTTGCGATGCATCGCCACCAGCTCGCCTGCCCATACCGTTCAATATTCAGGTCTCAGTGCACTTCGTGAGCATTGAGCATGGCAACGGAGCAACCTGCAGGCGAGTACACGGTAGCCGTATTGAACACCTTCCCTCCGTCCGCCGCGGAGCGTTCGGGAATCGAGCCTGCGAGCAAGTCCGCGATTCTCGATCAGCTCACCAGATGCCTCCGATGGACGGCTTACCGCCAATGAGCCATACGCCGGTTTCTCGTGCCACCTCAGAGAGTGTGCGGACAGACTCGGAGGGCGAGGACGCGATGTCGTATGCCTGGCCTGGAGTAAAGCCAATAGGCTCGGCGTAGACGGGGAAGTGTACATGTCCATACGGCGAGTTGAAGCATTCCTGAAGGGGGATTTGAAGCGCTACGCAGGCGGGCAAGAGTGCTACTACTTACAGGCAGGACGACCACGTCCGGCTTGGGCTTCGCGCTCGCAGCCTTCAAGACCATGTCTCTTGCATGCTTCAAATTCGCTACAGGGACAAAGGTACATGTCCGCGTTCAGATCGCCGCCCATGGAGATGGGTACAGCGTGTGAAAGGCGCACCAGCCTTATCCGCGCCGACCTGCCCGAGCTGTACAAGCGCGAGCGTGAATGGCTTGAATGCAGGCGGAGGGCTTGTGAGCGACATTGACATTGAGCGAAAGTGAGCGAGTGTGCAGAGCAGAGAGGCTGAGCGCAGCGGAGGCAGGACACGATAGAGCCGAAGCATGCAGCAAGAGATATGGAGGTCAGGAGGCGCTCAAAAGATTAGATGTGATCGAAGATCAGATCAGCCATGCCGTTGATTGATCGATAAGATAATAGTTGAAGTTCAACGGTTCGCTGAACGTCACGGAGCCCTTAGAAGTGATGTCGTCAGTAAGCAACATTGTCGTATACTTTTCTGCTTATATGACCATCTATTTATTTTGCGGTCCTAATATTGCTTCCCGCTCATCAAAATTTCTACTGTGCATTCGAGGATAAAATTGGCATTCGACAACGAAAGTCAAGGAGTCGCGAGTCAGTCAGTATTGTCCATTCAACATATACTAGTAATTATGCAGTATGTCTCGCGATCTATCGTTCGGCGTTCGGCACGTTCTGTGTGATTAAATGACCGGCAGCAGACGGCTCCTAGTCCCGCTGTAACGTGCTCCCTACATACCTTCATGTACCAGAAAATCGCACGAGAGTCAAGGCACTGCATCGTTGCAAATCATCATCTCTGGCCGAAGACTGACATGCGACTGTAAGAGAGTCGCTAAACAGTGCAACATGACATGCGATCCGTAATGATTGTACATAAGTGTCGACTTCCGTGCTCTATCATTCCTCCCTTACCATTCTTCGAGATATGAGCCACCACAGTCCGAGAGTCTACGCAGATATCACACAAACACGGCAAAACCAGACTTGTCGTCTACCGGTATCACAGCGGCGCAGGTCGCCCTTCCGCCCTTATCTATCGTGAAGACCTCACCGTCGGCGCACACAAGATGTGCGCGGTCATCGATGTCATCCTACGGCACGCATCAGCGATCGTCACACTCACAATATCAATCCCACTCACCGGCTCCCATTCCCACCCGCCACAGCGGAAATACTCAACGACGAGCGGTCCATCTCCTTCAGTAAGAACACACCCATCCTCCGCATACCTCAGCACCGTATGCGCGCCATCCTCATACGCACCGCCCAAAACAGCCTTCGCCTTCTCCGCAAACGCCTCACGGACCTCCCGCGAGTCCATCTCCACACTAGGATCGCGCTCCGGGCGGAGCACGACGACGTCCAGCGCGGGGCCCTTCGGCGGGACATCGCGCGCATGCGGCGTGATACGGAACGCAGGCTCGAGGCGGTCGACATTCGCCGTGGAGAGGAAGTACGCGAACGGACCGGAGAGATCGACGAGCGGGTCGGACTCGGTGCTCTGCGGGTGCGGTGCGAACCTGCGCGCGGCGGGGTCCCAGAGCTCGACGCGCCCGGTGGCCTGCGCGGGGAAGAGCGTGACGGAGGCGGAGTACCAGCGCGCGAGGTTCTGCGCCGCGGCGCGCTTGAAGCGCTCGAGCCCTGGGACGGAGGCGCGGAGGGCCTCGGCGTCGTGCAGGATGGAGGCGTGTAGGGAGGTGGAGGCGACGACGGCGGAGACGGCGGTGCGTGGGGGATTGTGCGAGCGGGGGGGAGGGGAGAGGGTGGTGAGGGCGAGGGTGAGCGGGACGGTTGTGCCCGAGGCGAGGAATGCGCGGAGAGAGCTCAGCTTGTAGTCGGTGCTCGTGGCGTCTTCCTCGCTCTGTGGTGGGAAGAGCGAGGAGTAGAGCGCGTTGGCGGTTCCGCAGGGTAGCAGGACGAAGGAAAGCCTGGCTGGAGGGGCGGATGCACGCACGCCCTTGGGCGGGGTGTTCGTGAGCGTTTGCACGATCTCGTGCAGAGTGCCGTCCCCGCTAGCGAGGATCACGGTGAAGGGACCCTCGACAGACTCGGTATACTGCGTGACGAATTGTCCTGCATGGCCGTCGTGCGTTGTTGTGAGCACCGGGGCATCCAGTTCGACGGTGGCCTCTTTCAGTAGAGGTGCGACGTGTGTCTCATAGAATTGGACAGCAGAGGCATCGCCGCACACAGGATTGCAGATGGCAAGTACGCGCATCGCGAGGTGTGTCTGTAAGCTGATCTAATTAGCTGGAGCTAGTAGTGGTAGCTCCAAAATCTATCGAATAGATGATGCTTGTAGGAGTTGATGCTGTTCTAGGAGGAGAGCGTCAGACGCTTTCTCAGCTTCAGACCCAATGTGGCCGCCTGAGTGTGAGTGGCGGTGAGAATAAAGATTGCTCCCGCGCCACCGAGATCGCAAACCAGAGGTGCGATCAAATCTTAGATTGGTTATCTACGTATTGATAACTCTTCGGCGAAATCCGTCATCGGCTATAGCTGGCCGCACGACCAAATATTCAAGAACGTCCTCCATGAGATCTGCTTTCACAAGCTCCCATCGACAGTCGAATACTTTAAGCTAACCAGGGAAGTGAGATTATTGTCACTGGAGGAAGGAGCTGTCGCAATCAGACTGTATTGGCACGCGCGAGGTTCAGCTTCACCGTGACGGGCCCTACGTCCGAAGCACTGACTGCTATAGGTGTCGACTGGCAACGGCGCAATCCCTGGCTGCTGTAGGTGTAGCGAGTGGGCCATATTGACCTCGTATTATCAGATTCAGAGCGTGCAGAACATCTATAATCTATAACATTCGCTGCGTGCCTGCTGCTAGGATGCTGATGTTGAATTCCGCTAGGGGGTCCGCTCGAACGCCATTGTCTTTGGACCTAATATTGCAAGGAGCAGACCGCCTCCCGACTCACGACAAACGACGGTCTTGGGGACGGCTGGATCCCGAGTCAGTGAAAGGCATGATTAAACCCCGCCTATGGGCTTTTCTAGCGAGCTCCATTGTGCTCCATATCGTCCATCTTGCACACGTGTGGTTATAATGCAGACACGCCACGTTTTCTTGATATATAGGCGGAGATGTCCGACTGCCTGGCAATATCCTACCTACTACCGTGGAAGCGAAGGAAGGACAAGTTGTCCGTCGATCCCCTCACACCGCGCGTCTTGGCAACGTACCTTGCGTAATGGACTGCCTGAGATGTGTGGTGGCTTCGGCTCACTATAGGATATACCCACTGAACACGCCCTTCTTTCTCTCATAGCCCACTTGTGCTTCTATTTCTTTTATTCTAGTGGTCTCATAGGCATGTCTAATCCAGGGCATATACAGAGTCTCAGATCTCGCAGAGTCATTGTACATAACTCATCGATTGGACTTACTTAGGCGTAGCACTGCCCAGGTAAAGAGATTGGGATAATAGGCTCTCACAGAGAACAGAATGGAAGCATCGGAATCAGAGATGCATCGGGCCAGCTCTTGAACCTGGGCCAAAGCTATGCCAGTCAGTCAGAAATCTCAGTCTTCCTTCGTCATTGTGCACAAGGCGACGGCATCCAATAGGGCCGGAGATCCGACTTTGGGCATCGCAGATTGAAAAACAGAATCTCGGGAACACTGGATGATAAGGAGTCGGACAGAACAATGAGTTAGTTCCCTGTGGCGCTGGCATAAGTGCGCTGTAAGTAAGGGAACTGCGATGGAGAACCCACGGTGTTACAGAGGTTTGACTTGGAACGTGCAGTCTTGAAGGAAGTCGGAATACATCATTCTAGAAAGTCAACAGACGCACAGCTGTCAACGTGAACCACCACACTTTGACTGTAGCACCTAGCACACACGCATACGACCTCATGTTCGGAAGGGCGGGTACAACGGACGCAGCTCGAGTCCTCAAGGTCGTGAGAGAAACTTCCGAGCCGCCAAGTGATGTTCATGTCCGCTCGAGACGCCTCAAGGCCTCAAGGCCCAAGTCAGCGGCGCGATAAAATTTTAGATTGGTTATCTATTGATGACTCTTCGGCGACTCTTCCGTGTGCTGCATCGGATGCATGCAAGTCATCTGCTACATAATGGTCGCACGACCAAATATCCAAGGCTGTCCTCCATGATGTCTGTCGTGCATGAGATCTGCTATCTGCATTCTTAAGCTCCCATCGACTGCCGAATATTGCATGATCATAGAGAAAGATCCAAAACAAGGAGGTTTAGAGAATTTTTCAGACTTACTGTTTTTGTTGGTGGTGACAATCATATTTGATTTTCCTGACGTGGCCGGTTGACGATCGATATCGATAAGGTTCAGGAACAAGTTGCCTCCTCAAGGCAGACTTTGGGGAAGGGGAGGACAGAAGATATATACTAGGTCTGCTTCCAAATACGCCTCTCAATTCGTATAGACCTGTATAGTACGCCCTTTGAACCGAGTATGGAAATGCCGAGACATGCCGAACGATGCAGTCGACGCCCCGCTGGCTTCTCCCTGATCCCATCTAGATCCCATCGGGCGTACTTGTGGCGCTCCTAGTATTTGACTCTCAGTGTGCGAGTTTGATGTTCCATTTGCTGATGTGCTGCGGTACTAGGAGAGGTCTTGCGAAAACAACCATATTGCATCAATAGGTCCATCCGACATCACCAACAAGCATCGAAAAGTGACTCCCTGATCACGCCGTTTCGTTGACTTCATTGTGGGCGTCGCACTTCTTGATTGCAATGGATGCGTAACTGCGCGTGGTATGGAGAAATTTCTGTGAGTCAGAAGGTAGGTGAACACACCGAACTCAGTGCGGACGAATGAGTCAACAATAGGCCCCCCCCCATCTGTAAGCCATAAATACAGCCGCCTTCTGTCAGACACTCCCCATTCCCACTGCTACCAGTTGATTCCCACTGCAAATCAGCGCCACAGAGTCCAATACAAACCCTCATCATGGCACCAACCCCAGCCGGCACAGCTCCTGTCATCGACACGCGATTCGTCGTTGGAGGCATTTACATCATCACTTTCATACGCACCACCAGCGTTGAGGGCGGGTTTCACTGGGGATTGTACCACCACACATCTCCTTCGTCGGGTACCAAGTACCATGTCACGAACATGGGTCCTGGTTGGTTGGCCGACCACGGAACCACCACCGGCGTTATGAGATCTCACCTTCTTGTGGGACTCAAACGAATAGGTTACTGCAGCCCTAGTAGCTCCAAAGAGGTAGCCGATATTGTGCAGAGCGTTCCGTTGAACCAGGTGCCACCTGGGCGTGATGTGCTTGACTGCCGCACGTGGGCTATGCACATCGTTGGCATACTCATCGCGAGAGGCTACGTCAAATGCTCAGATATCCAGGCATTGGAGAACGAGGTTCAAATTTGGAGTGAAAAACATCATGCCGACAGCCATAACAACAGACAGCCGCGCGTCATCGAGGATTCCACGGTGTGTAGGTTCTGATAAGGTGCGACCTTTGTCCAGTTGCCTTGCTCATAAAACGCAGCTGACTCCGGAGACAGACCTATACTGTGACGTCCAGTTCGATCAAATGCATCATCGACGTGGTCAATCCTCGGTTAGCCATTGTTGGCATTGCGGTTCAATGGCCCTTGACATAGCGGTCCGCCTTGTATTGCTTGCGAAGGTCGAAGGGGGATGATCGGACGAGGATGAGTTCTCACTGTACCTGCACAACCGATATTACAACTATATGTAACGAACTGAACTATCACCTGTATGTGCTTGACTCCTTCGCAACATGCGGAAACTATGCATTGCTCCATTGTACGAAATCTGGTTGCATTAAAAAGCCGACTCACTTGGATGGACATTTGGTCTGGGACATTGGCACGGAGACCGAAGATTATGCGCCTGATGCAGTGGCCACCTTCAAGGTTGCTTACGATGCTAGGCTGTCTTAACTATGAACAACTAGGGGACCCGTCAGCTCGTTGCGCACCTTCTGGTGGCTCGCCACACTCGCCTCTGAGATGCGCCCGTTGCACAAGGGAGAAACGGCGGTTTCTATTGCCGCGCCACATGCGGGCCTCGCTCCGCACGCCCGCGTGCACTGAGAGCGTTGCAAGGTTCTGGGCGAGTTGATGGAAGCACAGCCCAGGCTGCCCAATTAAGTGCGTTTCATCTGCGCCACGACATCAGGAGCTTGTTCTCCAAATCGGACCACCACCGCCACGTTCTAGTATATAAAGTGTCCATTTCTCAGCCCATTGACACACCATCTTCCTTTCATCATGTCCACCAAATCAGCTGTTGACTCACGCCTGATAGTCGGCGGTATCTACCTTCTGCTCTTCATCCGAGATCGCGACATCGACAAGGGCTTTCACTGGGCACTGTACCATCACCGCGCTCCCAACAGCGGTTACAAATTCAATGTTAAGCAAATGGGCGAAGGGTGGATCTGCGACAGCGCACCGAACAGCGGCATTATGAAGTCATTCCTTCTGGATGGCGCCCTCCGCATAGGATTCTGCGACCCCGCGCGCACAGACGCACTCGACTGGGTCGACGAGGTGTCCTTGACAGAGCCACCCCCGCCTTTTGACACGTTCACGTGCCGAACGTGGACCATGCATTGCATAACTGGTCTTGTCAACCAAGGCTTTGTCAAGTGCCACGACGTCGATGCACTCGAACAAGAGGCGGAGAAATGGGCTACGGTTCATCACAGCAGCGCTCACGCCGGGATAATGCCTCGTCCCGTTGAGGATGCTCAGACTTGCGATTTTCGAGGTGTGACAATTCTTGTTTTTTTTAATCCTTTTAGTTTCGGATCACTCATGACTGTGCAAAGATGTTCTCACATTGGGCTGATGTCGCAGTGGATCAGCGGATCTACATTGTAAACGACGCGCGTGTGGCGCTTGTAGTCGATGTCGTGCGAATAGCGACGTTGGATATCCGATACGTATGATGAATCATTCAACTAGTAACTTCCAAGGGTGACAACGGGGAACCGCGTAACAACATATCCAGCTCGGTTTGCCCACCCGTAGTTCTGGTCCATAAAAAGAGAACGCACATGAAAGACCTGAACGACTATCCCAACTCAAAGTGACGAAAGTTACTTTGAGCTCGTTAGTAAGAAGATGGCGGCTGCATCTCACACTTCGTGAGCAGACTTGCATGAACGAATGTAGACGCACTCACTCATCACCAGCGTAATGTACCCGAGATGAGGCCGAACATCTCACTATGACCCATGATTTCCGCCGCGTAGACACCGGCAGTGACTTTTTTATGCATAAATTGGCCCCATGTACGACCTGGCAAGAAGGCTATCACGCTGACCTCCCAGTAATCTGGAAGCCAGCCAGCCGCCTCCCAATCAATGATACCGGAGATGTGACCATCGACGCCGACCATGATGTTGTGGCGATTAAGATCACCGTGGGTGAAGACGATAGCATGAGTAGGGAGGGAGAAAAACCGTTCGGTGGCAACGACGGCACGCTGGAAGATTTGCTCTTTGCTAGTAAAGGTCATGGCTGCTACATCCCTGATAGCCTGCTGAAACCCTGCTTCATTCGCTGAAGGAGGGAGCGGCGATGCGGGCATGAGAGGTCCAGTGAGAGGTCCGCCATCTACGCCACAGACGGCGTCGCCCCATGGGCTAGCGAAGCTGCGCATGGAGGTAAGGATCTTGATTAGGTCATCTTTCAGCACGTCAAAGTCAACTTGGTCGTCGGTCAGATATTCCAGCTCCATTCCAGGGACTCGGGTCATGAGTAGGGACGGGAAGACACTGGGATCGTCAATAGAGCCGAATGAGAGAAACCTGGGAGCAGGAACACCCATAGCGCGTGCGAGGTTCATGGCAAGGCCCTCCTGCTCACGAACGCGATGGTGACTCTTGAGGATGAGGCCGAAAGGAAGTGGGTATATGGCGGGCTCCGCAGGAACGCCACAAAGACGAACGTACCAGCCTGAAAGTGGCTTCAACAGCCACTCGTGGACATAGAACCAAAACTTTCTGCGCAAAGCAGAAGAAGGCTTCCCAACAGAAGAACATTGCAGCGGATAGCCATCTGGAAACTCTAGAGGGAAGAGAGGTTTGATGTGGCTTGTCAACATGGTGTGGTGGCGGCGCGACAAGTAGCATAAGGCAGGCAAGTAACAAATTAGTTGAACTTGTTCAGGACCTCGGTCACCGACTTGTTCATGGGCGTCTATGCCGCTCGGTGGCGGGTGGCTTGCGAATCTCCCTTCCTCTCCGTTGCAACCCGGCGTGCTACTCTAAATCACTTTCATTCAGAGAGGATGTGGATACTCCGTCATATTTCCCGCTGGTTTCAAGTAACGGGGCATCCAGGCTAGATTTACTTCAAGTTGTATATAAAAGGAACGTCGATTGACCGTGATGTTTTTTGACTCGATTTCGATTTCACCTACTCCTGTTCGCTTGCATGCCGCTTTTCTACTAGTGCTAGCTGACCCTTTGCCTACGACTGGCCTTGAGCCATTTAAGGAGGCAAAAGTGATTAATGTTAGCGCATTGTACTAATAGTAACTCAGATTGCATAAGAATCGATTCTGATCCGGAGGCCCCGCGCTCAGCGCTCATCGCTCGGGCTGCATGAGCATCGGTTCAATAGAGCAACGTCTACGCGGTGAAAAGAGAGGGCGAATAAAACTTTTCTTCACCCCGTACTGATATGCTACTGCCTTCATTTTCGCTGAATACTGACTCTTTGGCGATGTTCTACTTCCCTGTCCAGAGGGTGCCAATCCTTACGGCGAAACACCGTAAATTGACTCGAATCAACCGTACATGAATCTCGCCACGTAGCGCTTTCCCAATTTGCTTGAAATCTGTCACCGACTTCTCCACAGCTTTCGTATGGTGATGCTGGCAGATGAAATATTGGAGTCCTTCTTCGAGGCCGATTTCACCTCGACCTTCAGGCTAGAGCCAGTACTGTTTTAGATCCTGAGTTCTAACGCCTCCTCGCTGGGTGGTGTATGGTCTTATATCACCAGTGACGGCAACCGTAAGATCTTCAACAGCGTCAAAATTGGGAAGACAATCGGAATGCATCAAGTACGCAGACCATTCGCTTCACCTTCTTTCCCACGAAGGGTAGGTGTACCATCGTTCAGCAATTGGAAAGTATACTTGTCGTGAAGAATCGAAGGCGCGGGAGTCGCTGTTCACGCTGACCACGCGCCATTCAACTTTCAATTAATGGTAGGGCTCTCAAGACTGCAGACAGCTCGATTGAGTTGTCCATGTCATCGACGATGGTGTCATGGATGAGGTGGATGCCTCTGCGTGGACGAAACTCATGCCATATATATAATTACAGGTCGATGCATTCCTGCTCGGAGGAGCACGACACAGTGTCGACTGAGGCTGAGCGAGAGCTCGCGAGGGGCTGGTGACACCCCGCTATTGATATACATAAAGTTGATTGATATTATTGTTGGATTCTGGCGAGCTACGCCACACCGCTGGGATATTAGCCCGCGGGTTGGGCTAAATGGGAGGCGCCGGGTGGTCCGTGCGCATAGTGTCTTATGTATATGTAAGCAGATATTATACAGGGGGGGGCATCGGTTTGCCCCTCGGTATACGTGCATTACCCTACAGCTAGCCCAGTCTGGTGCGAACTGTCAACAATTATCACAGACTTGATGAACGCGGGGCCGTGTATGTTTCAGTGAACTGGTCAATATGTGGATGCTCTCGGGATGGTCGCATGTGTCATTCTCACTCAAGCTTGTATGATATCTATTGCGCTCACCATGCATCGTTCTACGCACATGTCGCTATTTTAAATGTGCACAGCGATGTGATGAGTACAGATGGAGACAAGCAACACTAATATCGGTGCCGCCACATCCGTAGCACATCCCGGTAAATTCGCATTCGCAACGAACTTACTCAGCGTAGAGGCCCCGGAGAAAGACACCGAGCACGTCATTTCACCCTGCAGCCGTATCGCGAAGATGGTGCGAAAGGCCTGTGTGCGCTCTGAAGAATGACTTTGCCACACCACATGTATTGCGGGTACACTGCTGGGTATATATACACGACCACGTACGCAAGCCACACGGTCTGTAATTGCTATCAAGAAGACAGAAAGAGAAACCGAAACAACCAGAACAGTCTGTGATCACAACAACGTAACCAAGACAAGCAAGCCACACTAACTGTGGCTGCAGTACGAGCAACCGAACGCCGGCGCCCCACCATCCAAATCCACATCCAACAAAAACGACACCCATACATCCTCCCAGACGCGCAGAAGAGCCTCCGACGACCATGCAGAGCAGCGAACACAGCCGCGCGGTCGAGCAACTCGGCAGCGAGCGCGCGGGACTGGGTTCGCAGCTCTGCGGCCCACGGGGTTGGCTACGGCTCTTTTGAGCGGCTGAGACTGTATGGATGTCGTTTATTGTGCTGAATAGGGATTCGGATAGTGGAGCGTCGAAGTCTGCCTGTTCGTACTGCAGCCACAGTTAGTGCGGTCTGCTTGGCTCCGTTCTGCAATCGTAAACACAGGTGCTGGCAACGGTTTAATGATTTATGACGAGACGCGAGACTTGCAGAAGGGGAGATCATTGTTACGAGACTTGCAGACAAGAAATGATCTAATTGACATCGGACATCAGCACTAAGCAACACTTGCAGGACGCGAGAATGTACCTTGAGCGAATGCAGCGACCACGCGCGCAATGCGCAATTCATCACAAATCGTGCGGTGTACTCCAGAAGTGGTACCATTTTCCACCGTCGCCAAGTTCCGAATATCTCTTCACCTTGCCATTCACCACACATGCCTCGTACAATGGCAGAGGCGGCGACGATCCCAGTTCAGATAAGGATCGAAGACATAGTACGGGATTCAATCGATTATGACGGAGGAAGGTGAACCAGAGCGGATGGGATGTTCTTCCTGTTGGCATTGGGCACCCGAGGATTTCTTGCGCCTCTTCGGCTTCTTGGCCTTGCGACACTGTGCGATGAGCGGCTGACATTGAACGGCCGCGTCCGGCATCAGTGCCAGCTTGTGAAGAGCCTTCTTGATGGGCGCACGAGAAGCGGGAGCAGGAGGCATGGCAACATTGACAGAAGAATCAACCAGAGAACCAGATGTATAAGACGGAGCACCGAGGCTACGAGATCCAGAAGAACCAGCAGATGAACCAGCAGAAGATACAAGCATACCGGAGCCAGTACCGCGGATGACACCGTGAGAATGAGCAGGTGTCGATGTCCTGGGACCAGACTGAGCAGCAGCACTGGAAGGCTTCTTGCGAGTGCTAGGAGGGTATGCCGAGTTCAATGTGCACTCCTGGATGACACTTTCATTGGTAAAGCCCTTGCCCTTGTTCTTGACCTTGTCCTCGGGCACGTCAACCATTTCGACCACGGCGAGCTCATCAGTATCATCACGCTTCTTGATCAACGGCGCGAAGAGGTGGTCGATGAGCAAGCTCGCGACCAGAAGAGCAGAAAGCAGTACTAGCCAACGAAGACCCGGAACCAGATCGAAACGAAGACGAGACCAGAGTAGGAGAAGCGAGCGATCCAGGAAGCACCAGACTAAATGAACCCGAAGCCGCTGGAGAAGTCGCTGTAGAGGGGAAGGCTGCTCCTCGTCCTGCATGACGGTCGGGAGATTCTGGGCACCGACTGGCTCCTTGACTTGGACCTGTTGATCAGCGGTATGTTGGAACGCGAGAGACACCGGCTGATTGACAATGACCGGCTTCTTCGGCAGCGCCGGTGGATCCTCCGTAGGATCTAGAGCATTCTGACAGCCGATGGATGACAGCTGACAGGTCCTGAACGATGACAATAGAACCTTCGGTGGGGACTGGGGCATCACCAACAATGCAGCTGGGGATGAGTACTGGGGCATCCTCGTTACTGATTGGCTCCTCTCGGACGCCAATGCGGACTGGGGCATAGTCCGGGTGGTCTTCGTGGTCGGCCACATTCAGGCGAGCTTCGAGCAGGGCAACGATGCCTTGAGTACCTAGCCACCTAAACGCGACCGCGGGAACAGCGGGAACGTCGAGCACATCCGGGGGTGAACCTTGAGGGACGAGAGCTCGGTCTAGGCCCTTCGTGTCGCCCGACACACACGCGTGCTTGAGGGGCGCACGAAGGGCGTTGGCCATCGGCTTCAGGGAGCCATCGCCGCAAGTGTCAGGAATTGAATGGGCAACGAGATGAAGGGCCACGCACCTGGTGCAAGCCGGCGGACAGCCGCAGCCATGAACAGCGAGGCCGGCGCTGTCCAGCGACGCTGACCCGCCGTTGCCTTCCAAACCTTGATCGTCTTGAATAGGGTGTCTCCAGCTTGCCTAGCAGGACAGCTCTCGTTGGACGTCGCGCTCGACGCGGGCCCAAGCATTGCGATTTCGACCGAGCTCGTGGTTGGGCGTCATAGGAAAAAGCGCATGGACGAGCTGAGACAGAGGCCAACCAGAGCGGCGAACGATGCGACTATATACGGAGGGAAAAACAAGTTCGAACATTTGCGCGCGTGTCCATTGGCTACGGTGGCGAGAGTCCTGACGCGTCTCCACAACGCGGTCACCTGATGTCAATAGTGGCCAAACTTTTCGAACTGCATTGCCTCTGCGGCGGCGTTCATCTCAGCGTTGAACACGGAACTCTCATCGTCCCAGCCGCACTGAATGATCTTCAGAGATGACCCAGCCGCCAAGTCCGATGTTCTGCTTGATGTTCTACGTCTCATGACAAGCAAGGCGAGAGATGCTTGGACGGGACATCTACTACTTCGCATCGAGCTTCGAGAATCCAGTCGGTCAATCGTACCATGCCTAACGCGCGACGTAGTCGGATAAATCCACACAGATTGCGATCACCGCCAGGTCGTGATGCTCATGCCGGAGCGCAAGGCGGAGAAGAGGGACCGTACAGCGAGCGGCGCGTGTTGTGTATAGCCTTGGGAGTCTGAAGGTCCTGAAGGTGTGCAATGGATGCAACCAGAAGCTTCGCTGAAAAGCGGGTCTGCCAGTGGGTGAGTATCGTTATCTTTGCTCATTCATACGCTCATTGACGGCAGGAGGCCACAAAAAATCTATGCAAGGCGCAAAAAAAGGAGTGACTGCTCTCATCCGCAAAAGCACGTTGTAATATCTTCAGAATACTACTGTGCTTGTCCTTCCCTTTGCAGCTGTTACAAATATTTGTTTACTTCTCTGTATCTTCCTTCTGTTCTCGTACGGGCGACCGATCTCAAAAAAGGAGGCGTTTCTGGACATCATGCATCACCAGTCTGACGTTCACTTGAGGCTTTCGAACATGCTTCGCTGCGAAATGTCTCTGTATATGTGAGTATCAACTACATCTCCGTGGTATATGGCAACTCGATAACCAATCTACGAACAACAATGCATCACGAAGGAACAGGTCAAGCAGTGACGTTGCGAGCAATCTCTCCTTTGAAGAGCTCCTCGACGACCGTCTTTGCCTTCTCGTGCACTTCTTCGATGCTTGCGCTCGCATCGATCTAAGGAATGACAGCACGTGAGCATTAATGGCGAGAGGACCACATTGAGGGAACACGAAACACGCACCGTGACGACCTTGTGCTGCTCATTGTAATGCTCAACGACAGGCATCGTCTGCTCCTTGTACACACCTAAAATCCCACACAGACAACGCACTCAACAGACTTCCAACCGATCTAACAGGAAAGCAAACTTACGGAAGCGCTTCCGGATACTCTCCTCATTGTCATCCTCACGGCCGCTCGTCTTTGCGCGCTCAAGAAGCCGCTTGAGCATCTCGTCCTCCGTCGTCGTGAAGAACATCACAAGCGACGACTCGCACACCTCCTCGTCAAACTTGAGCGCCTGGTCCATCTTGCGCGGAAACCCGTCGATCAGGAAGCGGCCGCGGCCCTCCGCCCAGCCTTCCCCGGCGCGCTCCTCCGCAAGCGCCGCGCGCATCGCGTTCTCGAGCAGCTTGATGGTCACTTCCATCGGGACGATCTGGCCCTCCTTGATGCAGTTGCGTATCATCTCGCCGTACTCGGAGCCCGCGCGGTTCTGCTCGGCGCGCAGGAGATCGCCAGCTGCGTGATTGGTAAGGGATGAGCGGCGAGGCTGAGAGAGAGATGAGGACCCACCGGAGAGGTGGCAGAACCCAAAGTCCTGCACGAGGTTCGCACATTGCGTGCCTTTGCCTGGTGCGATGGCGAGTAGAAATTTAGCGACGAGCGTGCGCAGGTACACTGAAGCGGACCTCACCCGCTCCAGGGCCTCCCAACACAAAAACTACAGTGATCTTGCTCTTATCAAAAACGGGCGAAGTGATTACAGAAGCAGACGCGGTAGCATCCGCGTGTGCTGGCGACTGTGCCTCTGCAGACTCCTCCTTCTGCTCATGCTCCTGGGGATGCTTTTTGATATGCAGCGCCTCGGAGATCTTCTCGAACACGCCTGTCATGACGATGTCGATGGTTTCGCGCGGGGTTCAGAGGCGGTTGGATCGTCGTCCCTGCCGACGTGACGCGGGGGTATGAGCGGGCTGTCGTGCTGCCTGGGCTGCCTCGACGCGGGGTACGTGGCCGCTCTGTACTTTACCAAGTAGTAAAACGCGCCAAAGGATGCGAGCGAGATCCCGACAAAGTACAGCGGATTGGGAGCCTTGTTCGGCATCGGAGAGAGACGAAAAGGGGAGTGTTTGCTGGGTGGATGGCAACGCCCATGCTAATATGTGCAAACATCAGCACGTGTCCGCGTCTGAAAGTGTGCGCGACATTTAGAACGCGTTCACTTGTCTTGTTCCTCTCATCTTCTTGTTTCCTCAACTTCAGCCCCCCCTCGTGGCGATGAACGACATGAGTCACACGCACAGCTCAGAAGTGCACGCCGTCCGTGCATGCTACTTCGAAGACGGCGTCGACCTGATCGCCATCGGCGGCACCCACACCGTGGAAGTCCTCCTAATCGTACGCCGCCTCGCTTCGTGTATCCTTCGCGCGCTGAATTTACCCAGACAGACAGCGACGTCTTGTCACTCTGTCGCTACGTTCGAAGTCGGGACACGTGTCACCGGGCTCGCGTGGTCTCCAAACACCGTCTCGCCATCCGCAAACACTGAATGGGTGTTCGAGTGCGTGTTTCTTGCGCGTGGCTATGGACGTCGCGCTTATCTCGCCATCACGTAGACTGGTAGCAGCGGGAGAGGAGTACTCGCTTTTCCTGTTGACTAAAACGTCGACCAATGGGGAGCACGTCTTCGTGTTCGGCGGAGGTCTGAGCGGCCACCACGGCAAAATCAACGACATCACCTTCTGCGGAGGCCTCAAAGAGTATAGCACGCGATACGTAGCCACCGTCTCTGGTACGCGTGTCGTCCACAGACAGTCTCTCACGCTCATCAACCGCTTAGATGACAAAAACCTCATGATCTGGGACCTCTACCCTGATCGACCTTCCGTCTCCAAGAGGGCAGAGGACAAGTCACTCTACCAAGAGGTCGTCATGACTGATGAAAATAACCGTGCCATCCCGACGGCCATCGTAATCACCTTCAAGCACCGACTCACATCCATCAGCGCACATCCGACCGCGAGCACGGAGCTGCTCATCGCGGACTGTCGCGGGAACGTGTACCTGACCGACTGGGAGGCCTCTCCAGAGGACCAAGAGGACGAGTGGCGGAACGGCAGCGTCGTCGAGTTGCTCGATCCCCGCACCCTCGCGGATACTCGCAAAGCCTTCCACGGGAGCGCCGCGTGGCGATGGGACTCGCCCGACATGTGAGTGGACGGCGCGACGCTGCGTACCTGCATGCTGACGCTGACGGTGGCATTTGTAGTGTTGGTGCGCTCTTTGGCTCGAGGTTCTCCCTCTGGGATCTCGGGATCACCCAGGGCGGCAAGCCGCGACTCGCCGGGGTGAGCTTCCCCGAAGGCGGCCACCTATTCAGGTACGCCTTCACCCCCTCTCATCCTTCCTCATCTCACGAAGCGCACTCAGATGGTGTCCGACGCACCCAGAATACTTCGCCATCTCGGCCATCTCGCCAGCGAGAGGCGCGGTGATCAACATCCACAACACCTCGTACGTCAGCGCGGCCCCCGTGGCCTTCCCGCTCGCGGCGCGCCCCTGGACCGTGCGCTCGTTCGACTTTATCATGAGCCATGGTGTGCCTAGGATCGCCGCGGCGGTTGGGCGCGAGGTGATCATATTTTATATCGGTGTTGAGTCATAGGCCCTAGTAGGAGGTTTCTCAGAACGATCGACGAGCGTGCTGCATATATTGCTGTGTGTATATCCTGTCTCATCATCCTCATATATCGTTGTTCTTGGCTTTCCTACCGGACTGTAATTTCGAACTGCACTCTGGAGACCGTGTACGAGACAGGAATCCGGCAGAAAGTGCATAACTCGCCATCACCCAGCCGCATCCCACCGATCGTCGATCGCCTCCGTCTATAATCGTCCATGCCGCCGGCGTTCATCTCAGGCTCAAAAAAATCCACAACAGCACGCATCCGGACGCCCCTGCATTCAATATAAAAAAATTAATCGCCGGCTGCGGGAGCACGCCTTTGGCAACCTGACAGACCGATGTGTGCAGTCAGCGCGGCGTCGTGGGATCGGCTACTCAACGTCAATGCACTCAACCGAAATCGCATCGACGGACGACCTGCGCGGAGAAGCATGATGGATCAACTTCTAGCTCATATTATATTATATAGAAAAGAGGACTACGAACTAGACATAAGTACACAGAGAGTGTCATTACCACTGGTACACGGACGAAGCAACAAGAAAAGACACGACACGATGCACGACAAAGAAGCCTAGTCGTATAGAAAGAAATACTTGCAGGCGACATGATCAAGACATTGTTTGCACAAGAACGCACCGCCAACCAGAGAAAAGAGTACCTTGATATTGCAAAAGAAAAGACGACTCGGACAAGAGACACCCACATGCCAGGTGCAACGTCACGCTCACCGCCCGCCACACGCCGATGTCTGGTACGGACCCATCATCGAGTACGCATAGTGTTGCGCCGGCTGGTGCGTCGCGTACCCATTCTCGCTCTCGCGGTAGCTCACCACGCTATACCCGGTCTGCGCAGGCGGCATCGCGCCCGTCTGGCCCACCACGCCCGCTTGGTATCCCCCGCTCGTATACACCGACTCCGAACCCTCGCCGAAGCCCAGATCCTCCAGCACGTTCCGCATGCACATATCGTTTTGTTGGTTAAGCGGCTGCGCGAGATACTGGCTGTACGTCGTCGAGATCCCAGACAGGCTATAGTTGCACATGGCATCGTTTCGCTGCCCGTCCACCATGGTACCCGCATACTCGGCCTCCCGAGTATGCGGGTTCACATATCCATTCGAGTGCTGATACGAACCGATCGGAGACACCGACATCGTCACGCTCGACGACGGTGTGTGGAATCCGTTGCTATGCCCCACTTGCCCGCCCTGCATTACCGACGGCGCGTATACTTGCTGCTGGTGGCCGTATCCCTGTGGCGCGTGCCCGTTCGTGTTCACCGGCGAGTGTGGCAGCTGCGTACGCGATGGGTACGGTGACGCCGTGTCGTGCTTCAACTCCACCCGCTGCTGCTGAAGCTCCCGCTGCCGCATCTTGTGCAGATCGTTCTCCACGAGCGACTGCAGGAACCGCGCGTGATACGCTGCGGAAGAGGAGGCAGGCGAGAGGTGCGCTGCGTCCTGGTACGCCTTGGCCGTCTTCATGATCATGTTGTGAATCTCCTGCACGGCGCCTTCTTTAAGCTCATCAAGGCGATTCGGGCCTCGGAGCAACTACATGCTACTGTCAGCCTGATTGCATGCGCTGCTACACACGCAACGTACCTTCATGAGAACAACGGCAGAGTATGCAGTCATAACAGTGGTGGAATCCTGGCCGTAGCGCTACAACCAAGTTCCTCTTAGAATATTACGTAAATCTGGGAAGGATTACGGAACATACAAGCATCTGCAGCTTGGCAAAGTCGTCCGCCATAATCCTCAGGTTGTCCATCGCGCTCGTGTAGCACATGTGCAACGCCTGCACGTTGATGGGCGAGCCCGAGCCCTACAAACCCAAATTCATGAGTGCTTGCCCGATCTTAGACACGATGTGGCATACCTGATTACTGGGCGAGTTGATCCCGAACGTGTTGAGGAACAACCTGACATGCAACTGGAAAAACTGCATAAAGCTAAAATGGAATGACGATCCGCGCGCTACCACGGGAAGGGGAAAATCAGTCACTATATGCACACCAATTCTGACTACCGCTCACCTCTTTCCATCTCTTGCCACCAATTCGACAGCCATCCATTCAGCTTCTGGTTGCAGTTTCTCAATAACATCTCATAATTGCAATCCTGATTGTTCGGGCCCCGTCCGCCCTGGTGCATATTGAACACATCCGTCGTCTCCGCTGCAATACGCCGTAGCTCCGTGAACGCCGCGACGACCACGTCCTCCTGGCGCATCGGTATTCCGCCCTCCTCGTGCCACGTGCTCGCGTGCGAGACGAGCAGGTCTTCCGCAGGCAGCATCCAGTGCTTCCCCGTCTGCATGCTCAGGCTGCGATCATGCACGAACAGCACGAGGTACGTGCGCTCGCGATTCCGCCGCTCGCGCATCTGCGGCTCCGCCTCACCCACCGCGCGCTTTCCGACGTAGCGATTCAGCCCGAGCTCGACCGCCATCCGGCATGCATATCCGATGTACGTCCATGTCCGAGTATCGTCGGGCTCCTTCCAGTACGTCATGCATGCGAATGCCTGCACCACCTCGACGCTTTTCCAGTTCTCCGCGAACGCGCGTATAGCGAAGTCATGTGCAAGCCGGAGTACCGATTGGTACAGTTCGGGCTGGAAAAACTTGCAACAAGCCATCACAAGTGCGGTGAAGAGAAAGGGGCTACGTTGGCGGACGTACTCGACCGAATGTAGGGCAGGATCAAAGAGGTTAATGAAGGGATTGAGACGAATGTAGAACATGTCCCAGAGATGCTCGACTTTCTTCAGGTCAATGAGTCCAGCCTCGACAGGGTCCTTCAGAGGGGAGTTACTACCAAACAATGAGTTGACAGAGGTCGGCGCCTGGTGCGAAGGGAAAGAAGGCGACTGGGGATTTTGAGAGAACGCCCGCTCCGAGCTACCTGCCGAGCGCGACACAGGAACGTCAACCTGCTCAGGGTTAAGAATGGTTTTGAAGAAGGAAGAGTGCCGGGCGTTCTGTTTAATCAGCCGCGCAGGATACATCCCGTTCTCGTCGTCCACCTCGCCGTCCTCGTCCATCTCAGAGTCGGACGCATCGTGGGAACGGGGGTAGCGCTCTTGCAGGTGCGGCGGAAGGTTAAGCGGTGGCAATTCGTTGCTAGCAAAGTGAGAGCCGCTCGGCCCGGCTTCCTCATCTGGACGATAGCGGCTCCCTCCAGCACGGGGAGGACCCAAAGGGGGCAACGTCAGGCTATTGTTGACAGGGTGCTTTTGCTTCGCGTTGTTAAGGCCTTTCTCGAGACGACGCAGCATCTTTGACGCTTCTGACAGTCTGAATGAAGCCGACCCGTTGAATATGATGTCGACTAATGCAGCGCATGACTAACCTCGAACCGGGCTTACGACCGCGACGATGCTTCTCGAAAATACATCTAGCGGATAGATAAAAGGTAAGCGAGCGATAGGTACAGCGAGGGGAGGACGCTTTACTCTGCACCCGATCGCTTGCAGCGCTGGCAGGGAATGTTATTTCCGTCGTCGGCACCGACACACTTCATCTTTGAGCAGATAGAGCACATCAATGGGCATGCATACATATAGTATGCGGGTGTCTGACCTTTGCAGCTCTGCAGACAGTGCAGGCTCGGGCGCCTCTTACGATAGGCGGCTTGGCGCTGAGCCGGCAGTGAGAATGAGCGAATGAAGACCGGTGAGCGAGAGGTGGACGTACGGAGCCTTATCCTCCGCAAATGGGGCGGGCTGTTCATCATGAGGCTGCTGCTGCTGCTGTTGAAGGGCTAAAGGCTGGTCCATGAGGATGAAGACCGAGCACGGTAATCAAGTGAGCCGGCGATAGAGGATAGAAACCGTGCGTTGGCTGTGGGGAGAATTTGCGCTTTGCACGTTGAAAATCAACGTCGAGGAAGAGAGCGGAGGCGGTGCAGACGACGAGAAGGGATTATATGCGGTTGCGGGAGGGAAAGAGATGAGGGGGGAAGAGAGGGGAGGCGGATGATGGGAGGGCAGAAAGGACGCGGTTGTATACAAAGAGGAAGGGGATATCCGGACGCCGGCCGGCTATTAGCATAGGCTACTCTCCGGGCAACGCGGCCGAATGAGGCAGCAAGGCCGGCTACTTCGCCTCCGTCGATGGCGACGCTCGCTTCTCTTCCGCCTCATGCCACCCGCGACTCCCACCTGACATATATCGCCGATCTCAGCCACTGCTCGCGTCCCCTCCACGCTCCTCTCGACGCCTACCGACACATCCCCCGTCACACCGCCTGCACATCCGCGACCTCCACGATGTCCCTATGCGGTCCAATGGGAGCCCTCACCGATGGGGGCCCCTGGGCACCGCTCTCACGTGCCCTTCCCGGCGACCTTGGCAGTGCGGGGATTGGCTGGCGAAGGGCAGCTTGGCTGCGGCGACCCCGGAGTCGGGAAGCATTCAGGAGCCCGGCTGCATCCGGCAGATTGGCGTCCGCCGTCCGGACTTCAAAACCAACCGCATCCTATCAAACCTTACGCGTGTTTTCCCACGGTTTGCGCGGGCGAACAACTGCCGGCGGCTCCCGGTGTCTTCCCTGCGGTCGCCGGCCTGAGTGCAGGGCGCGCAATGTCGTGCGACACACATCCATATATCGCAGCCGCGCTGACGTTGACGCAGGTGGGATTTGCAGCGCACTGACAACCCGTCGTACCCGCATTTGGCATGGCCCCAGACAGACCGATCCGGTATAATTGCAGTGACGCTAGCCAATATGGGCGGATCCGGCCTGGCCACCGTCGGAATGCAAATGAATCGCGTCTCCGCCGCCGCATTTTACGGTCGTTCAGGTAGCAGTGCATGCGAAAATATCTGCTGTCGCTGGGAAACGTCGCCATACGTAACGCGCGCACGAGCCTCGCAGCGGCAATGTGCCCTGATTGACTGTGTTCGCGTCACACAGATAAGGATTCTAGATCCCACACAGAGACGCCGGTAGTCCCATCCAGCGGTACGCCCGGTCAATCTCCACCGCTTATGAGCTCCCAAGACCAACCATGGCGACTGCACGGCACAGCCAAGCCAGCGCGGGCAACAGGGCCTCGAGCGCGCGAATGGACGGGCAAGGAGGACATTGCTCGGCGAAAGAAGCATCAAGGGTGGACAAAGTTCGAATAGAACGACTGCACGCTGCACGATTCTACCGTGATTGAGCCATGTCCATCATCTGCCTTGTCGAGCCACTGGGAAGCTTATTCCACGCACTCGAGTCGACAGCCCAGAATGATCTAATCCGCCATATCGCAGACATCATATCTTCCCTGAACGAAGTTCGTCAGCACCGACTTTGCAACAAAGATACAAGCGACACCGCGAACCATGGATGGTTGACTCACTCAGAAGACGCTGCAGGACCATGCACACGCGTCTATCCCGGACGACGGCGCGACGAACAATGGCCAGCCACGGCCATCACGCGCATACGTTCGCTCAAAACGCCGAATGTACACGCACCTTCGGAACGCCCAAAATATACACTCTGCATACAGCGAATCAAGCAAATTGAATTGTTAACGGTCTAATTTAATCCTCCTTGCGCGTGTCCGTGTCGGTGTAGTCATCTGCCTTCTACAGCCATCGCCATCGCCATCGGAAGCAGCGATCGGGCATCGGTCCCGGCGCTTGATCTATATCGATATGTATGAAACACGGTCACCTGTGACAGGCGGCCACCACGTCAAGCGTCCGATTGAGTTTTTGCTATGAGCAGTGTGGAAGGGACAGGCTGGTGGTAGGTGGCTGAATAACGCGGGGAGGGGCATTGTGGCGGAGGGAAGGGCACGCCGGCCTCGGAAAAGAAGCGCGTGTCGGGTGTTAATGTGAATTTGGAGGATGGTAGGGAGGCCTAGAAGTGTCCGTCGGGATGTCGAGCTCGCGTCAAGTTGGTGGCACGCGCTGGCCTGGTGGTAGGCGCGCCAAAATCGGTGTCATGTTCAGCGTCTGTTCCTCCTCCAGCGGCCCGCGGAGCGATGTGCGCTTCCAGTTCCAGTGGCGCGAGGTGCATGTAGGGAGAGTGGAGGTGGGCCGGCCATCAAACCTTTGTGCAGAGTCAAACTTATAGTTAGACGACCGCGTTACATCTGTTGCGTCAAAGTTCCGATGAGGGCTTCGTCCGAGAAGCAAGGAACAGTACGACAAGGCGGTGCGAAGCAAAACAACAAGGGCGTGTATTCTAACCTTTCTGCCGGGACGCCGGCGACCAAGCTTGCGTTTTTCGTTGATTCGCAACAAGATACTGTTGAGGACCGTTCCTTACGATCTGTCAAGACCACAACGAATGCTTCGTCCAGTGGCAAAGTGACAGCGCGTCCGAGTGAAACAGGACGGACCGCGCTGGTGCAAGGACCTGGAGATTCTTCCAGTACAGGGGATGCTGAAGGCGGTAGATAGCTCTTTAAGTTCCACACTCCGTTTGCTATGTTGGAGTTACAACGAAGAGCTTTCAATAGCATTGAGGTTGTCACGAAGAGGAAGTACGAGCTTAATTGTTTCTTAAAAAAAACTTGCATATCAAACTCCAACGAGTTTCACGACGAAAGCCGGGACCTGGTAGGATTAGTAACTTGGACTTTGCGCTTCGTTTGCTGTATAATAACTGCAGTCAACTGTTTCTTCTGTTGCATCTAGGTCGTCATACAGGCTTCGTACGAGAAACCAGTACGGTGGTGGACGACTCCGTGCAAACGAAACTCACATGGGAACTTTCAACGTCAAATTTGCATCGCTGCCACCGGCCATCATGTATCAAGTCAGCACGAGACGAGCATCCAGCGACGCGCTCACGATCACGGAAACCGAGGGATATCACCGCGCAAAGAAGCCCTGTCGTTTCAGCTGTAACACTTGAGCAGCGCCAATATCGGACTGTCGAGCGTATCAGCACCGCGAGCCTATGGCCTGGGGCGACAAATTCGAGCGAGGCAGCGCTCCGAAATGGTTTCGGACCGTTCATCGCAATCGCAACCGCAGTTTTCGAGACTAATGGAGCATAGCCGAAACATCCTCGGCATCATCATTCTTAATTACGGCTCACATCGCCTCGAGGCACCAGGGCATGATGGCCGGGTATCCGGAGGCTGAGCACTTCATCTCTCCAGATACGCGCCGTGTCCGAATGAAGAAGCACCGGTTTGAAAGAGGAGTGATGAACGCAGCCATGTGAAGCGGATACGCACCGCCCGGGGCCCGAGGCCTGAGGCCTGATAGTAATGATAGGTGGGGTGCAAGTGCCGAAAGGCTGTCTGGACCGCAGCAGGATGGAGTCAATAGGAGAAACACCGTCTGTGGTGCTGCACAGATCGATGCTGTGCGATTGGAGGAGCGGGCTTTAATGTCCTCGTATTGTATAAGAGGCGTGCAGACCGCAAGGTGATCCCTAGACTGATGGCCGCGTATGCTTCGAGAGAAACAATAACTTCAGAGAGGAACATGCTGTCATGCGGGCGGAGGGACGTCGGCAACATTACAATAGTGCCACGATTGTGAAGTTGGTCCTCAAATTCAATTTTCGCTGCTTTATATCGGCAGAAAGTAGGCATCAGCACGAGACTGGCTCCAAAAGATTGCACGGACGCACTCTTGAACCGCACTCCATCTCCCTCTCGCCACCTGCCGCTTCAGCCTCTCGAGCTCGCGCCTCTTCGCCGAGTCAGCCGGGCGCTCCTTCTCCTCCGCCGGTGTCAGCGAGCACGAGCGTTTTGTCTTGCTTTTGGACTCGGACTATGCTCGGGCTAGGGAAGCTTGGACTCGTCTACTGTCGCCGGGTGGGCGCTTCCCGGTCAGGTGGCGCTGCCACTTCTCATTGCTCCGTGGCTCGCTCTCGCTATGATACGCTCGAGTCATGTACGCGAGAACGATATCCATGCACCTTGTGGCTTCTGCGATTGCACCTTAGAGCAGAGCACTCGCTCGCCGCAGATTCTCTTGGTGAGAAGATCCATGTTCTAGCTTCGTAGTATGCATCGGTTATTCCCCATTGTCAACCCCTCGTCCTGCAGCGGACCTGTGCGCTAATGTCTTCTCCTTTAAAATTGAGTACTTGATCGTCTTCTCCGCGTTCATCCCGAGGCTCGACAGCAAGTACTAGGTACGTGTACGCTCTGCTCAAGGTTGTGTATCGCCTACAGCTTAATCATGAAATGATGTGAACCCACGGCTGGCAAGTTGGAATTGTCCCGTGAGGGCAGTTCCTGCCATACGGGTGCATTCACACGATCTCCATTGCTCTCGGAACGCTGTTTTCTCGCCTCAGTCGTACAGCCCAGTGTTGCATCCCCGACTGCAACTAACATGCGCACTCCAGTCTGCGGTGATGATCGGGAGGCGGTCTCGCTTCTTTATTTGCTCCCGCATCGTCCGCGCAGGGTGCTGTCACGATTCGGTCTTGGATCACGATATCATGTCAACGTCGGTCACGACCGCAAGCTGCTAGAGCTTCGGAGCTCGCCGCCTGCGACCAGAGGAGAACGGACGATACGAGTGATTTTTAGGTAGTCACGATAGATTGATAGAGCATCGTTCATCCTGGGTGCGTCTGCGAACTGATGTGAGTCGATCGTCGGACTGTATGTGCTTTTGTTGATCCTGCTGTCCTAATGCTTACTTTCGCTTAGCTTCCTTTGGACATCACAGGAAATGACGGGAAGGATTGCTACTGGAAGTAAGCACTTTTAACGCCTACCCGAACACGCTGTTCTCGTCATGAACGGCTCGGATCAATGGTATGCAGGGCTTCATCAGACGCAGGAGCCGCTAAAATGCATTCCCATTCCCACTGTCTTCGCCGTACGCATTCATCCTAGGCATCTTCCTATTCGGCGAGCGTTGTTCGCGGACGTTTGTCTCAATAGCTCCATCCCCCCCTCCTGTATCCATTTCTTTGTCCGTGGCAGATTCAGGCCATATCTGTCCGGATGTGCGGCTCCTTCCGCACATAAATAAATATATATACTATACGTCTCGCCTTTTCGAGGATACGATGTCCTCTGTCGTTATTGTAGTCTCGGTCTATGGTCTCGTCTTCTTCGTCTCATTCATGTAGTCTCTGATAATGTCTCTGGTCTCGGTCTGTATGTACCTGCTCGTTCTTCCTCTCGAACAGGTCTTGTGTGTATTTGATTTCTGCATGAAGGTCACATTTAATTTATTCCATACAAGTGTGCGAGGGAGTTTTGTCATTGCGGCATCGTTGATATTTCGCACCGAGTGCGCGATAGTGGAATCCCCTTCCCGCTGTTAATCAAATGATAGAACCATCGATGTTTCACCACTTGAGACTCATTGCGACTGCACACCGTGCCTATAACCAGGCCGATCGCTGAAAAGTCTGATCTACATTCATAGTCTAAGAAGAAGGAAACCACGTAGCAAAGACAGAAGTACAGATTGATTAAATGAAGCCCATTGAGAATGGATGCATTGCTAGCGAGTGGTGGTGGATCCTCGTCAGCAATCAACGAATCCGTGAATCATTCCAGCCACGACGCCGAGAGAGACCGAGGATTTGTGCATCACAACAGCAGATACTATAGAAGCACATCACGTCATGGAGATGATCAACCAGTACAGTACGGAAAAGAAAACATACCATGAAAAGGGGAGGATAGATGCTTATGAAAATGTCACGTCTCAAACTGTGAACACATCTCCTTCACGTCCATCCTTACCGCATTGAGCTTGTCTGCACCCTCCTGCTCCAAAATGTCATAATTCCACCAAAGTTTAGGTGCCGTATCCGTGAGCCGTGTGGGATCGGCGACGATTCGCTCAGGCTCCATATGTTTACTATCCCGGTCATATTTGTAGAAGGCCATTCTGGTCCCGAACACAGATATGCCGTGCAGCACGGGTATTTTCAAATCGGTGGCGAGATACAGGAACTGTCGACGCAACCGGTTGTCAGCCTCCTCACGCTTTGATGCGAGGGGAAAATCGGCGAGCGGTTTGACCTCGACTACGAACACGGGTGTCGCTTGCATGTAGACGACGAAAAGGACGGCGAAGTCTACCGCCTCGCATGCCGTGACCGCAGGAAATTGGGGTACAATTTCGAACGTCGACCAGGGAGGGAATATGACATTAAGAAGACGGTTCCAAGATCCGTTGAAAAGCTTCTTCGAAGTCGTACTCGACGCTCCAGCAACAGAGAAGGAGTGCATGATGATCTTGGGCCAAGGAGTGATTCGCGCTGTGGCCATGGCGTCAATAGCTGTAAGAAATACCGTTAAAGCGAGAGTGGACTACTGTAGTGGCGACGGGTGTGTAACTGAGTACTAGGAGTGTTGAGTACTGAGTCCAGGCCACGCGTGCACGAACTCTGTTACGTCAGCATCCTAAGAAGCGTTCGTTCAGTCTCCGCTTGAATCTGCCACATTGCTCAATCGCAGCAGGAACTTGGACTTACTATCCTCCATCATCATTTCTTCGAATATCCTGAGTACGTTGACATGGTCCGCATTATCATCAAAGGAGGTACGTGAACTATGCTTGATAACGTTCGACAGCGCAAATTGACACATTATCCGTGCGCAACTCGCAGGTGTTTGGAAAGTGAGTAAGTCCGTGCTACAGTGACGTCTAGCGTTTTGACAGTTATCGCTGTGCAGAATACCGAGGATGAAGTTCTCAAAGCGGCTATTGCGAAGTATGGTAAAAACCAATGGTGGGTATTCTCGCTCGCATCAGGCTTAGGAATGGCAATTGAGCTTCACCATTTAGGGCGCGTATATCCTCGCTCCTGGTGCGCAAGACACCGAAGCAATGTAAGGCACGCTGGTACGAATGGCTAGACCCGTCAATCAAGAAGACAGAATGGTCAAAGGTGAGTTCTTTCGCTCAGCTGCTTCGAATCGTGCTGACTGTTCCCAGACGGAGGATGAAAAACTCTTGCACCTCGCAAAGCTCATGCCCACACAATGGCGTACCATCGCACCCATCGTCGGTCGCACCGCCACGCAATGTCTGGAGCGATACCAGAAACTCTTGGACGAGGCGGAAGCTAAGGAGAATGAGGAGCTCGGACTTGCAGGGCCAGGCGAAGAGGCAGGCCCGAGCGCAGATGATGTCCGGCGGCTGCGTCCTGGTGAGATCGACCCCGACCCAGAGACGAAGCCTGCCCGTCCAGACCCTATCGACATGGACGAGGACGAGAAGGAGATGCTGTCTGAGGCGCGGGCGCGGCTGGCGAACACGCAGGGTAAGAAGGCGAAGCGGAAGGCACGCGAACGTCAGCTGGAGGAAGCAAGGCGGCTCGCTGTGTTGCAGAAGAAGCGGGAGTTGAAGGCCGCTGGGATCATGTAAGTGCTAGATACCATGTCCAGTAGGCCGTTGCTGATGATTGTCCACAGCATGCGTCACAAGACGAAGAAGAAGGGCATGGATGTACGTCTTAGAAAGCATATACTGCGATCATTTACTCATGGTTCTTTCACAGTACAACGCAGACATTCCGTTCGAAAAGAAGCCCGCGCCTGGGTTCTATGACACTGCCGAGGAACAAGCACGGGCAACGACAGCCCCCGTCGGACAGAGCCTCCGCCGGCTCGAAAACAAGCGCAGGCCCGACGATGAGGAAGCCGAGCGGCGCAAACGGCAACGCAAGGCGAATAACAAGGAGGGCGAGAACGCGTCACACCAGACCAAGTTCGTCGCCGCACGCGATGCGCAGATCCAGAAGCTCAAGGAGGCGGAGTCGATCGGGCGCCGGCGGAAGCTCGCGCTGCCGGCTGCGCAGGTGGGTGAGGCGGAGCTGGAGGACATTGTCAAGATCGGGCAGGCAGGCGAGAATGCGAAGGCTTTGGTCGCTGGTGGGAACGAGGCTAGCGCGAGGCTGCTCAGTGACTATGAGGGCCTTGAGAGGGCACGGATGGCTCGGACACCGCGGACGGCTCCTCAACGTATGTCGCCCTCATTCATTCATTGTGAGCATGTACTGACTATGACCGCTACAGACGATAACGTGATGTCCGAGGCGCGCAACCTGCGCAACATGACGATCGCGCAGACACCCCTGCTCGGTGAGGAGAACACTCCTCTGCACACGGATGCTGCAGGCGGCACGGGCTTCGAGGGCGCGACTCCGCGGCACCAGGTCGCGTTCACGCCCAACCCGTTGGCGACGCCCTTGCACCCCGGGGCTGCAGACGGCTTGGTAACGCCACGGGACCTGCAAGTAACTCCTGGATCGGCGCTGATGCGCACGCCGATGCGCGACACGCTGAGCATCAATCCGAACGACCGGTTTCCGTCGGTCGCGGACACGCCGCGCGAGCAGCGGATGCGGATGTCGTCCGCGAGGCGTGCGCTTAAGGCAGGTTTCATGACCCTACCGAAGCCGGAGAACAACTTTGAGCTGCTCGTGCCCGAGGAAGAGGAGGGCGAGGAACAGGCGGAGGGAGGGGAGGTCGAGGAAGACGCGGGCGATCGGGATGAGCGACTGCGGCGGATGCGGGAGGAGGAGGAGCGCAAGGCGTTGGCGCGACGGTCACAGGTGGTGCAGCGCGGGCTGCCGCGGCCGGCCAATGTCGATGTGCATCAGCTGTTGCAGGATCTCACACTCGAGGGGGAGGAGCCAGTTGACGAGGCGGAGAAGCTCGTGCACCAGGAGCTTGCGGAGCTGCTTCTGCACGACTCGATCGCTCATCCAATACCCGGTACGGTGCATCCCGGCAGCACGGTGTCATCCTATCAGATGCCTCCAGACGACACGGTTGACGCGGCTAAGTCAGCGATCCGTGAAGAGCTGTCGACGGCTCTTGGATACCCAGACGCGAACGAAGAACAAATGAAGCAAGGTGTTGCAGCAGTGTCGGGGCTGGAAGAGTTGGACGAGTCGGCATCGTGGGCGCATGTCCGGCCGCAGCTGGCGTACGATGCGAGCTCGAAGATGTGGGTTGACCCGGCGAAACTCCCGGAGGAGGCGCGAGTGGCTGGGTACAGTGCACTGTTAGAGCAATGTCGGCAACAGATGGCACGGGACGCGGACAAGGCCGCGAAGACGGAGAAGAAGTTGAACGTCACCCTCGGCGGATATCAGGCGCGAGCAGGGGCACTCACGAAGCGGATTGGTGGCGCGTTTGCAGAGATGCAGAAGTTGAAGGTGGATTATGAGAGCTTCGTGCGGCTGCGGACGAACGAGAGCGCGACAGGCCCCGGGCGCGTTGCGACGCTGAAGGAAGAGGTGGAGAAGCTGGACAGGCGGGAGAAGATCCTGCAAGAGAGGTATGCGGAACTGGATTTGGAGCGGAGGGAGTCGCAGGCCAGGGTAACGACGCTGGAGGAGAAGATCATGGCCGAGGCGGAGGCGTTGAACGAGGCTGCATTGGCGGAGATGGAAGCCGAGGTGGCCGTTGTTGCATGAAGGTGCGATCGCTCTCTCGAATGCTGCCCAACTCCACCCATCTACGTCTGTACAGCTTGTAGTTCTGCGCTCTCGCAATGAGATTAGGTGTATAAATTATTTCTTTGACCAGTTGATCCCCGTGTGTGCAACATTTGTCGGGCTCCATCACAATCCTGGTGCGTTTGTTGGTTTCGTATCGTTGCTTCCGTCTACTCATCCGCCCATACCAGTGACATTGGCACACAGCATGAAACACTAAGTTTGCCGTATGATCCATCGTTGTGGCGCGTCCCACGCCTTCGGCCATCCACAAGCATCAGTATCGGACACGCCGCCACCGCCACTTCTAATACCCAAGCCAAGTGCTACGGTCGCGTTATCAGTGCGCACTCACAAGTTGATTCTGGGAAGTTTCTGGCATGTGGACTTGACGTTGGTGCTCCCTTGCATTTTGGCCAGTGATTTGCGGATTATTATTCTGTTGCAACTTTATGCCAGTACCACACAAGCATGATTCTGTTCAGAGCGCCTGAAAGATTTTCTCCAATGCTCGGCGCTCATCTGTTCGCGCGCCCCCTTGTGATCCTACATCAATGTCGTTAACGATGAGATGATACACAATACAATAATTTCCGTGGCGAGCGAGAGCACGACTGGAGCCAGATTGACAAGGCGTGAGCGTGTGGCTCGCTCGCTCTAGCCAGTGGGCGGTGGCACGAGGCGTGCTTGTCCATCTCGCCATGGTTCTTCCTCATTCTGCTTACCGCTCCTAGTGCTTCTCTCCTCTAATCTCTTCCCTCGCTCTTTGTATCATACCTGTATAACCCCTCCACTCTTGTACCTTCTCACTCCAGCGCCTGCACGGGCCACAGACTCGAATGAGCACAGCTGCGGTGAGCGCAAGCTTTAGCCAAACGTCGACTTCCACGGAGACTGACAGTTCGCAGGCAGCCGGCTCCGACGGTAGCGTTGCCGCGCAGGTTCGCACCACCGTCGTTTTCAATACTGCCAGTGCGAGCCCGGAGATCATTACCACTACGCTCTATACCGGACCTACGATCTCAGCTACCGCGTACCCTACTTCGCACAAACAATCGGTGCCGGTAGGCGCTATTGTCGGAGGTACGCTCGGCGGGGTAGCTCTTGCAGTCAGTGCTGTGATCATATGGATTTGGTGGGGGAGATGCATCCAGCGGCAGGAGGAGAAGGACCGCAAGGAACGGGTGAGTACTCGTTGCTCCGAGCCATCCTTGGAAAAACCGTAACAAGCGTTCTCGCAGCTAGCCCGAAGGCAGGTCAGGGAGAATACCCGGCGGAACGCCTCCTCGGCAGCGTCTACCCGCTTGTCCGCCTCCTTTCCGGCCTCCCGCCATGAGAGGAAAGTCAGCTTTGTCCCCAATACCGCCTCGTCGTCGCAGACGTCGTCGAACGAAAAGCCGGAACCCAAGACTTCCTACCTTGGTACGTGATGCTGCTATCGCTAGTGTTCCAGGTCTCATCAATGGGTCATAAAGATCCCCCAGTTTCGCTGCCTCGCAGCAGTCTTAATGCACACAAGCCTGCGCGGCCCAGCCCCTTGGGTCTGAGCAGCTCGCGCAACGAAGAGGTCCCTCTGCTCGCCAGCACCCCGGTCTCCGAGGTTCCAACACCGCCCACACCGCCCACACCACACTCACCTGGCCCTGCCACAAGCCAAGTCCCGTCACTACAATCCGAGCCCACGCCCTCGGTGCAGCCGTTTCTCAAGCGGCCACTCGCGAACAGACGCTCCGCCGCGAGCTCAACATCCGCATATTCCGCAGAGAGCGGTGAGGAGCGCCAGAAGCGCGTGTCGACCAGCCTCATTATGGCTGCGCTTGGGTACATGGATCCACGCCGATCGTGGCTCGGGAACTATCTTTCAAATCGACGACGCTCCAATTACGACATCGAGCAGAGCCGGCTGTCGCAAATGAGCGCGGCGTCGGGGTATTCGCAGACGGAGGAATACTCCGGCGTCCCGGTGGGATATGCGTCGTAGGCCGGGTTGGGGACGGCAGGTTCTCTCTGCTTTTTACTTCATGTTTTCACGTTGGATCGTACTCTTGATCAGCCGACGGACCGTTACGACTTGGCACGATATCATACGGCGCTGTGGACGTTTCTTGTTGTATGTAAAAGTAGTAAAGATTGACTTGCTGTACTTTTGGGTAATCAGGCTCCCATTGCAATGCGATAAATGTTGTACGACACGACGCGCGCAGTGCTATTGCAATGAATGTACGTATCGCTAGAATGCGTGTCAGCGTTGTGTCAAAGTGGAGAGTTAGGTTGATGCGCACCTGCTCTATTTGCGCTACGGATGCTTTGAAGTCGCTCACCTCCCGCCAGCAGTCTAGTGGTGCTGTCGCGTGTTTTCTATTCGCGACCAATTAGTACGAGGACAAGATGAATGTTCGTGACCACGCACTTGTAACAAGAGACCACCGCCTCGCCCTTCCCGTGCACCTCCGAATACCCCTCTAGCTCGTGCCGCGCATTATACCTCTCGACCTTCTGCCTGACCTCCTCCAGATCGCCCATAAGCGCAGCACTGCTCTTCACCCCACCCGCACCGCCTTCGCCCTCCTCCTCGCCCGCCATGCTCCGCTCGCGGTCAAGGTTCTCCTTCTCGAGCGCACGCTCGATCTCCGCCTTGACCTGCTCCTCCTCCGCGCGCAGACGTGCGAGTTCCGTCTGGATGCGCGAGCGGATGTGCGCGTCGATGCTCGACTGCCGCTCTGGCGGTGTCTCCGGCGATGCGAGGTGGTCCGCAAGCTGGTTCACGACATCTTGCGAGAACTGCGTGGGCGCTGGGTGAGCAGTCAGGTAGAGTGAGAGATGTGTGCATTGACCTGAATGGGTGTCTCTGAGGCAAAGACCTTTTCGTCGGTCTGGGACGTGGATTGGTTTGCGCCCATGCTGCGAGCACTGCGCGGTGCGGGATATCGAGCGTTGGCCAGCAGCCACCGGGAGATGCGGTATTACGGTGTCCGTTTATGGAAGGTGTAATGATTCGCTTCATGCCGACCTCGTCCGACTACATAACGAATGATCCGCAAAATACATCAATATTGTTCAACACCTCGTGTTGAATGCTATGTCTACAACATTACATGAGAGCAAAACTAGTATCATTGTACAGATGCGCCGGTGCGCTTGTCGTAATACTTGTGTCCGTACTCGAGCAGCCTGTGTCACATGTCAGCAGTCAGCAAACGTAAACGTAACGGACAGAGGATCAAACGCACCAATCGGGCTCTATCTCCGTCAATATGCGGATTCTATGGAATGACAAGATAAGTCTATGGGCAAAGCAAAGAAGAAGCTGTCGGCACGCACTGTGTCTTTTTCGTTTCCTCCATTTCATGGAAGACGACCCATCCGGAACGAGGTTTTCTCGTAAACAGGACCGAGTGCGGATGTACGTAAAGGGTCTAGACAGTCTTGGTCGTAATCTCATCTCACAGTCATGCGATGCAACGCCTACCGTGTTCCCTCTCACGGAGCGGTATGTGCCATCGGCCACCCATCGGGCTCCGTTCCGCCAATAGCCGCTGACAAGGCATTTCCTCAGCCTCTTAGCGTCGCCCTCGCAGCTTTCCAGAGGCAGCCCGAAACGTTGCATGTACTTCTTCAGCTGCGATCGGATCGACACCGCTCGTGACATGGCACGGAAGGATAGTGCGTGTGACTTGCACCATGAAGATGACCTCCCGTAGCGGATGAAGGCGTTGTACGCTTGAGATCGATGAGGCTTTGACTTTGGTGACGGTGAGACGGTTACGTACCGTTTAATAACGTCAGATGGTCCTGATGGAAAGGTGAGGAGCGTGCAAGCCGTAGAAACTGGTAAGACCTACTCCTTCTTCCGCCGTGAACTTCCTGCGCTCTAGTTCGGCTAAGGCACCAGCCGCTCCTTCGGGAATAATGAAGACATCCTGTTGGCGATCAGCTACGACATCGACGAGACCATCAACACACAATGGAACCACTTACCTGCACCGCAGTCATAGCAGCAATGGTCAAGATCTCCTCTCCGCATTTGTATTCCTTGGACATGAATAGCTGCGAGCACGTCAGTCAGTCAAAAATGCGTGAATGACTGTTCCTACGTACCATCCTCGCGATGTTCACGTCCACCGGGCACTCCGCCACCTTCTCTCCAACCACCGTTAACCTCCCATCCTCGCCAATCATCCCCGCCGCATACAGTCCCTCCAGCGCACGCAGCACGCTCTCTGCGGGCGGAGACGTCACCCACTCGAACTTCATCAAATCATCGATTCCTAGGCTCTTCAGCTGCAGGATCGGCGTCGTGAGATCGACGCGCGTGATCTCCGGCGGAGTGGTCAGCGGGAGTGTCTGGAATGCGCTCTCAGTGTAGAGCCGGTAGCAGATACCCGAGGAGGTACGCCCTGCGCGGCCTGCGCGCTGCGTCGCGGAGGCTTGCGAGACGGGCACCGTGACGAGGGAGGAGAGTGAGCTGGTGGGATTGTAGGTGCGGATCTGATGAGACAATCAACGATCGGCTTAGAAACTGTTGAATGGTAGCACACCTTGACGAAGCCGGAGTCGACGACGAATTTGATGCCATCGATGGTGACGCTGGCCTATACGATATGCTGAGCACCGGCAGAGCCATTGAATGAGACATGTGGCCGTACCTCAGCGATGTTCGTGGAAATAATGACTTTTCGGCTGCCTCGTTCTGCGGGCTCGAAGACGGCCAGCTGCTCGTTCGTGCTGAGTCCGGCATGCAGTGCCAGCAGCCGTAACCGCATAGCATATCGAGGCAAACTAACAGTGTATGATGTCAAAATGAGGCACACGATACCGTCGAGCACACATACGATGGTAGCATCTCCGATAGCTCCTCCAGACAACGGTCTATCTCTTCTCGACCAGTCATAAACACCAGAATGTCACCGCTTCCGTTCTAGTTCCCAGTCAGTTCGATTCCCGCTGCGTAGATACACAGAAAAAGGTGCATACTCACCTGCAAATGGATGCTCCACACAACCTCTGCTGCTTTCCGCACGTAATCTGGTACGGGCTCCTGGAGATATGCGACTTGCACGGGAAACATTCGTCCTTCGAGGCTGACGATGGTAGCCTCGTCCGGAGCGTTGCCTGAGGTAAAATAGTCCAAGAAGGAGGTAGCATCGAGTGTCGCGGAAGAGACGATCAGCCGGAGGGAGGGGCGCTTTCGGCGGATCCTGTTACAGACAATGGGCATAAATGTAAATGGAGAGCTAGAGTTGGCTGAACGAGAGGAGATGATCTAATAGAACGTATCGTACGTACTTCTTCAGAATCCCAAGCATCAAATCTGTATACACGCTCCGCTCGTGTGCCTCGTCAATCTTTGTGCTACATGTCAGGATGAGCGCGCGAGAAAGAAAACAGGAAGCAGAACAGACCATGATCACGCTGTATCGGCTGAGGAGCGGGTCAACTAGCGTCTCGCGGAAGAGCATACCGTCAGTCATGTAGAGGATACGCGTGCGCTCCTTCGAGCTGACGTCTTCGAAGCGGATGGTATATCCAACCTAGAAGTGTCCGTTGACGTGTGCCTTGAGAAAGTAAAAAGACGGGACATACCTCATCCCCAAGGATGGTCCCCACTTCGGTGGATACGCGCCCGGCGACGGAGGTCGCGGCTACGCGGCGAGGTTGTGTACAAACAATGAGGTTGCCATTTGTAGACCAACCGGCTTCGTATAGGTACTGAGGAAGCTCTATAGGCTGTCAGGGCAACTCGTGGTCAGAAAACAGATGCATTGACTGACGGGTAGTCTTGCCGCAGCCCGTCTGTCCGACCACGATTGTCACGCCGTGCTTCTCAACGCAGTAAAGCAGTTTCTCTCCTATTGATGATTCAAAGCTCAATGCGTGAACCGTATATGCAAGACATCAAACGCTGACTATGCTTGAATATCGGCAGCCGCTGCCTTGCAGCATCAATTGACAGATTGGTCACCAACGGCGCAGACGGAATGACATTCTCCTCCGTTTCTGTTGCTCTGTCGAGTGAGCTCCCGGGTCCGATTGTACCAGGTTTCCAGAATTGGAGAGACATATCGGCGGAGCGATCAATTGGTGAGAGGAATGGAAATGGAAACTCTCAGCCACAGGCGGTTGTTTGGAACGGAAGCCTTTGCACGCGGGGCCAAGCAGGGATAAATAATGGCGCGTGGCACGAGCGCTTAGTCAGCGGGATTGAAAGATCAGCGCTGTTCTTGCTGTCCTACCATCTGCTTTCTTGCTCTCACTCCCACCCACTACTGTTGTTGCCTACTATTTACGATGTCCGAACGTAAAGGTGCGTACATTCTAGCTAGTATAATAGTACATGCAACTAATGGACGGTGCTCGCAGTCTTGAACAAATACTTCCCGCCAGATTTCGATCCGGCTCTCATTCCGCGGAGGAAGCAGCCAAAGAACTCGCAGCAGGTGGTTCGTCTGATGGCCCCTTTCTCTATGTACGTACTGTCTTTGACGTTATTCTCCATATGACCTGACTGATTGGTAATACAGGCGATGTAACACATGCGGTGAATACATCTACAAGGGGAAGAAGTTCAACGCGAGGAAAGAGACTGTCGAGGGAGAGGATTACTATGGCATCAAGATCTTCCGCTTCTACATCAAATGGTACGTCCTGTATGCATAAGTACTACTATATTCTCGCCAACCTTTTGCCCTCAGCACGCTCTGTTCAGCTGAAATCACTTTCAAGACAGACCCGAAGAATACAGACTACGCTGCCGAGCATGGTGCATCACGGAACTTCGAGCCATGGCGGGAGGAGCAGGCCGTGGAGGAGGAGGACCGGCTCGCTAAGCTCGAGGAGGAAGAGAATAACCCGATGAAGGCGCTCGAGAACCGAACAGTCGACTCGAAGCGCGAGATGGACATCCTCGACGCGCTGCAAGACATTCGCGCACGCAATGCCCGCAACGAACGCGTGGGCCAATCTGTCGATCTGATAGAGCGCACCGGGATGGAGGAGATCGAGACGGAGGAAGACAAGGAGCGAAAGCGGCTCGAAGAGGAGGACGAGAAGCTCATAAGAGAGGTGTTCGCGAAGGTCCCTGTGGCTGGTGCGGGCCCATCTTCGAGCCGCTCACCGGAGGGGAGCGCTGCGAATGGCGAAGCGTCGCCGCCGGCGGTGGTGACGTTGAAGCGGAAAGCGGACGGCGTGGAATCGGACGTGCAGAGCTTGCTGCCGGAGGAGGCGCGGGCGTTGATTTCGTCGAAGACCAAGGTGTTCGCGCCGCCGCTGCTGAAGAAGAAGAAGACAGACTTGAAGGGCACGCTAGGGATCAAGATCAACAAGGGGAAGGCAGTGGCGAAGTTTAAAGTTGCTGTATAGATATTTTGTGGATCACTTGATGGACTTTTGTGTATTCTGGACTAACTTATGGTACTGTTCGCGCATCATGATCGCACTTATACATTTGCATCCCTGACGCGAGGTTTTATTTCCCGGCGGAAAAATGGTAGGCGTAGTCTAGCTAACGAAAGGCTATTGTCTACAACAACGGCAAAGTATACGTATGGCGAGATGGCTATTAGTCTGTAGTAGAATGCATGTGTCAGAACTGGTCGTACGTATCAAGTTTGGCAGGTTGTCCGCTCGAGATAATCTGCTGCTGCGCTTTGCTCAATGTTTCCTTCTGTGACATCCGCCTTCATCGCAAGTGTCGGGACTCACGGCCAAGACAAGAATTTTGAGAAAACATTTTCTCCTTCCGTTCAACTTCGGCGTTATTCAATATGCCCCATAATTGAAGGGTTGAAATATCGTCATACGCGATGCGCCTCTGCACGCAAGATGGGTTTGATCATAAGGACTCTCAGGAGACAATATAAAACTCGTTCAAGTTCAAACGGAAACGATATTCCTGTAGAATCGTCGAGTCTGTGACCAGAAAATATCAAGTTTCAGACGACAATAGACCGCGATGCAATCAATTTTCGGAGAAGGCGTTGAGAATTATGATCATTTCTTGCCACACGCATTCTATGAATATGATACAGACATAAGTATGTATGCCATAGAAATATAGATCGAAAGAAAGTGCTGTGGCCTCGATCATCAATTCAATTATTGATGGCGATGATGTCAGTCACACCCTATAGCTTCGAGGCCTATGCCGCATGCTCCATATCTCCACGCGGCGCCGGCGACGACGACACCAGCGACGACGACGACACCAGCATTCTAACCCATCATGGGCAGCCTCGCCTATCTCCAGCCGATTGTCTCAACCGCATTTCGCGCCGTAGCGTACATTTTCCTCGAAGTGGTCAGACTATTCTGCGCAAGCGTCCACTGTTCCCACTGACCCGATGTTCTCCTCCTACAGCTGCCTCATAGTTTGGCGAAACCAATTCTAACAGTGCTTTATCTACTCTATCTAGTACTCTATTTCGTGCAACGTACTCCTCGCAGGGTGTATGCGCCTGTGCCACAATCAGAGCCTGCAAATGGCGAAACCAAGGAGGCAAAGAATGAAGAAACGAATGGAGAGCTTGTTGGGAAGCCTGAGACCATCGTGAGATGATTTACACCACTTCATGAACGACTAAGATGACAAGCTCGGTGCAGCCGTCAAGCACAGACACGGGCATCACTCCGACAATCGTCTTCTCTCTCCTCACTCCATCCCGCAGCTTACGCATCGTAAACCTTCTCATCAACACATTCATCTTTGCTGCATGCGTCGATTTTGTCGCTTACCCATTTTTCGACGATGCCTCCGACGTTATCTACTCACGCATCGGTGCCTTGTACCCTGATGCCGCCAAGGTTGGTGTGCGCTATCCCAGCAGCGACGCAAATGCGACATACCATGAGGTATATATAACATGGAGGCAGGAGATGGATAGCACTGGCATTGACTCATGGAAAGAGGGCTCGGTGGTCAATTTGACTAAAGGGGACGACTGGGTGGGTACGGTAAAGCTGTTTGGGCTCTCGCCCAGTACATCATATGAATGTGTGTCACCCTCTTCTACTTGCCGTTTGAATGCCTCGCTGATAGATCTTGGTCAGATAGGCTCGAAGACCCCAATGGGACCGTGCTCCCTTACCCCGCCTCACCGCTCCACTTCCACACGTTCCCAGACCCGCTCCTGAACAGCGGCTCGCACTTCCGCTTCCTCGCGTCGTCGTGCATGACACCAAACTTCCCATACACGCCCATGCACGGGCGGAGGATCAAGGGTTTCGATTTACTGGCGGAGTACTTGTGGCCGGCGGAGAACATTGCTAATGTGCCACCCAAAGCGACCCCGATTTTAGTGGATACGGATAGTATGGCAGCAGACGAAGCGGAATCTGGCAGCGAGCAGACCGGCAGCTCTCAGCCTGCGACGCCCTCCGAAGGTGTTCCCGAGCCGACATCGGGTGAAACTAACGCGCAGGTGGCAGCGTCGCAGCCTCTGCCGCCGCCTACGGAATTCATGATCTTCATGGGAGATTTTATTTACGCAGATGTGCCGATCTACTGGGGAGACGACAAAGAAGCGTATCGCAGGCTATATAGAAGGAATTATCAGAGTCCGAGCTTCAGAAAGGTGTATGAACGGCTGCGTGAGTGATCCGTTGTCGATCATTTGAGAGTAATTTCTCAAAATGCTACACGACAGCGATGATACATACGTACGACGACCATGAGGTAACGCGCCATCGACTCCCGCGCAAGCCATTACTGACTCCTCGTAGATCATCAACAACTATGCCGGCAAAGCAAATGACAGCAAGCCCCCGTTCCCGAATGCAGACGATGCGTTTGCGTTGTACAACGCTAACGCGAACTACGACAGCTCTGAGGAGGACGCGCACTATTACGAGTTCAGGTACGGCGACGTGGCTTTCTTCGTCATGGACACGCGGCGATACCGCTCGGTCATCGAGGAGACGGACGAGGCAAGTCGGACGATGCTGGGCGACAAGCAGTTGGCGGCACTGCACGACTGGCTCGGGAGGGTGCGCCGGATCCTCTTTGTCACGGACTCGTTGGTGCTTACCGGCATGCCACGATGCAGGTCAACAACACAGCGACATTCAAGTTCATCGTGACCTCGGTGCCGTTCACCTCCCTGTGGACGTACGAAGGACTGTACGACACGTGGGCGGGCTTCGAGCACGAGAAGGCTTCACTCTTGCGCGTGTTCCATACCGTCCCCAACGTCATCCTCCTCTCCGGCGACCGGCACGAGTTCGCCGCAATCGAGTTCACGAGCGCGGATACAGATGCGTACCCGGTGTACGAAGTGTCGACGAGCCCGATGAGCATGTTCTACGTCCCACTCGTGAGGACACTCCGGATGCGCAGCGAGGCCGTGGTGAGCAGGAGGAGGGAGATGAGCAAGGTGGCCGAGAATGGGACAGTGGAGAGTGAAGTTGTGGAGGAGGAGGTGCCGAAGGAGAGGGTGCTGAAGTACATCGCGGAGGGAAACTACAAATGGTGAGCTGGCTTGCCTGGGTGCGTGATTCGAAAGCCGAGGAACTGAATATTTTGTTGTCTGTGTAGGTCGACGATCGAGGTCGACACGAGGGATCCGGATCACCTGAACGTACTTGTGGATATCATGATTGATGGGTCGAAAGCATACAGGTGAGCACTGTTGGATCGAGAGCATGGTATCCTGGCTCATAAACAATCCGCAGCCTGACCGTAGAAGGCGCACCGGTCAAGCTGCAGTCCTCGACGGCGCTCGGGGCGTACGTGCCGCAGACGTTCAAGAGCGTGCTTGACAAGATTGGCCTCAATCCAAGCCGCTGGTTCTGAATTTCATTTCAATGCCTGATATGTGTCATGTATCGAGTACAACCCTGTATCCATGTTATTCTACATGCTGTGCGTCGCTATGATATATTGCTAGGTTATCAAAATCTGCTATTCACTCGACCGTGGTTGCGTAAGCTCAGCTCGTTGTGTTGATCGTTTCTTGTGAGAATCGCTGCTGGATTCGTGCGTAGTGTTCCATCTCGGCTTGGCTCACGCTAGGGATGAGCTCGCTTAGGGCAGCATCGAAGTCTGCATGCGAGACTAGCACTTCCATCTCCGCGGGCGTGGCTAACTCGGCGAGATAGTACTGAGGAGTGAGAGGGTACGGATGAGGCGAGTTTGCAGGTGGGTTGGCATTTAGAATAGCTGATAGAATCAGTCAGCCAGATTCTCACGAAAAGTGGAGATGACCCATACCAATTGCCGCCTCAAGCTCCTCTGCTTTTCTTGCCATTGCCTTTAACAACGCGTCTGCACACAAGGCATAGAAGTCGGCGCCGGTGTAGTGGAATGGACATTGTTCCGCAACGTTCTCGAGGCGAAGGTCAGGGTGGAGGCGGAATTTCCGCGTCAGGGCTTGCAATATATTTAGCTGCGCGACATGCGATTTGCTTATACCGAGGTAGAGCATGCGGTCGAATCTGCAGAAGCCTTCAGCTAGAGTGCTGAAGATAATGTTATCACTGGCGTTACCTTCCCGGTCTGAGCAGTGCGGGATCTAGCAGGTCAGGCCGATTCGTCGCGCCAATGACGAAGACGTCTCCCCCCGCATTACCGCCCGAAAGGCCATCCAGCTCCGCGAGGATCTGGCTGACGATACGATCCATGACGCCGCCCGAGTCGCCGTGACTACCTCGTTTCGGTGCGACAGAGTCCAATTCATCAAAGAAGACGACGCATGGCCGCGCGTCCCGAGCACGCTGGAAGACCCGCCGGACGTTCGCTTCGGACTCGCCGATATACATGTTAAGCAGTTCCGGCCCCTTCACAGAGAAGAAATTGAGTGCGCAGGACGTCGCGACAGCCTTTGCGAGGAGCGTCTTGCCAGTTCCTGGGGGGCCGTAGAGTAAAATACCTAGAATTGCACTCAACGCGCATTCATCGAACTCAGAGACAGCAACAAAACGTACCGGACCGCTTCTTTAGACCGTCGGCAAATAGTTCCGGATGTTCCAGCGGTAGCTGAATGGTATCGAGGATGTCTGCCTTAACATGCGCAAGGCCTCCCACATCGTCCCAGGTCACGGATGGAATCTTCGGAGCACCAATGTTCTCTGAATATGATGCCCTTGATTCGGCCAGCGCAGCATCAAAGTCGGCTGCGACAATTGGAATGCCCGCATTGAATAGATCGATCTCCCTGCGCTTTCTATAGAACAAATCAGGAGCCTGCACAACGGCAGGCAATCAATATATGCTCACGAAGTTCGCATTGCACGCTGCATGGATGCGCTCTGGGCGCGAGAAATCAAGTCTACAAGGTCAGCGGCAACCAAAGCGGCCGTTTGAACTGCTGTTTCCCGTATCGAGACATCAGGTCCGAGGTTGCAATCATGCAGAAGCGCCATCAGAATATCGTATCTTTCGGCCTCTCCAGGCGCCTAAACTGCTGTGAGCATATGAAAAATGATAAATCAAGATTACTTCGTACGTACTTCGAACACGATCTCGTGCTTGAAGCACGACAGGACACGGGGGGGGACCCGCTCGGCATTGCTTGTCGTACTAACCACAATGATAGGGAAGCCGGTCAATCCCCAAGCCTGCTGGAGCGTTGCAATGCAGTCTTGTAAGACATCGCCTACACTCGACTCTACACGGAGTGCAGGTAAATGTTGAGTCAACAGTGTCATAAGTCCACGCAGTTAGATGTTACCTTTGCCAGGTTCTAGGCTTTGAGTGCTCCGCGCAAAGGCATCTATATTTCTTAGCAGTAGGATGCATGGTGAGCACGATGCAGCTCTCTCAAACCGAGCCCGGAGTGTGCCTTCGGTCTTGACGTCGTTCTCGCCCAGGACATCGTAGCAATTGACCTAGTAAGCATCTCGTCATCGAGTCTCTCTTTTGACAGAGAAAACAGCCCACTTCAAAGATATGCATGCCAAGACGCTGTGCCACCGCTGTCGCGACGGTGCGCTTCCCGACTCCATTTGACCCTTTAAGCACGATAGACAACTGGAGCTGGTAGTCCACGGCATGCCTATTCAGAGCTGCGGAAGACAACGCGAGCAGCTTCCCAAACGCGCTGTCAGGATCCAAGAGAGTCGATACAGGATGTCGCGATCGCGAGAACGTATTAGGCTTCTCTGCTCAGGCATCGATGTCAGAAACGAGAGATAATTGCTTTGAGATCGCAAAGATTCACCTATCGAGAGATATTGCGACACGTCAGGCACCCTGGAATACTCAACACCTGTCTGGATCATGCGCGTCTGGGTGGGATCTACCCAGCATCCAAGCTCGCCCATCGTGGATCCGAGATACATATCCGGCGAGGATGCCTCCGCGTTCGTGACGATGTTATGTTCCAGATTTGTCACCACAAAGTATATGACCTCATTCACATTCTCGGACCTTGACAACGCCTTGTTAACTGAAACGCTCGAAATACATGCGACGCAGGGAACTAACTCGTAGTCGTATCCACCCATCTCGCCCTCATCGTCCCCTCCCATTTGAATAGCATGATCCGTGTCGATCGTGACGGCGATCACATCTCCTTTCTTCACTAAACGCGTAGTCTCCTCGAAATAGGCTTGTAGCGCACGAAGGAAAAGACTCTGGTACGTGCGATCGGTGGACAGGAAGGATGCAATGCGGGCGATCGTGACGCTCCGCGCCGTTGGTATCGCTGGCCGGAGAGATCCAAATGGGCTGGAGCGGAGGCACATAAAAGGGGTATCGAGACTCGAGGCCCCTCCTGCGATATTGTGCAGGAGTTGAGGTGAGAGCGTTGCGGTTCCACTGATGAACAATTAACGGATAGCTGGCCCAGATGCGTTTCGTAGCTTACTTACGGTTTGGCTTCAATACTGTCCGCGGCGCACACTCTGACCAACCGGTATGATGTGCTGCCCTTTGAGCGGACGACAGCCTTAAAAATGGTCAGCGGTCGAAGTCACTGTTATCATGAGTTGTCTTACCCAATCTCCGTTCAAAATGCCTATATGACTTAAATCAGGCGTGCTTACGTAGATTGTACAATCGTCTTGTTCGAGAGAAATTGGCTCCGGAAGCGGCTTGGCAGAACATGCCCACTCAGGCAACTGAATTTTCGGCCTATCCTTTGTCTCTACATTTGCTTGATCACCGTTTGTGAGAGGCCCACCACCGGTGACGCGATAATGTGAGAGCGAAGCGAGGTCAGGCATAGACTGCAGTACGGAACCAGCCAGGAACGACTCGTCAATCTCAAGCTCCTCCTCTCTAGATGTGGTTGATGAAGTATCTGAGATACCATCAACTCCATTGGAAGAGGCAAGAGGCAGGTTCAAGGGAAGTGCGGGCTGTGTGGCTAGAGTGACATAGAATCGAGTGAAGCCTTTCTCTGCACAGCCCTGCAGCACAGGCGCGACCATCACCAGCTGGTACATGTATGCGTCCCCCTGAGAGCCTTCTCCGTCGACCAAAGCAGAATCGTCACGAGGCACAGAGTATATGGAGCCTTGACGGAGGATAGCCTGCTTGTCCAGAAGTCGCGCCTCCAGAGCAGCCTTGTTCAGCTCTGCGAACGTGTACGCATCGTCAGAAAGTGCCGCAACAATGACTTCAGTTAGCGCTACAGGCCTGACGGCGGTGATATGGTGCGTCGGTGTATCGGCTGCGTTAACGTCGTTGTTGGTGAATACCTGGGGGAACTCGTGGAGCCATCGTGGAGGGATTGCGCAACGGCTAACCTTGATGTGTATTGGAGTCAAAATGTCATACACAGAGAAATGACACGAAAAACGTACGTCCTCACTCAGTGAGACCCAGCATACAAATGAATGCAGCGGCGACTCGTTATAGGACACATGGGGCGCAATTCGCGTAACAGAGACCGCCAGAGCACCAGCACCGCGATGCGACGAGGACAATTTCTCCCAAATACTCCTCGGAACGAGAAGAATGTCGTTGTCGTCGCCAGGATCGCTGAGAGAAAATGAACAGGGCACCACCTGTGGCCGGCCAAAGAGATAGTCCATAGCAATCGAGCGTGGGAAACCCGCCGTCAATCTCCCGCCACAAAATTAACGTAGGGCGCCTACAACTTCGACGTGCTCCTCAGCATACCTCGGCGCCGAAGGTCAGAATTCACGACCGTATCGCCCAAGGAATCAAGCCTTGCCTAAGATTGAATAAATGAGCCGCGGTGGACGAGGAGGATTCGGTGGGCGGGGAGGAGGTGAGTCGCGTCGCTCGTTCTGCTTGGGCTGGTTCGATGTTTCTCCAGGGCGTGGCGGCGGACGGGGCGGATACATGCAGCGGGATGCAGGTCCTCCTGATACAGTGCTCGGTATGTTCCTACATTTTCCAACTCGCACGTGCAGGCCCCTTGCTGACCGCTACACGCATACGGCAGAGATGGGCTCGTTCGTACATGCCGTCGAGGACGAGATGCTCTGCCAGTCCGTCATGCCCGACAAGGTGCCGTACTTCAACGCGCCGATATATCTTCAAAACAAGTCCGCCATCGGCAAGGTCGATGAGATTCTCGGCCCGATCAATGAGGTCTACTTTTCCGTCAAGATGGACCATGGCATGGTTGCAAGTAGCTTCAAAAATGGGGACAAGGTGTATATCGCAGGTGACAAGCTACTGCCTGTTGAGAGGTTCTTGCCCAAACCTAAAGCCGCGGGAGGTATGTGCTGCACAACGTCGCAAATTTTTTTTCGCTCATCTGAGACGATCTGTACAGGTGTTACAAGTGTGTCTACGCGCTCTCATCTCATATGCTCGCTACTGAAAACTTTTTCCTTCATCGATCAGAACGAGGCCGTGGTGCGGGGCGTGGTGCGGCTGGTGGAAGGGGGCGAGGGGTACCAGGACGAGGCGGGTTTCGCGGTGGCCCGCGCGGTGCCTCACGAGGAGGTTATGGTGGAGGAGGTTATGGTGGAGGGGGTTATGGTGGTGCACGGGGCGGCTCACGGGGCACATCAAGAGGACGTGGGTTCGGCGGCGGAGGCAGAGGAGGCCGCGGTGGTTTTCGGGGATCGTAGATGTCTGTACTTTATCGACTTTTCCTCTTTGCCTCTCATTCAGCCATCTTGCTCTCGATGTATGGTCAATGCTTGTGCCATATCGGTTCTATTGGGATAAGGCTGCGGTTCGATGTGTCACGGCTTCAATGTTTTTACCGTGGCAGCTACATCCTGTACTCTCTCGGAGCGTTCCAGTTGTAGAGGCACAGACTAGTAGAAGACATGAATGAGTACACGTGAGTGAAAAGTGCTGGAAACGCCCCACTTGGTTAAGCTCGTCGGTTATGGCATTCAACTTCAGCGTAATCTGCTCTATATTCTCATAAGCATCAGGAGGCACTGCAGCACTGTTAGCAAACAATGGACGTGAAGGTCAATGCACGTACAGTCATTGTACAGCGGAACGGTGTCCCCATCCCCGTCCCCTTCAGCAGCCAATTCCTCATCGACCGCACGCTGCCGGTTGAGAAGCTCTTCCAAGAGCCTTTCGACCTCGACTGGATGCTTTTGCCGCCTCGCAGCGAGCTCCTTATCCCATTTCAGGCTTTGCTCTGAGAGCGCCCAAATGTGCCTGTCGAAGCCCTCATCGAACGGCTCTTCCTCTACGAATGAGGGTTGTTTAGAGATAAATCAATGCGGAGCGAAAGATGAAGAAGTGCTGACCCTCTTCGTCGACGTCAACGTCCTCGGCGTTCCGTCCGTTGACGCGGATATTGGGGCGGGTCTTCTCAAACGTCCTGTCGACGAACTGCAAACGACGCGTCAGCATCCGACCACCAATATCGCGAACAATAGCATGCCTGTTTTAGATGCTGTGCGATGAGCCCTCTTTCTTCGCTCGGCCCGCCTTGGGCGAGCTCCTCGTCGAGGATCGCCATCGCAGCGCGTGTGTAGTTTGCCTTGATGCGCTGCCAGTCTTGCACGGTGTCGACAGAAATGCGAGATATGTCTTCTCTTTGGTCATCCATGGTGCGGTGAGGCTCAGAGAGACGTGGCGTGACAAGACAAGAGGTATCCAGTGGAACACGTTCTGAACTTGAAGTCTTGAACGTGGCGGGAACGCGTATATACACGTGATATGCGCGCAACTTAAGCATTAGACCAAGAGGCGCGCAATAATCGGATTTTAGACATAGGGTCAGAAAACTCCGATAAGAGCCCTTTTACCCCCCCGTGGAAACGTCACATGATACCAATTTATGGCGCATCATTCCGCATTCGGCACAGTGCTAATTAATCTAATAATCGTTCCGTCTTCTCTTACAAGATCGAGCTTTGCGAGCACCCTTCGCTCGGCATTCATCTGTGAAGAACAAACATTCAAAGTCATACTAGACTGCAAAAGGGATTGGCGCTAGGCTAGAAACGACAGAGTAATTTATCGTCCTTGTATGTAGACTTTTTGCATGGCAGAATGGCGCGAAGAATTTGTGACAAGTGTGACACACGTTACAAAGTGATGTGACATGTCACGCATAACCGTCACTGCACGTCTTTCAAGCTGTTTTGCACCTGAGTAGTTGCACTCGAGAAGCGCCGGGTGTCGCCGGCAGCAGACCTTGCGACAGACTTGACGATAACAAAGTATGTAATAGCTAAATCATGTGCGTTAAAGTCGCATAGGAGGTCGCACTGAAAGGCCGCGAAGGCTGACGTCGGCGAACGAAAAAGGCAAAACAATGCACCAAAATCTGCGTTACATTTGTGCCCTGGGAGAAACCTTGCTGTCGCAAGGTAATATGTGATTGAAGACATCATAGAGACATCTACAACACGCCATGAAGGTCTTTCTAGTCTGGTAATGCTTTAATAGGCCCCCAAGAAAACTCAGCTAAGTCCCAAGAAAACTCGGTTAAGGACCCTCCAGACCCCCCCCCCCCCCCCCCTCCCCCGGTCTTGGCACCTGCCGGTGTCCGCCTCTTGCATCAGACCACGTTAATTAGGCTGGATGGACTGAACGAATCATCATTGTAAGGCATTTGTTCGGCAGACGATACACGCTGGACCGTTGCACTGAGGCTGGCGATCGTACGTCTCATCATTCCCACTACGACAGTAAGGGGTCTTGTCGATTTGAAGCTCACAAGGCTCTCCAGGATCCCCCGATTATCCCTATGAGAGGCCGGTCGGCCGTCCGGACATGAACAGACACTTATGAGGCCGTAGGCCAGTCCGCAATCCGGACAAAATGACCCCCCAGTGTCCGAAAGGCCTGTCAAAATGTCCAGACATTTTCCCCGTATATTCAGATAGGCCAGTCCGGCATCCGGACATGGAACAAAGGGAAGGTAGTAGCATTTTACTTCAAGCCACAAAACAAACATGTACAAATAAAATTGAACAGGTGGGCCTCCGAAATGGCCAGTCACAATGTCCAGACAGAAATTTCAGGTCCCGGAGGCTGGACAGCTATCCGGACATGAACTCCGGAGAAGGTTGTCCGGACAGGAAGTCCAAAAATCAGTGATTTTTGGACCGGCCTCCTGCATAGGGATAATCGGGGGTCCTGGCTCTCCGCGAAAATTAGCGATCGGGGGATCACGTCTGCCCTGAAGTGATCGCTCCATCGCTCGTCATGTCTCGTGATCTCCTTCTCCTGGCTGCAAGCACACAAATCATCTAAATGCTAAGGTGATGACTGCTTCAAATGATATCAAAAACTGACAAGCCCTTTCACGTCACCCCTACCTGCAGAAATGTTTCTTTTGGAGACAAAGCCGGATCAATAAAGCACAAATCTTATTACGAGACGGCCGCTGTATAGTTCGTGAAGCGCCGACTAAGCGCCCGTACATAGCAAATTTCTAGCACGATAACCGTGAACCGAAACGACTTAAAAAAGACTTCAGCCCTTTCTCGGGCATCCTTACCCTGGCAAACTAATTTATTTCGTGGCAAATAATGGATATGAAGCGTTATTGCGTGTACACCCATATCAAACAGAATATGAAGTGCCGGCTACAGAATTCGTGACCATCGTGTGATCGCACTCGTCGTAGTGGGCGCTGCCGGCACCGGCCCTACCACCTTATGCGCCAGTAGGGAGTGCCAACCGAGCCATATATGTAGCAAATATTGTTGACAGTACCCTCGAGTATGACATCAACCCCCAAACAGGCTGATGTGATACAAGGACAGTCCCTGGTGTTGGAGGAGTTGGGAAAGAGAGCTCGATGATGAACTGATTGGAGAGAGATATTGGGATGTTCAAATGTAGAATATGATATATAAATACATTGAGATGAGCAACATTGAACGCCCGGGCACGACATGACATGACAAGAGAATACAAAGTGGCAAGGGTGGTCGAGTCAAGCCAGCATTAAACAGATAGTCAGATAGTCAGCCTTCCCACTTCGTCTGCATGTTGATCATCAGAGTTATGTGGGGAAAGCATAGGAGAGTGCGACGCACCTCCGGATGAGCTTTGAAATGTTCGTACTGTTCACCGTTAAAGAAGCTAATCTCTGTCTCGTTCTCTGTGGGAGCAGATAAATTAACGCAGGCCTGATTGAATTGGGCCGTAACGCGACGAGAGGAGCTTGCTCCAAGGACAACCCGAACTCACCAAGTCCGCAATCGGCGAGTGTCTTGAGGTCATCGTTCAGTATCCACTCGTCGTGATCGAGGTTAATGATCAGATTTGATGTCTAGGTTAAAATGAGTTGAGCAGAACGAAGACGGAAACGCTTCATTTTCGTACCTTAGCGCCGTGTGCCTTCGTGTAGAGCTTCAAGGTATCTATCACAGCAGATGTGGGCACCCCGTATTCCTTTAGGTGAGATTGTTACAAACTGAGAACGGTGCTACGGTAGGGTTTCCACCCGGGTTGTGTCTGAACGGCTGAAAAGTAACTAGCTCACAGCAACAAACAGATAACGGAGGATCAAGTGCATGAATACCTTGTCGGGCCATCGCCTTCAACTCGCCGACAGTTACCTTCTCGAGGTTGACATTATGAAGGACGAGGCTCTTCTCGGTACGGAATTCGAAGGACTTGATGATGCGTACAGTCAGCGTAGCGGAAGTCTTTGGCACGGCGAGGTTGACTGGAATATCTGGATCGCCAACCGATGACATGTCAGCAGGAGTACTAAGGAGCGGAGCGGATTCTGGGCAGAGGAGGATAGCGAGCGTAAAAGGATGCCACATTTCTAGCGCTCGAGCTTGGACGCGTCCAAAAGTTTCACACACCGCAGACATGAAGCGTTTTGCACACGTGGCAAATGCTTAGCAAATGTCGACAGGTTTTTTGTCTTTGTGATCTCAATTTGCTATGGTTCCTTCCTACATTCCATATTAAGTGTTTGCATATAATATGTTGGAGGCAGAAATTTAAAATCATATATTTCAAGAAATGACACCATTTTCAAACTCATCAAATAAATTTAAAAACTGAGTGCTGTTGAATGTAATCATACATTTTTGAATTCCAAACCATCACATGTATAAAATACCCAGTAGCAGACGAAGGTGTAATTATGCCTACATTCTACTTCCCTACTGAAGTCATTCTAACCAAGATTACTAGAATGAAAGTCATTCGTAATTACACCTTCATCTGCTACTGGGTATTTTATACATGTGATGGTTTGGAATTAAAAAATGTATGATTACATTCAACAGCACTCAAATTCTAAATGTATTTGGTGAGTTTGAAAATGGTGTCATTTCATGATTTAAATTTCTGCCTCCAACATATTATATGCAAATACTTAATACAGAATGTGGGAAGGAACCATAGCAAATTGAGATCACAAAGGCAAAAAAACTTGTTGACATTTGCTAAGCATTTGCCACGTGTGCAAATCGCTTCATGTCTGCGGTGACAGGGGGCATGAGGCCATGATTCCACCGGGATCATTTTGAAAACATTGCGATCACAGTCCAAATGTAACTAAAGATGTTTTCGCTGTAGGCATTTAAAATACATTTTAAATGACCTAACAACTATCATTGAGAAAGTATTCTGATAATATTCAAAATGATTCTCCATTGAGAGCATGATGTTGCTACTGCTAGCATTCAAGCAAAATTCTGAAAACATTACATATAATCCCCACTTGCTGATTTTGAATGAGCTTCAAGTAAAACCGTGATGTGTTCAAGATGTTCCTGCTGGGATCATTGTGATCACATGGATGTCATGCCCAAATATGGTATACAAATAGTCATATTTGGGCATAACTGATGTGTTCAGGATGATTCCACATGGAATATGCTGAACACATTTCTCTTTCATTGTGACCCCACACGAGCATCGTTCAAAATGTATGATCAGGCATCATGTGTAATGGTTTCAAACTGCTGCTTGAATTCTGGCAGTAGCAACATCATGCTCTCAATGGAGAATCATTTGGAATATTATCAGAATACTTTCTCAATGATAGTTGTTAGGTCATTTAAAATGTATTTTAAATGCCTACAGCGGAAACATCTTTAGTTACATTTGGACTGTGATCGCAATGTTTTCAAAATGATCCCGGTGGAATCATGGCCTCATGCCCCCTGTGTTTCTCTCTTTTCGCCGTCTCCCTCGTCCTCAGCACTGCGCGCGGCCCTTGACCGCGACGCTGAATGCCTGTGACGAATGCACTGAACTTTGAAATTTGAACGTCTGAGCCACCACGAACGGGCTTTGAAGACCATGCGGTCAGTCGACCGCAGTGGAAGCAGCCCTCGAAGCCCCACTTGCAGCTCAGCTCGCCGGTGAACTCTACTGTCCCTTCGTGTGTAACATATGACTGGTACTACCGAAGATCTCCCGCTCGTCCCAGCAGCCTAGCATATATATACTTCAGCGTGCAGTCTCACAGACCTGTTCGGCTCTTTCCCTCTTGCCTGGACGTGAACGAACCTCGTCATGACCTCCATGTCTCGCTCATTCCTCGACGCGTCTATCCCTGAGCTTGTTAACAAGCTATCCACGGACGAGAAGATTGCTCTGCTTGGTGCGCCCAACTGGTGGAACACACATGCTGTTGAGCGGCTGGAAATCCCTGCCATTCGCATGAGCGACGGACCGAATGTACTGCACCTCTCATATACATATGCTGCCTGTCTATTCTAATCGTGTGTCTTGTCGAAGGGTGTCAGAGGTTCCTCCCATTTCGTGTCCACGCCTGCGCAGTGTATTCCTGTATGTGTTGGAACTATAATGTCTATGAATACGCCTTACCCGTATGATTCCCCTAGTGTGCTACGTCCATGGCTGCTACCTTCGACACAGAACTGATTCACCAAGTCGGAGTATTCTTGGCGGAAGAGACGAAGATCAAGTCTTCCGTGATTCTCCTCGCGCCTACGTGCAATATCCAACGAAACCCATTGGGAGGACGTGCCTTCGAGTCTTTCTCGGAGGACCCTTATCTTTCTGGTATGTGGACCTGAATATCGTTGATATACGTTCTCATCTACACGCAAATTTTAAAAACCGTAGGCACACTCGCCGCTGCATATGTCAATGGCCTGCAATCCAAAGGCGTCGCCTCGACCATCAAGCACTTTGTAGCCAATGACCAGGAGCATGAACGAACGGCCGCCAATTCAGTAGTCTCCGACCGTGCCCTTCGAGAGATTTATCTATATCCGTGAGCTAGTTGCTTCTAAGCTCTGGACGAATGCGGCCCGCTAATCTGCCGATTCAGCTTTATGCTGGCTCAAAAACACGCTCGCCCATGGTCTTTTATGACTTCGTCAGTCGTTGACCCTCTGCTGCCGCTGTGCGCCTGACGCCTGACGCTCCTCTTTTAGCTACGGACGCATTGGTGGAGTACATTGCTCTGAGAATCCTACTCTCTTGCACGACATCTTGCGTGAGGAATGGGATTTCGATGGTCTGGTCATGAGTGACTGGTGACTTCGCTTACATATACTATCCAATGCATGCTCACCCCTCCCCACAGGTTTGGCACGTACAGCGTCGATCTCGCGATCAACGCTGAACTTGACCTCGAAATGCCCGGACCTCCGCGCTGGCGCACGCTCACGCTCGTGAACCACATGCTCTCCTCGCAGAAGGTTTTACCCGTCACCCTCAATGAGCGCGTCGGAACGCTGCTCGCGTTCGTGCAGCGCCAGGCGCGGCGGAATACTCAGATCGTGTACGGCGACGGGAAGGAGCGCACGAGGGACACGCCTGAGGGACGGGCATTTTGCAGAAAGTTGGCAGCAGAGGGGATGGTGGTACTGAGGAATGAGAGCCGTGTTTTGCCAATAATGCCCGGGAAGGTGAAGAAGGTGGCATTGATTGGGCCGAATATGAAGGAGAGGGTAATCTCCGGTGGGGGTTCGGCTGCGCTAAAAGCGAGCTATGTCATTTCGCCATATGAAGGTATTTTGGCGAACGCCCCCAACGGACTAGAGTTCGAGTATGCAGTAGGGTGCTACGGTAAGCCATGCACATGATAGATTTGCACCTACTGTCTAACGCTCTCATTTGTCAAACTTGACAGCGTTCAAATACAGGCCTACCCTCGAGCGGTACCTGACCACGATGTCCGGCGAGCCCGGCTGGACGTGCATGTTCTACAACCACGACGCGCAGGGTAGCCCTACCGGCGCACCCGTTGCCGAGTTTACGCTTAACGACACACGCGTCAAGTTGAACGACTTCTTGCCTGAGGGGCTCACGCCGACGTGGACACTCCGCCTGCATGGACGGCTTACAGTGAATAAAACGGCGACATACGAGCTTGGGGTGACAGTCGCGGGGAGGGCCAAGCTGTGGATCGACGGGACGCTGGTAGTGGATAACTGGACGAAGCAGACGCCCGGGGATTTTTTCTATGGGTACCTACTGCTGGGTTCATATGTTGCAAGTTGACTAAGCTAATGGTGGCGTGCAGGCAGGGCACTATTGAGGAGCTAGGATTGGTTGACCTGGTTGCGGGCAAAGCTGCGGAAATTTCGGTCGAGTATACAAATACGAAGCCGCCGGAGGGCGCAGAAGCTGACAATTCTCAGCCAGCATTGATGAGAGGCGTGGTATGTATCTAACTATTAGCGGTTTCGCACTGGCAGCCGTGTTCACGGATCATCGTAGCGCATTGGCGGCTGCGAAAAGATCGAATCCGACGAAGCAATGGAAGCGGCGGTCAAGCTGGCCGCGTCCTCGGATGCGGTGATCCTCGTTGCAGGCTTATCCCCCGATTGGGAAAGCGAAGGATTCGATAGACCGACGTTGGATATGCCTGGGCGAACGAACGAGCTGATCGCGCGTGTGGGCAAGGCCAATCCCAATACAGTTGTCTGCGTGCAAGCTGTGAGTTACTCCCCAATTTTGCGTGAGCTGTGTTTGAGGCAAATGCGCTACAGGGTTCTGCGGTGTCGATGCCCTGGGTGAAGGACGTGAATGGCACCATCCAAGCGTGGTATTCGGGAAATGAGGTCGGGAACGCACTCGCGGACGTGTTATTCGGCGCCATCAATCCGAGCGGTCGCCTGCCGCTCACGCTGCCTGTGCGCGAGCAGGACATCCCGGCCTACCTGAACATGCGCAGCGAACACGGACAAATACACTACCGCGAGGACGTGTTTGTGGGATATAAATTTTACCAGGCGAGGGGCGTCGAGGCGCTATTTCCGTTTGGGTGCGTGGCCCGTTCAGAGTTCAATTAATGCGAGCGGAGGGCTGATTTGGTTTCCTCTGGATAGTTTTGGATTGTCGTATACGACATTCAGCTTTTCGGACCTCTCGATAACAGATCCGAGCTCGCATGATGCGGCAATGGACGTCGACGTGTTTGTGACGGTTAAGAACGACGGACCGCGTGCTGGGTCGGAAGTTGTGCAGGTGTACATTTCGCTGCCGGACACAGGCATCACCATGCCCAAGCTGCAGCTGCGGGGCTTTGCAAAGGCTTGCGATGTCGCGTCCGGGCGCTCGAAACGTGTGAGGGTGCAGTTGGATAAGTATGCGGTGTCATTCTGGGATGAGCGGGAACATGCGTGGAGTGCACGGGCGGGGACTTACGGGATCCTTGTTGGGAAGAGCAGTGAGGAGATAGTGCTGAGTGGGTCGTTTGAGCTGAAGGAGAGCTTCCTGTGGAGCGGGTTGTAGGTGGTATCCAGGTTACATATTGAAGTCTGCATGATATATATGCATTACATCGGAAGTAAAATATGCTGAATTCATGATAAATGTTCGTGTGCCCGACACATGATCGTCATTGATTCAACGGCACTTTGTGTTACATTTTCGTACGACAATTACTGTCATTCTCATCAAAGGAATGGTGTGGCCATCGCTGTGGCCATGGAGACCCTGGTGGTTGTGCCAGTCACATGCCGCCAGCTGGGATCATTCCATTTCTGGCACTGCATCTTGACCTGGTACCGCTATCTCCTGGCCCATGGCCGAGAACATCTTCAACAAGGGGACCAGAGTTTGGTTCGCCGACAAGGAGCAGGGCTGGATCTCAGCCGAGCTTACCGCCGTCACCAGGGACGGCGACGAAGCCGTCAAGCTCGTCTTCGTAGATGAACGCGGTAAAGTGAGCTGTTCGTATCCATTTTTCCGTCATGGTGCTGAGGGATGTGATATCTCCAGGAAACCACCATAGACACGACGGTGCAGGACATCAAGGATGGAAAGGAGAGCCTCCCGCCATTGCGCAATCCTCCCCTGCTGGAGACGGCGGACGATTTGGCCACACTCTCGCATCTCAATGAGCCTTCCGGTCAGTGTTCGTCAAGTCTTGGAGCTTTTGTGCTGGCTGACGAAATGATTAGTCCTCCACACCATCCGCAACCGATATGCACAACACAGCATCTACACATACAGTGGTATCGTCCTCATTGCCATGAATCCCTTCCAACGCGTCACACTCTACGGGCCGGAGATCATTCAGGCGTACAATGGCCGCAAGCGAGGGGAGCTGGAGCCGCACTTGTTTGCAATTGCTGAAGATGCATATACTGCTATGAGCAGGGATGGGACCGGACAAACCATTATTGTGTCGGGAGAGAGGTGCGTGTTTGTGCGCGCACTTGGGGCATAAGGTCCTAAGCGATTGACAGTGGGGCAGGCAAGACAGAATCCGTACGTTTGCATTCATAATCTCTTTTGAATGCGTCTCTGAAATGGCTACAGGCCAAGTTCATCATGCGTTATCTCGCGTCCGTCAACCCGCCGAATTCAAAAAGTAGAGGCAAAACGAAGAGCTCGCTTGATGAATCCAGCGAAGTCGAACGTCAAATTCTTGCGACGAATCCAGCTTTGGAGGCTTTTGGCAATGCAAAGACTACTCGTAACGACAACTCTTCGCGATTCGGCAAGTACATCCAGGTAAGTGACAATGTTTTCGAATATCGTGCCATTACTGATGAACTTCCAAGATCCTCTTTGACGGCAATCAAGAAATCGTTGGCGCACGCATCAGAACATATCTCTTGGAGCGTTCCCGAGTTGTTTTCCAGCCACTCACAGAACGGAACTATCACATCTTTTATCAGCTCTGTGCGGGTGCACCTCTGAAAGAACGAAAAGATCTAGGTCTTGATGCGGATGTTTCGAAGTTTCATTATCTCAATCAGGGTGGCCCTCAATCGACACCAATACCCGGCGTCGATGACGCAGAGGAGTTCCGACAAACTCAAATTGCACTCTCCACTATTGGAATTAGCGTCGAGAAACAATGGGCCGTCTTCAAGCTGCTATCTGCCCTCCTCCATCTTGGCAACATCAAGATTACCCAGATGCGGAATGATGCTGCAATCGAGGACACGGATTCCGCTCTGCAATTGTCGACACGATTCCTTGGCATCACCCTTGCTGAATTCAAGAAGTGGACAATCAAGAAACAGATCACCACGCGCTCGGAAAAGATCGTCACCGCTCTTAATGCGGCGCAAGCTACGGTCGTCAGGGATAGTGTGGCGAAGTTCGTCTATGCGTGCCTATTTGAGTGGCTGGTTGCCATCGTTAACGAGAGTTTGGCGGGAGAGAACGGCGAAGCTGCAAATCGCGCGGAGATGTTCATTGGTGTTCTGGATATCTACGGGTTCGAGCATTTCCAGAAGGTGAGGCGGTAGGGTTACTTTCCGGACTATGCTAACAGATCACTCCAGAACTCTTTCGAACAATTCAGCATCAACTATGCCAACGAGAAGTTGCAGCAGGAGGTAGGTCCTTTTGCAAGTTTCTTGAAGGATAGATCGGCTGACGTTGCAGCAGTTCAACCAACATGTCTTCAAGTTGGAACAAGAAGAGTACGTCCGCGAGAAGATCAACTGGACGTTCATCGAGTTCTCAGACAACCAGCCTTGTATTGATGTCATCGAGGGCAAGCTGGGAGTGATGGCGTTGCTCGATGAAGAATCCCGCCTTCCCTCTGGAACGGACACTTCATTTTTGCAGAAGCTACACTCACAGCTGGACAAGCCAGAGAACCGCAAGGTCTTCAAGAAGCCACGCTTCGGCAACTCCGCCTTCACCATCGCACACTACGCTCTGGACGTCATGTACGAGGTCGAAGGATTCCTAGAGAAGAACCGCGATACCGTTCCAGACGAACATATGGCCCTGCTCATGTCGACGAAAAATACTTTCCTGAAGGAAGTCCTTGATGCTGCGTTTGCTGCAACGAAGGCACCTGACGCCGCACTGGGATCGCCCACGGTGTCCGACTCGGGCTCCGGCAGCGGGGTGTCAAAGCGATCTTCTGTCATTCCTGACCCTGGTCGTCAGTCTCTGATCTCGTCCGCCGCGTCGTCTTCGTTGGGTCCAAAGCGCGGGGGAGGCATCGCCAGGAAGCCAACACAAGCGTCGATCTTCAAGGCATCGTTGGTGAATTTGATGGATACCTTGAACGTGACGAACGTCCATTATATTCGGTGCATCAAGCCGAACGAGGCGAAGAAGGCTTGGGAGTTTACACCGCAGCAGGTCTTGGGACAGCTGCGGGCATGTGGTGTGTTGGAGACGATTCGTATTAGTTGTGCAGGCTATCCTTCGCGGTGGACGTACGAGGAGTTCGCTGAACGGTGTGTGGCTACCTTTTGGTCCATATGCGGATGTATCTGACACGCTCCTAAGATACTACATGCTCGTCCATTCGTCAGAATGGGGCCCAATGATCCAGAATTTCGAACTGAAGCCGCTTTGCTCGTTAATCCTGGAGCGAACGATCAGCGATCCGGACAAGTACCAGCCTGGCCTCACAAAGATCTTCTTCCGTGCGGGCATGCTCGCAGCACTCGAGTCTTTGCGCTCTGAGAAGCTGAATGCGCTTGTGACGATCGTGCAGAAGAACGTGCGCCGACGAGTGGCCATGAAACGGTACCACAGACTGCGCGAAGCGACCATCAAAATCCAGACATGGTGGCGTGGTGTCCTTGCGCGGAAGCTCGTTGAAAACCTCCGCCGTGAGGTGGCTACCATACGGATACAGAGCGGTATCAGGCGATTCATTCACAGGGGTCGATTCATGGCGGTCAGACACGGTACCATTGGATTCCAGTCTCGTGAGTGTAATCTTTTCTACACCATGTCCATGCTCATCTAGGCCTTAGATGCTCGCGGTGTGTTAATGCGTGAACACTTCAAGGAGTCTCGGAGAGAGCATGCTGTCACACTTTTGCAGAGTCTCTCGCGTGGAGTGTGAGTGTAATAAGCCACTGGAACAGCTGTCATCCGACTAATGTGTCTACACAGCATTGTGCGGAGATCCCACCACTTAAATATTATGCGAGTGGTTTATCTGCAATCATGCATTCGTCGTCGCCTTGCTTGCAAGGAGCTAAAGGCTCTCAAGGCAGAAGCGCGGTCGGTGTCGAAATTCAAGGAGATTTCATACAGGCTGGAGAACAAGGTCGTAGAGCTCACCCAAACGTTGCAAAAGCGGATAGAGGAAAAGAAAGAGCTGCAAAACAAGCTGGCCCAATTGGAGCAACAACTACAGCAGACAATTACGCGATACGAGGAGTCGGACTCCCGTGCGCGACAGTTTCAGGCCGAATTGCATACTACGCAAAAGGAGCTGGGCCGCCACGAGGCGCTCTTAGTTGCCAAAAACGATATTGAGAGACGTCTGGAAGACGCACTGACGAAGGCGGCGGAGAAAGATGACACCATCCACAGGCTAACGGGCAGTCTGGCGCAACAAGCCGCTCAGCTAGATTCGCAGCAGAGAGCCATCGAGAACGTCCCTATCAGGAACGCAGACGACAGCTCGATCATTTTGACGCTGAAAAGCGAAGTAAGCAGCCTCCGCGAGCAGCTGAACCGCGCAAATGCGCTCAATGTACTGACAAGAGGTATCCGTGCCGAGCCTACTTCACCGACGTTTTCGACAGGCCTTCGTCTGGGAGATATCTCCAACACCGTGGCCAATAGCAATAGCAATGGCACTGCGCTCGCCCCTACCACCACTCGTGCTCACCAACGGAGACATAGTTCAGCCGGCGTATATGCCTTCAATCCCATGGAGAACCGCACATCTGTCGATGAGCTTATGATGATGGCAAAGCGCAGCCAGGCCACAAGCCCCCGTGCAGTGTCTGTTGCATATAACGGCGAGGATGGACTTCCGCGCTTCCGCGCTCCAAATAGTCTTTCAGGCATCTATGATCCCGCCGAGGAGAAGATCCGGCTGATGCAGGACATTAGGCGGCTAGACGAAGACGTCCTCGACGGTCTCATTCGCGGTTTGAAGGTACCGGCTCCGAGCATTACCAACCCATCTGCAGTCAAGGAGATTCTGTTCCCGGCCAATCTCATAAGCTTAATCACTAACGAGATGTGGAAGTATGGTCTCATATCGGAAAGCGAGCGGTTTCTTGCGAACGTCATGCAGACTATTCAGGCTCATGTAATGGTACGTATTCGATCCTACTCTCCGGACTGAGGCACTCATCGCCTTGCAGTCCTTCGTGGGAGAAGAAGCGATCATACCTGGCGTATTCTGGCTTTCTAATGTTCATGAGATGCTGTCGTTTATCTGCGTGGCAGAGAGCGACATGTTACAAGGTATCGGGCCAGGCGAGGAGCACTCTATAAGACCGTTCGAATGGGCCGACTATGAGCGCCTTGTCTCCGTCGTCAAGCACGACTTGGACAGTCTCGAATACAACATCTATCATACATGGATGCTCGAGACGAAGAAGCGTCTATCGAAGATGGTAATTCCAGCTCTGATTGAGAGCCAATCGTTGCCTGGCTTTACAACAACGGAGGGAGGGGGCAGGATTTTCAACCGATTCCTGAGTTCTAATGCTCCACCCGCGCACAGCATGGACGACATCCTCAATTTGCTCAACAAGGTATGGAAGAGTTTGAAGAGTTACTACATGGAGGATTCTGTTGTGCAACAAGTGGTTACCGAACTGTTGAAGTTGATCGGGATCACGAGTTTTAACGACTTGCTCATGCGACGCAACTTCTCGTCCTGGAAACGAGGTATGCTGTACTCTGCGGCGGATTCATACGCGTATTGATGTATATCCTCTTCATCAGCTATGCAGATTCAATACAACATCACACGTATCGAAGAGTGGTGCAAATCACATGATATGCCTGAGGGTACGCTGCAGCTGGAGCACTTGATGCAAGCGACGAAACTGTTGCAACTGAAGAAGGTACGCAATATCTTAGGAGCTGCTGTGGCTGTAGTCTCACTTGTACTCCATAGTCAACACCAGAAGACATTGAGATTATCTACGATGTATGTTGGATGCTCACACCAACACAGATTCAAAGGATGTGCACGAACTATTATGTCGCAGATTACGAGGTTAGCATTTTTTAACCGACAGTAGCTTTCGAATAAGCTCATCGTTCACTCTCTAGAATCCCATCTCTCCCGAAATTTTACGAGTCGTCGCTTCGCGTGTCGTCCCTAACGACCGCACTGACCATCTACTGCTCCCACCCGAGACGGAAGACGTAGGATCTTACGAGCTCCCCCTGCCGCGAGAAGTCTCCGGGCTTGAGACTTACGTCCCCGCGTACCTTAATGTACCACATCTTCGTAGATTAGCTGCTCTAGTAGCGTAATTCTGGCTTTACTTTGCTTTGTGGTTCTGATGTAATATTTGATACGATACCCATCGACTATTCTTAGTGGTACCACGCATGAACACGATATAATCAACTCGGATCGGACTGCTTCTGAAGAACGATGCAAAGTCTAGCTCCATCCTCAATCTGAGATGACAAGGGCATATCTGTACGCAGGATGGAGGAACTGGCCCTGTCACCATCGGCTGTTTGAAGTTGCAGCGGCTGATAGAAACCATATTTCATCGTTATCATCACTTAGTCAACGCAAGAACGCACGTTTGTCTGAGATGATATAATGCCTAGCCTGGATGCTAAGAGATCTAGGGCTTTGCCGGTTATTATGGACTTGATTGTTGAGTTGTCTACATCAATATCGCATTCAACGGTGTGTGATGCCAGCCATACCTTGCGGAACCAGTAAGGTTCACCGATAGTGCCAGAATTATCTACCGAAACAAAGGCATAAAGTCTTTGTTCTATTGGTACGGCCGACGCCTTGTCCTTAGGATCCGCAGGAGATGCACGATGTCGCATTTTCATAACTGCGATCTTCTGTCCCTGAGGTGATTCATTTCGATCACGCGCGCTCTTTGGAAGGCTTTGCGCCTTCGGTGCTTGCACTCCCGTTGAGCTGGCAGAGGATGGCTGTGGTGGGAAATGCTTCTCTAGCAGCCTTCTTGCAGCAGCATTCTTTTGCTTCGTGGTGTCGGACGCATTTACATTGGAACAGGAATGCGAACCCGGTGCTCGATGGCTAACAGCGTGTCGGAAAATCTGGATCGGAATCTTATAGGGGTACTCACATAGAGCAGAAAGACAGTGAACATTGTGGGCAGACCGCAGGAGTTCTACCGACAGTGTCCGTTGTATCGAGGATGGCAGACTCAAGGGTCAGCCTCTCACAGCCGTCTGCAGCACATCGTTGGCGCTTGGCTGTTTGCAGTGGAACCTGCGGCAGGGTAGCGGTAAGGCATTCATGCAACTCGGGGGCAATGTGATCCTTGCAGAAGAGCTGGTCACAGGCACGACATCGGATTGGGAGGTAATCATTGAGATTACAGGAGAGCAGTGAGCAGTGAGCACCAATGAAAGGTAAGGCCATCACTATAGTCTCCCGTGAGCAGATGAGGTATTTGGCTCTGCTGCCGTGCTCGTCTCTGTCAGGCTGGAGGAGGAAAATAGCGGGTTTCACGAGCCTCCGGCATCTGCCGGGGGCCCTCACATATCATTTGTCCGAGGTTTCGAGCGCATCAGCTAGTTACATACTTGGGTGGAGTTGGCGCCGAGCGCCGGTTTCAAATGGCGGTTGAACGTGATAGTCATTGATACGCAAGAAAGGAATAAAATGAAGAACGGTAAGGAAGAAGTACCAGCTACAATGACACAGTACAGCCATCCACCTCCTTTACTCAGTATTAACATTGAGCGTGGTCATACGACGGGTCAACCACAGATCCATGGAGCCAACCACTTCACCTGCCAGTTTTTTGACTCCACGGGCACCTTATGATATCACGACGGAGTGGACACAGGCAGGGAATGTGTTCATGAGGAGGTCGTCACATTCAATAGTCACTGTGGGCACATGGTCGAGAAGCTACAATTATGCTGTATATCCACACCAAGTTTTCGTCGTGACAGCATCATTACATGCATGTCGACCCACACACTCCGTATTCAAGCAACATGAGCCATCATCATCCTACGTGTAATCAGATTTGCCATACTAGTAGCTGCTGTCATGTGGTGTATTTGTGCTTTGCGGCTCAACACTCCGAACATGCTGCCACAATGCTCTGACCCGCCGCACAACTCGCAGCGTAGATGATGTTCAACACATGAACATAAGCATACATGTTTCTGTGCATGAACATTTCTGATGTTGATCGCATTGAGGACCATTCCGCTTTGTCTCTCATCTCTCACGGCCACGATGACATGTTCTTGAGCCACACTTCACGCTGTGCACGAGCATCATCGATATGTCCAACAGTGCTCAACAGGTTAATGACCCCATTCCATTGTGTTGGCAATTGTGTGCCAAACTCTGGGCAGTGAAGATTGCGATCTCTATCGGCGAACAGTGTGTAAAACTGTTTGCATTTGCTCACCTTACACCTCCAATGCGAGATTGAGTGCTATACATTCATAGGTGATCATTGCCATCGAGCAATGGAGTAGATGAAAGGAAGTATGATGTAAGAATAGAAGAGAATAGGAGATGAGAGCGTGAGCCAGGCAACGGCAAGGTCGAGACCACATATAGATTATATAAGCTTAACCTCCAAAAAAGCGGTGAATCACAGCTTCAGGATCATGTGCCCGAGATACCCGCAGTCCATCTTCACTGTAATAGCCAAATTCCTCACATCATTTGGAACAAAGTACATGGGCAAACAGGTCCGAGAAAAAAAAAAAAGTAAGAAAGAATGCAGTAGATAGAAACAGCAGAAAAAAGGAAACAGGTGCTAAAGAAAAGAGGGAGAGAGGTCGGGTGAAAGATAAAAGGATCAAACTCTGCAACGGGGACATTAGCAGAGTTGACAGGAATGCAGTGGAGCTGAGCTTACTTTGTTGCTGGGGAGCCTAGTGACAGCAGAGCTGATAAGTCCCTGAGCAAGTGAAGTGTCTGGATAGTGTGTGTCAGAGTGAAGCTCTCCGATAATGGGGAATAAAGACAAGCACTCACCTGACACTGGGTGAAACAATCAATAATTTGAGGTGAAAGATGATAAAAATATTGAAGAAAAAGTTCAGATCTTTTAAGCATTATCACTGTCAATTTGTGCTAAAAGTATTTAAAATATTTTTAACATCTTTTGTTGTGAAAGATGATGAACAGATTGAAAGGAGATTGCATGAAATATTAATAATCATTTCTTCAATCATTTCACAATCTTTCATACAAAACTATGATGAAAAGTTTCAAAATCTTTTTTCACTCTTTTTTGATCAAAGATGATGAAAATATTGTGATTATGTCACACCCTTGTTTTTATATACTAAGCTAGTACTAAGATGTGGAGGTCAATACTCAGATTTATATGTTAACACTATACTGTTGCTATAGTGTGAAGAATAAGACTAAGATTCTAATGTTGGCAGTATGCTAATACTAAAATTTAAATGCTAGTACTATGCTAGTATTAAGATCTGAAGGTTGGTACTAAGCTAGTATTAAGGGCTAGTACTATGCTAGTACTAAAGTCTGAAGGCTAGTACTATGCTAGTACTAAGGTCTGAAGGTTAGTACTATGCTAATACTATGCTAGTACTAGCATTCAGGCCTTAGTACTAACCTCCAGACCTTAGTACTAGCATAGTACTAGCCTTCAAACCTTAGTACTACTAACCTTCAGACCTTAGTACTAGCATAGTACTAGCCTTCAGACTTTAGTACTAGCATAGTACTAGCCCTTAGTTACTAGCTTAGTACTAACCTTCAGATCTTAATACTAGCATAGTACTAGCATTTAAATTTAAGTATTAGCATACTGCCAACATTAGAATCTTAGTCTTATTCTTCACACTATAGCAACAGTTTCTTCATTTCTCATAAATTATAATTCTAATATTGGCTTAGTGTGAAATGGTAATAGTCACAATACCTTCATTATCTTTGATAAGACAAGAAAGAAACAGGATTTTAAAACTCTCTATTTCAACAGACTAAAAATGATTGTAAAATGATTGCTGATATGTCATCCAATCATTTTTCAATCTTTTTATCATCTTTTAACAAGAAAAGATGTCAACAATATCTTGAATCCTTAAAACAAGGGTGTGACATAGTCACAATATTTTCATCATCTTTGATCAAAAAAGAGTGAAAAAAGATTTTGAAACTTTTCATCATAGTTTTGTATGAAAGATTATAAAATGATTGAAGAAATGATTATTAATATTTCACACAATCTCCTTTCAATCTGTTCATCATCTTTCACAACAAAAGATGTTAAAAATATTTTAAATAGTTTGATCACAAATTGACAGTGAAGATGCTTAAAAGATCTGAACTTTTTCTTCAATATTTTTACCATCTTTCACCTCACATTATTGATTGCTTCACCCAGTGTGACGAGGAGGAAGAGCATCAGCAAAAAAGCAGAATGTCTATCTAGGCAGGTGAAGTTGATAATATGAGCGCCTACCTATATAGACTGGAATAGCAAGATAATGCCTGGTAATGTTTGCTAGCGTGACGCCAGTCTGGAATGCATGAGCAAGTGGTTGAGCGATCAGACGGAAGTTGCTAAGAGTAGTCCTAGCTATATCTGCAGTGACCAGGCTGAACAACCGGACAACTTTCTGGTGATCACTTTGCCAGCCTTGGTATATACAAGTCAGTGCTTAGCTAGTTTCATCGGTTCATACAAACTATTTAGAATAAATCACGAAGAAATTACATTTTACAGCTAATATGCATGTGAGGTGAATGTCAAGCCATAGATTCAATTAAAATTCACATAGTTTGTCATTCAGAGTTCAAGCATTCATGAAGGTACTACGGTCACTGCTATCTGAGTGAAACACTTAACAGGAGTGAGCCAGGCTGCTGCGTGTCTTTTGTGCTTCATTGATTTAACCAGCTATATGACACAGTACTCTCAAACCTCACTACAAGACAGAAAAATTAAATGTCAGTGCTTCGACTTCATTCAGGTATACGGTATATATGCAGCAGTCAATTGATGAAGTCATGAAAACTGAAAACCTATCGATGAGGCAAATGACATGCCTATGCCATTCCATCTGTACAAATATTATTTTCACGTGCACATGCGGATGTTTGCGTGCATGAACATTGTGGCTGAGAATGCAAGAAGTTCAGCAGTTACCGGTCAGTCAGGAGGACTGAAAGACAGAAGGCTGCACGATCAGATTACAGTAAGATGCCACTCAGTTTCACTATCACTTCAGACACCCACTATGAGCCCAGCTATTGGAGACAGATAACATGCCTGAACGTGGATCTGACCCTGGAATCTGGAGGGCATGTTTCCGTGCTCTATCTGCAGTATTCATATGCTCAAAAGTCATCTTTTGCAAACTACATATTCTACTTCCACCATAACACCTGCCAGCTCACGTACTCACTGCACTACACTGAATGGCTTCCTCCCCCAATTGACTGACCTGCAGACCTCATCGACAGCACCAATGCGATCACAAACAATTTTGGGCTCCAGGTCATGGCGCTGCCCAGCACTGCATCGACTGACATGTTATGCTCCATGCTCTCCGTGATCTACTGCCTGAATGGTGAGTTCAAGAACTACTGCCTGTACTCTTACAATCCCTCCATCATGCTCATCGATATGAAGTTCAATGATGAAACCAACACAAGTGTCTTCTGCATGCTTGAGGTTAGTATGGCTAGGCATGCAGGATGCAGAATGGCAGAGACATGTACCATTACAGTTATCAAATAGCTACAATATCACTATTGCGACAATAAGACAGAATCAGTTCTTTTTGATTTGGCATGTCCATGGCAGAAACAGATACCACCATCCAAGGTCCCATTTCACCATCAGAAGTCGAGATCGTCCTCCACAAAACCTGAACTCCAGATGTCACAGATACCTACAAAGAGGTTCATGGGACTACTTGCCAATGACTGAGTTATCCGACTGCTGCTTGCCTCAGGCATAGCTGGCACTGCAGGAGCAATTTCATTTTCACTATCTGAAAGGAGCGACAGATCAATATTGACATGCTGAGCTGATGGAGCTATGGATGTGATTGTGCCAGATGTGTTCTGCTGCTTTAACTGATTTGTGTTTGCTTCTTCAGCAGCAAGGTCAAAAACTGATACGTTGTATGAGTACATTTCTGCTACGATAGTCTTACCAACATAAAACTCACCGGTGTCAGAGGTTTCAGAAATTTTAGCCTTCTTCACCCTGTGGCACAGAACCAATGGGCCTGCAAGGATCTTCTCGTCTGTCATGTCATTCTCAAGCACGTCAGGCAACTCATACTTGAATGCCACTACAGTTCCTGTCAACACCAGTACACATGTGCAGTGAGTGTAGTGCTTACATCAGTCAATTTCCTTTCCCTTTTCTTTTGCAAGTGATGGACTCACTGTCGAGTCTTCTGTGGCTGTACCTTTCTCAGAGTCATTCTCTTCCAGCTCCTCACTGCTACACCAGTTCTCATATACTTCTGGTGCAATGGCTTTTCTCATCGCTGAAGACACCCAGTGAGTTGTCTGAATTTGGCTTAGGTCATAATGCACCAATGATTATATTGCTAGCTGTCCATGAAGCTCGCTCCCTGCCTTTAAACTCCTTGTAGTCGGTACTGCACAAATGAGGCACATTCTCCACTATGTGAAGTCCATTGCCCTTGTGGAACAGAAGCACATAAGGTAACTGCTTTTCACGAATGCTCTCATCATCATTCGCATTAATTGTCAGAGCCCAGGGATCAGTGCGAGTGAGGTACTTGAATAACTTTGAAAGATGCACTCGAAGATGATCGTGCATGCGAGCTGGTCCCCATGTTGAGTAGAACATAAGCTCTTTCCCATCATCTTGGTCTGAGACTCCTAAGCCGCAATCTTACAAGGTACACAGCTCTATCTTGTCTGGGTATCTAGTGCATTGCAGCTCATCGTTCTCCTGTCATCGTCACTTAGCATGCAGTCACCATGACTCAGTGTGCATATATCATGCTTACATCAAGCCCATCTGGTATGATGACCATGGACTGAATTTTAACCTTCTTGCTCTTTATCTCTGAAGCAACATGGTTCTTCACCCTTTTGTCCTATCATCAATGGTAAGCTTGATCTGTTGGATCCTTAGATCAGATAATGAGCTAACCTTCCTGGCCTGTGCCTTATGTAAAGGCTTGAAGGGCTTCTGGCTGTCACGTTGTGAGTCCTCCTGATGATGCTTCTGAAAGTTTTGCAACATCTCCTATCATGCTTGCTGATACTTGGTAGGTTCTGTCACCAGTGAGCACATGACTTCATCAACCTTGCTTTCACTGGTGAGAGCAGCCTCAGGTGGAACAGATGAAGATGACACTTCTGGGGTCATGCAGGACAGAGAAGGACACAGAGAGGGAGGAGGGAGTTGAAAACTTTGCTGCGACATCAGTATGCATCTGCAATTTGCCAGTTAATGTGACATGCCCATAGCTTTGGCAGATCATGTTCAAATATGATTCCAGTTCACGTACGCAATGTACTCTACTGTGACAGCATGTGCATCATCAAGTGCAGTGCTCAACACCAGCACTCTGCACAAGGATATCAAATTTGCTCTGGTAAAGTCACTGGTAGCTCCTTTCACCCCCAGTATCCTGACTGAATAATCTCCACAGTGCTATATTCATCACCCAGCTCCTCTGGCATAATGCCATAATCAATCAGCAAGCCTCCATCCTCATTCAAGACCTGCAATGCCTTGAAGAATACTCACTCCGCATCGATGTCAGGAAAGGGGCTTGCATGATCAGGAACATTGATAGGCTTGTGGCAGATTTGATGCTGTTGAGCATCTGCGATCTGTTCTGAAATATCCTCTAGCACCTCACCCTCATCCTCACTGCCAGATTCCTCCTCAGGTGGGTGACCAGCGCTAGTCTGTCCAGGGTGTCAGCTGACACTCCTCCACATCATTCTGAGATATTCATGCAAAATGTCTGGATGTATATTTGTGTACTCATCATGGTTATCATCAAGATAAATGCCGTTCACAGTTTGTCCAATGAATTGAAGGTCCTGTTATTCTGTGAGCAAAAATGACAACACTGCAGCATAGCACTGTACCTGTGGGCTTTGATCACTCATGTCAGGTCCTGAAATGGGGTGTGCATTCCAGTAAGCCTGGAAAGCATGGCAATCATGATTGATTTCATCCAGGAAGAGATTATGGAGAAGCCACAAATGCTCAGGGTCTGTGTGATCGAGGAGGTGTAGCCGCTTCAGGTGAAGGAAGAATGCTCACCACTCTCACGCAAACTGTCTACCCACTTTAACTCACAGCCATGTAATGCATGTGTTATGAGTAGAGCTGTGAGATTGTATGGTGAGTTGTTCAGTGCATAGACCACAGAATCGCTCATTTACCTGCCTCACATAAATGAAGCCCAGTTCGAGCCTCTTCGCAAAATCATCCAAACTGAAATGTCAATATTCTCACCTCCACGATCTTCTTGCACATATGAAGGAATGCCATACTCCTCCACAGCAGCCAAAAAGGCCTCTAGAACTGTGGATGCACAATTATTTGTGCTTGCTCACAGCCCAGTCACCTGTGACAAATCATTTGAGAAAATAAATATAGAGGTCGAGAAGATTACTTACAGTGTGACAGAAACCGTCAATGAATCCATGAATAACAATTTCCCAGTGTATAAGCTTGTGGTGCCCGTCACAATGCCACAGTGCATTCAGCCTCAAGAACTTGTATTTATGTCACCAAAGGGTCCACCACTGCTATAGCACATGCCCAAGGCCATCAACATGATGCAATGAGTCATGAAGTCACCACTTTTGGATGTGCAGCCCATGATGGCACAATAGACCAGTGAGATAGCACACGCCAGAGTCTGGCTTGTGAGTTTGATATGCCACAATGAGCTGATCGAACTTGACATCAGTGAGGGGAGTAAACTGCCGATGTATTCTATGATGAATCATATTGGCATGAAGGATATGTCGGTGCATCTTCAGGACTCGTGCAAGCTTGGATATAGAGATGTTTCGATAGAGGAACATTGCCTCTGCTAGGTATGCCTTATCAATGACTTTGTGAGGACACCCCACATGTCCTGTAGGTCTGAGCTGGACTGGTTCAACCTGGGCAGTGTGTAAATAGTCCCTGTGAGAAGCATGAGTTGACAAAAACTGATGTGGGTGTAGGTTCTAGGACATACACCTCAATCCATGCAGTTGGAAGATGAGGTTGACCATATTGATTGGCCTCCAAAGCTCGAAGAAGTGGCAGAGCCTCATTGGCAAGCTTTTCAAAATGAAAGTGCAAGTGGAGTGGATTCAAGTTGTCAAGCCAGAGCATGTTTCAGCATGTTTGCAAGCATCTTGAAGGGTCCAATATGCATTCGAACATTGCCCAACCAAGGAGTTGAGGATGGGAAGGGTGGAAGGTCAGGAAACATGGACTGAGTGTAAGACTTGATTGCAGCGCAAGCCAATCAAGGGTGGCAAATCCATCTGAAGCCACCGACTGCACAAATTGAGGTGAGCGGCTGTCACTCTGTCTAGTCAATCACTCCATATAGTCAACTATAGCCTCTACTGGCTGTCTTTATCAAATTTCTGGATTTTACATGACCATCAGCTGCTCTGATGGTCTAAGCACCATACAGGATGCTACAGAGACTTCTGTCAAATGATCAGAGAAGTACTACTTTGACACAGATGATCATATTTGCCAGGTTTGTGCATCTGATCTGACAATGCTTTGAGGTCAGATGCTGATGTGAAGGATGGCTTTAGGCTGAGAATGTGTTGTACAAGATCCACACCCTGATTTTGAGAACACGAGGTGTCAACATGTGGGCAGACATCAGTGCCCTGCCACAAGGGATAACACGAGATGGTTACTCAGATGATGCACCCACAATCATCCCTCAAGCAACAGCAAAGGAGTTTGAATACCTGTTGGAGTATGTCTATGGCAAGTGAGTGTTTACGTGTGATTTGCACGGCAGTTTGCATGGCAGTATGAGACTTACAGAACACATCAAGGTTGCAGCCATCACTGTATGAGTGTGACTACTTGATTGCTGTCCTAAAACTGGTGTCACAATGAGAAGGTGAAAGTGCATGGAACTGGGCCATATTCCATCTGAAGGAGATTGAGTGGAAGTTGCATCCTGCCCTTTGGCTTCGAGTTGAATGGATCTATGGGCTGCAAAACTGGATGCTTCCTGCATTCTGGGTCCTAATGGTGACCCCATTGAAGGATCTGATGGATCAGGACTGGAGATGGTTGGGTGGCTGACCTATGACCTACTGGCATGAGCCAAAGTGAAGGTAAAGAAGATTCGGAAGACACTCGCTGTGGTTCCTTCAAATATTGATGACCACAAGGCACCCGAGTGTATGGATCATACTCATTGCATGCTTATCTGGCAGGACAAATGGCTGCACAAGATTGGGCAGCAGCTACTGCATCCAGATCTGGATCTTGCACTCAGGCTCACTGATGGAGAAGATGCTGTCATGAAAATCAACTTGGATGGCATGACAGCTGAATGCCGGGAGGTGGCTGTACAGGTGGTACAGGATTCTGATGCATTCTGGGCAGGGGAGAGATGCATTCAGGCTGCAATCACGAAGCTGTCTACCTATGAGATAGAACAGCTGGACAATCCTCTCATGAATTGATGATATCATCGTAGTAATGTTTGTTCTATAGCACATATTGCGCTACTTCATCACACTGAATAATATTTGTATGTGCACGATTTTATATATTTGCATGCACGATTTCATGTATTTGTACATGCATGACTATTTCAGTGCACGCATGTGCAGAAATAATATTTGTACAGTTTGACCATCATACACACCAGTGACGCCACAGACACATCTTGCTTGCATGTTTGATCAAGCACCAAGACAAACCTTAATGTACATGGCCTTATAACACAGGGTGTGCATCAACAACAAGACCCCCCCCTTTTTCAGATTCGCTCTCTGCTGCTGCTCCTAGCTACTCCCTTCACTGCGCGATGTGCAACTCTCCTGCTGTTCTCCACTGTGACCATTTATAGAGCCATCAACAAGTCCCTGGTACAGTGCTATGTGTCCCGCCAGTCCAATGATCATGATCTCACTATTAACATACATAAATTGTCCATTATTCTCATGTTTCATGCACATATATATGCTTCTGACATGCATACGTTCAATTTTCACATCCAGCATCACTGTGCCTCACACCTGCCATTGCTTCACATCATTATCTGCAAAAGCTTCGCAGCAGTCAGCAAGGGCTTGCTCTGATCTTGTTTGTTTGGTAGGTGCCTACGTCACTGAAGGTTACTGAGAGAACTCGCATACCACACTTCATTAATTTATGCTCACACACATTGATCTCATCGCCACAGCCAAGGCAGGTCTTTTTGATCCAGTGAGTCACATATACTGAGCCCTTGTTCAATTATTCATAGATTCCATCCATCACCACCTTCTAGCAAGTTGCTACCTCCCGGCAGGGCTTCTAACCACTGCACTCAGCCTCTTCACCCAAAATCTGTTCTTAGATGCTACATACGAAGATGCAGGCCCCTTCAGCAGCATGGGGCTTTCTCCATCCTGGGAAATGGGTAGGCAGTGTGAAAGTATTCATATTTGGTGTGTCTGGATAGCATGGTGCACCATCAGACCATGACTTTTTGTCATCTAACCTAACGTGGGCTTGCATCCCCTTCATGGTCCTTTAGTTCATGAGACTTGCCAGTTTTGCCTCGATCATAGCCACTGCCTCCCTACACAATGCGCCCCTTCTTCTTTCCCTCGGCACAATGCACTTTCTCACATGGCACCTCCTGCCATCCTCTCTGTGTGCTGAGATTGTGAAGGTCAACTCTGCACTGCTCGAGCTCATCTTCAATGCCATTCCCTTTCTGCAGTTCACATACAACATCCTCACACCAGAAGAGACTCTCTTGCTCATGCTGCAGCCAAAGATTGTTGGAAGGAGAGTGTGCGCAGCACTCAAATACGCTCTTGTCAGAAGTGAGGAGAAGTGGCCAGGTCAGATGATCATAGCAACATGCCCTAGCAATCGGTGGGCATTGTACAACAGGATCTGAGGGTGGCACTTATTAATGAATAGCGGACCTCGAGTTGTACATATGTATCTTGGTAGTTTGACTACATCTAAACAACTCTATCGAGGTCCCTGGACACTGAACTCATCTTTGCTGTGCTCATGCTATGCTTAGACCATGAGATCCCAAGAAGGTCGAGGTCAAGTCAGATGAGCGGAAGTGCGTGATGAAGGTCTTCGAGTCAGGATATGTGTGTGAGGAGAATTGAATTATCACGTCGAGTCTGCTTGAAGAAGGCACTATCAAGATATGTTCTCATCATGAGTGCATGATTGACGATCACTGACTGCATGTGCAGCATAATGATATTGAGCTCATACCTAGAGGATTGAGTGCCATTGTGGAGCTATTAATGTGCTTCACCACTAACATCTGAACTTACAAGTTTGCTAGAGGTACACGATGATTGCAGTGCACAAGTGGACAAGTACAGCTGCAGGAAGACATGCCGGGGCTCACACACTTTTGTGAGCACCTGCTGTTCATGGTGAGTCACATGAACATGATAGTGGGATACAGCTAGGTTGATTTTCAATTCAATGCACAGGGTACTGAGCAGTACACCTGGGTGAGCGAGTACTCAGAGGTATGTTTGAGTCCAACGTTGTTGCCTTCTCTCTGAACCTGCATACATAGTACTTAGCCAAAAACAACGGCAACTCTCAATCACTCAGGGGCACCTCCAAAACACAAACTACTAATCTAGTATCTCAATCGATACACTCCTGGACACGCTCTCTCAGTTCACCACATTCATTTCCCATTCTTCACACGATCCTGCACTCTCATGAGTTCAATACTGTCAATTCCATGCACAGGAAGAACCACCAATCGGACATGTGGTGAATTCCTCAGTTCAACAAGCACCTTATCAATCCTGGACATCTATGGAGCAAGTTTGACAGCGGCAACCATGACAGTCTGTCTAAACCAAAGGTCTGCTCAGCTTGAACAGTGCCAGCACACTATTGAGTGCAATTACACGATCAGCCAGTAATAGTTTCACGGCTATCTCTGAACCATCTCCTATACCACCTCTCACACTGTTGTTCACCTCCGCTAACAAAGAGATGAACACTGATGGAGGAAGTGTTGAGCATGAAATATGCCTGAAGCTAGTGTAATGGTAGAGCAGGGAGTACTGTGCAGGAGAAATGTGGTTATGTGTGATCGGTAAAGGTGAAGCATGTACCACTTTGCATGTTGGTTTCATCACTCACATGCCTCGCATAGCTGCTACGTGCATATATTCAGTTGTACCAATAAATTTTGGTAAGTCTTGATTATTGTATCAAAGATATATCTCAAACAAGATAGGCTTATAGCTTCCCTCTCTGCAATGCTCACTGGAGGGTTGTGCCATGAAGCTGACATGAGCATTGGCCACTCAAATTTATATCCAAGATGTGCTCATGCATTCGAGCAATCAGAAGGTATCAGTGAGACTTCTCATAGCCCTCATGTAATACTATAGCAGATAGGAAAAATATAATTGCTTCACTTATATACTACTGTCATCACTTGCAAGGGTGGCCAATTCATCCAAGAAGACCCATGGCAGAATCTGAGCTCAGCACTTGATAGCTTCAAAGCCTAATTGAAGATCACCAA